TCAACCTACTGGAATCAGGGACGATGGGATGAAGCCGAGGAGCTGGAGGTGCAAGTGATGGAGACAAGGAAGACAGTGCTAGGAGCTGAGCATCCTGGCACTCTGACCAGCATGGCGAACCTTGCCTACACCTGGGAATCCCAAGGGAAGCTACACGATGCCATGGCCCTAATGGAAAATTGCTCTGAACTGCGCAGCAAAGTATTAGGACCTAATCATCCGGATGCCAGAGCCTCCTCTCATACTCTTAGTCACTGGAAGCACGAGCATATCTCCAATAGAACACCAGAGCCAGCGCCCTCTCAAATTGCATGTTCGCCGTATGTGCCGGAAATTTCAACGGGAAATGCAGAAACTACGATAGCTACTCAGCTATCCCATCAGGAGTATGTCAAGCCACTTCCTCCTCAGAGACAATCTGCAAATCCATTTCTTAGGAGTCAATTTCTTAGTCACCCCCTTATCATACTTTCCAGAGCAAACTCACCTGCGTCAGGTCATCAACACTTACAAGAAGTTGATTGATTTTGCATTGGCGGGTAAAATTATACTGTGGTTCACCCCCAAGCCTCGCTAATTTAGCACTCAGCCGTCAAGGATGCTACGGATGCCCACCCCTGGCCTTGGGTACAGCGAGCGGCGGGTTTATATCATGGGATTCTACATTCTATAGACTGGATCTTCTTTGTACTCAACTACGCTCTGTTTTTTACTAAGCTTTTTTAAAAGGCAGGCCTGTGATAACTGAGCATTATATACGAAGTTAATCGATTCGCATGAATTTTCGAAGTTCCGTTCGATTCTGTATAGGGCAAAGTTTGCCACACTTTGATTGTGACCAATAATACAATAATACCATTCCATAATATCATTGTAATATTACGTGTAAATACAGTCTAGATTTACTTGGTGACTGTGGGATAGTTGGACATACTATAAGAAACTGCCCTAGTAAATAGCTTTATGTCCCGCTATTAGTTAGGTTAGTTGAATCCTGGTTTTATAGTTGAAAATTCGTCGCTCGGCCGTGGAATTTAGTACGTTTGACAGGTCGATTAGCCTAAGAGTGGGTGATCCGAATCAATGAAAAGCTCATGTATGGTTCCTAGTAATCTTCTAAATTTACCTGCCTTATATAGGCGGAAAACTTCTCCGCCAATACCAAACTGTTTACTCTACTGCACTGCTTTGTATTTGATGCATTACTGAGTATATGACGCTCGCTAAATTTATCCGATCTTCATGTGTCTAACTCACCCAAGGATGCTAGAAGAGAACTAGTTCGGACTTTGATGTAGGGTTTGAGATAATATCGGAGTGTAAATCTTTCAAATATATTTTGCGAAGCACTGCACACCTTTCTCCAGACAATTTTGAACTTGACTCGTCCTGTATGACCTGTCCTCTCTGTATCACATCCAGAGATATAAATTGAAGCCATGTTTCGCTCTATAGAAACTCACTCAGTACAACTATCAGAACACGGATCTAAGGATCTGCCAAATCAGATTCTGTCAGTTGATATAACTCTCTGCCCAAATCACCGGTGACCCGGTATCTGTCACCAGTGATGCCATCTTCCACTTCAGAAGGGTCAGTCAGTTCAAACCAGGCCATAATAATATCTGTAATAGTCTGTCCATCAGCGTCAACCCGTGTCTCCCGGACAATATTACGCTTATTATCCAGGTATATTAGGCGTAAACGTCCATCTGTCTCGAAGGCCTCTTGATCTGCGAGAAGTATATATCTTGTCGTTACTGCGCGGAGAAGTCCAGCTGCCTTGACCTCAATATATCGATGGGGATCCTTTTTCCAATGCTCAAGTTCAATTCGTTTCGCCTCGCTAAGCCATGTTTTGAAATGTGACCGTGTTGACGATAGATTATCTAGTGATACAGGTCCCTCGGCCGAAGGTCCAGCAATTTCAGGCAAGATGTCATACACTCGTTGCCAATCTGATCCAAAGTTATATAGCTGGGCGTTATTCAAACACGCCCACCAAGCCTGATCCTCAAATTCTTCTGATACGCAAGCCCAATGGTCCATTTTCTCGTCATCTTCGGGGTTATAGTGTGTTCGGAGGAAGATCGGTTCATCTGTAACATTCGTGTATATATGCCACGCTCTCCGGCGCAGATCAGCCGATCGCCAGGGACGAAGTATAGCGTTGATCTCCTCTTCTGTGGGTGTGCGCGGCAATGGCTCACTCTCCTGAGTGGGAAACCATTCCTGAGGAATTTCATCCAGATCGAGAAATTGGCGGACGAGTTGAACGCGCTGTTGGTCGGGTGATTCTGTTACTGCATGGTCCCAGTGCCTCTGGTACTAATATTAGCAGTCTAGAGAAAAGAAATAGATATTCTTTAGACGGATAAGTACAATCAGATATTGTTCGATAGGCAACTCACCCCATCGTGGTAAATATCCTCGGTTGTTACTCATAATGGCCAGTGTAAACGGGGGAAGATACTGAAGGGTTTCAGGACAAGCGCTTTTGGTGGGGGTTTCCTCGAGTCTTAAATTCAGTCTAACAGGCGAATCTTGTGAAGAGACAGCACATTATTGGTCTACTAGAGAGTGGGACTATCCCCTCACCCCTGAGCTACTGCGGAGAAGAAAGTACAGAGGACTACGGAGTATGCGCAGTTAAAATCCGCTTTCTAAATTATCTCCTGTACTTCACTACAATTCCTCTCCCTATATTGTCTTGACCTTCTTTATTGCACGAATTAGATCGTCTTCTCGAATCTTGCATCGTCGTCCACCATTTGCACACCTGTCAGCCCATTAGTTACAGAAAACCTTCGAGCCCAGAAAGAGGGAGCCAACTTACTCTCGACCTTCCATCCTACCCAGCTCCCTGAGTCCCTTTTTGTCTTACTGATCCCGTCGGCGAATTTGACCAGGCACTTCCCTATGCTGTAATCGACTGACCAGTATGTAATCTCACCAGAATTCTTGCGACAATAGGCGTTGTATACCGCTCCCTTCTGGCCCTCCGGGAGCCTGTACGTGTCATCCTGCCCGAAGATGTTGACTGCACAAAGGATCGCATCCATGCCTGGAGGCCCTTCATGGCCACCTGTGAATTCCTTACCCGTGGCGTCCCACCAAGTACTGCTGGTGATAGTGGTGGGGTCCTGATGAATCCAGGATACAAGGTAGTCGCGTTTAAAAGCCCAGGACAGAAAGTTGTTGTCCTAAATACGTGTTAGCTGACATTTCAGATTTCTACTTTCTATCGCTTTTCCGATCCATACACAGGTAGACACCCCGTCCGGAAGGGGCTGTTCATTTGGATATTCCACTAATCTTTGCGTGTAGGAGGTATCCTTTGGCCCATGCGCGCCCGGAGTTGTCCAGCCTCTTGATGGTTCTGAGATATCCCACCGCCAGTCAAAGGTCGTCTGAGTGTAGAACAAGAATTCCCTAAGTTCTTTACCGTTTGATGACCACCAGTCCCAATAGTCTCCTCGCTCATCGTTTGATGGAGGATCAGGCTCTAGCTTTTTCCAGTTAGATTGCAATTGGCCCATCATTTTTCTATCTCCTGTCAGCAAGCACCACTGGAAGTGAGAGAAGTCACGAGATACGTACTCGCACACTGCCGGTGCCAATTGTTTTGGAATGATGGTACACAGGTTCCAGTCCGGGAATCCCTTGCTAAATAGTGCCCTCCCTGCTCGGAAGACTTCCACGGAAATTCATCACATTGAAGTTGTAGATTTCGCCGATTTAACCTCTTGTTGAGGTCTATACTCGGCTTCTAGCATGTGCCTCGTAACGGATCCTCGTGCGATCGGGGTCTCTGGAGAATGTGAAGAGCTCAGTTCTCTTGTTGCTCGCGATTTTAAGAATGGGCTCACAGAGGCCGGTGACTGCGCCTGCTTCAGGATCAGTTTCGCCGGCTGTCTTTCCACTAGCCGGCTCGACGAAGCCCTATAGAAGGTTGCAGTTGACTAGAAGATATCAGCATGGACGTGTTCAAGTGTCAACTATGTATGGTGCGCTTACACCGAAGCTCCGGAAGCTTAGCATCTCCGGTACTTCCAGGAGGGCATTGGAAGTTTTGAGTAAACTCCGGTTCATTGGGGTTATATAGAACAAGAATTAGCAAGTCTGGAAAAGGGTTGTAGCTTTAAGCTAGACGGGCTTCTACTACTCACCTGTGTCCATAGGATATTTGCGTCGGAATAGCTCTGTTGCCGGATCAAGATAAGCAGACATGCTATTGTTTATCAGAACATGCGCTGAGGTATTAATCAGTCCCGTGGATACGTCATTGGGTACACTTCGTCTATTCTTCCTTGAATTTGCTAGGGGAATAGAGCCCTGCTTTTCGTAGAGCTTCACAGTTTTGTCCGGAGAGTATGCCATGCGTGGACCCAGTGCCCAGTCAACAAAATTCAGTATCTTGGCTGTCGCTTTATATCTGAGGTTGTAGAATAGATAGGAGCCAAAACGGTATTTGTATGTGTTAATAGTTGTGTCGTAATCACTATGGGCTTGGAAGGAGAGATCGCCCGTTACATACCCAGTCAGCTGGGCATCCATAAGGGTAGCACTGCCTACAAGTGTGCCACCACCAATTTTGAGACCGATGTTGGCCTCGGGAGTGACAAGGATGTCCAGCTGGGCGTCGACTATAGCTCCCGCCTCAAAGACAGGCTTAACGGTTCCGGGCGCTGGACCTTTGGTTCGCTCTTCACGTCAAGCAGCTTCTCATACTGGTCCTTTGCATCGTCGCTCTAGGGCCAGTAGACTTCTGCCTTGCCGAAAGAAAGTGTCACGCCGGCGTCGACCTGGCCGTGCAAAGTAATCTTACCACGAATCTCAAATCAAAGTCAGTACACCCGCAGCACGCATAGGATGATGAGAATTCACTTCTCCATATACACCCAGAGTTGGCCCGATAGCGGCGGTACCTTTTACAGCCAATCCCGGATATGATAGTGTATCGATAATCTTCTTTCTACCCGTTGTTGTTTGCATCTGGGCGTTACCTTCAATATGCAGACCTAAATAAGCAGTTGGTTCCATACCAAAGTAGGCAAAGGTCTCTGGTTTGCCCGGTGGAATAAAGGTTACAGACAGATAGTAAGCATATCTTGCATCCATAGCAATATTTGCCTCCAAGCCCATCTGAAGGTCAGCCGAGAATGTTTGTCCAGGGCAGCCCCATCGTGCCCGGATGAGATTAATCGTATGGTGGAAGCCAGGGGTATGACACCAAGGCTAGACTTGGTCACAGTAGTCTGCAAACGTTAGACAGTAGTCCGCTGGCAGAAGGAGAGTGTGGTACAGACAAGTTTCTTGAGCCAGTCTCGGAATGCACCCCACCAACACTTGTTAATATGGGGGCTGGAGTACTCCATTGGCATTTTGACCTGAATGCTCTCGTCACGTTTGCGGACTTGGTTGTCGTGGACAATAGCGCGCTGCACACGAGCTCGCCATTCTTCCTGTGTAAGCTCTTGTTTATCAAGACCTCGTTTGACCCGACTAACAGGAGAGTCCGTGATCTGGTCCCAGTAGCATAGGAGGTTGGTGTAGTCCACTCGGATCTGCACCGGTTCGTCTTCACGCTTAAGTTTGATGAGATGAAAATTTAGTCAATTTTCACCTCATACACGGGATTCCGAATCCCCTCTAGCGACCGATGCTCCAAGTGATGCTGGGGCATTTGGAAGCCGTCACCTACTGGTCTCATATATACAATGCAACCGAAGGGCCCGTCTCCAATATTATCAGGGAGGGAAATAATCGTGTCTTCAACACCATCAACGAAGATACGCTCGCACTCCTTCGAACCTGCAGGATAGTGGCAGTAAACGTGGAAGGTCTCCTCTGCATGCTCAAAGACCGTGTCCAATGCCGTCCGATTTGTTGTTAGGATGGACCGTTTGACCTGGGCAACCTTGCGGGATTGCCGGACCACTGTCTGGCTCGTCGCAAAACCGTTATCTATTGATCCCTCCGGGCCATCCAGCATCACAAATCGAGGCTAAAGATGTAAGAGCCCGATTATATATAATTGTGTGCAAGGTGTAGAGAAATAGGATAGATTGATCCCAGAGAGTTAATAACAGGGAATAGCTTAAATAGTTAATTGATGTTTTAAACCATATTAGAGCCCTAGCAGTTATTGTCTACCAATACAGGATTAGATCAGTACTATAGGGCACTGAGTATTAAAGTCTGAATTACTGAATTACTAAATTAGCTACACTATTTATAGCGACATAATGGTTCCCGAGGCTAGTGAGCATCTCCACAACAGCATGGTGTTTCAATTCCGGAACAAAAGGATATCATTGCATGTCCGCAGGTCAGAACTGCACTACGATTCATGTTAGTTTAGGCTTTCATGCAATAAAAGAGCAAAGCTTCATAACCATACCCTGTTTGATTTAGCTGACCCTTCGGAACCATTCGCAATGGCAATTCCAAGTAGAAAGGTAAACATGAATTTGAGAGCAAGCGTTTCAAATAATGGTTAAGCACTGTAGACTGTTCTGCGGTTAGATTACTTTAAAGAAGTTAACAACCATCAGGGACTCATTCACTTGCTTTGATGGTTTCAAGTAAACAAAAGTATGGCTGGGAGGTGAATATGGTAATGTGATGATGGGATTAATCTAGCCAACGTAGCCTGACCAAGGGCTATTTATATAGCTTGCTTCTATGATCTACATATCAAATGTCCTTTCTTTAGGAGGTAAGGGGGCGAGTATAACCATGATCTACTCTGCACATATCAATAGTCCAACCCTACAAAGTAAGAGGGAAAGGTCTATATTTGATCGAAAGAGAAACGATTCCGGTACAAGGTTACCGGGAACGGGGACATATTGTGAATAGTCATGCCATTAGTCGGTTATCAAGAAGCCGAAGCGGAGGTGTAAGAGTTAGTATGTAATTTAGAGTGATTATAAGTACATAACTCGAAGCTGTAGCATAACGATGAGCAAGGGCTAGGATTGTAGAAATCACTTATTATGAATATACTGCGAGCAACTCGGCTTTACAGTTCCTTCCTTAACACTTGGGACTTGTCGTGCTGAATTAATGATTCACTCCTGACCCCAGTCCAGTTCCAATCGGTCATTGCTAATTCGGTACTTCCTCAGTATCTTCAGAATGTCTTCTACCCTAGATACCGGTGTGAGAATTCCCGCATTTTCCTGACTGACTGAACCCACCTCCACGGAGGCAGGCACGCACTGCAGGATTCCGCCCCAGTAACCGTTGATGTTCAGCAAGACCGCACCGGCCTTGTGAATCCCCAGCTGATACCAGGTGGTCATTTCCATAAGCTTCTCCATGGTGCCAAAGACCCCACTAGCACGACAAAGCCCGAGCCTGGACCTCCCTCGTGGACCAACTGAGCCATTAATCGCTTGCGGATGTGCCTGTCCGGAACAATGGTCGCTAAGCCATAGTCCGACTCTTCGATCGAGTCCGATACAACGCGCTCCGCGGCCTTGCCTTGCCTGTTTGGAATGGGGTCCTTCGTCGTACCTCTTTGACAGTCGATATCTTTATAACCCTTCCCAATCTCGACAAGGGCCTTGGGAATAATACCATGGACGGCCTGTGGACCAGATAATGATACTAGAGTTCTGGCCAGCTCACCCATATTACCCACGGCACCACCGCCATCAACCAGCTGAACGTTATTCATATGGAATCCTTGAGCGATAACACGAGCTGCACCGTCATGGGCTTTGCCTGCCTGTGCCAATAGTGACTTGGCATGTATGATACCATTTCGAACCTGAACCATCCCTCGATAGTTAGGCCTTCCACATGCAGTATGTTAATCAAAATCAGCATGTAGCTGTTACGGGTGTTAGCTGGGACAAAATTATCTAGTCATACATCCAAAGGGATCCTGGGCGTCGCCTGTACACGACATTTAGCTCTTATCATTATCGGCTGGCAATAGCTAATCGAGAGAAGATGGATGAGAGCAGCTGTCGACCTCACGAGTGGGCACATTACTGATAAACTAACACCTTAATAAGGACAGCCGCGCAGTGCTATTCTATGAGTGGTCGTATTAACTGAATTCTGTTGTGCTTATCGATAGCATTCTTCCATGTGTCTCTTGTGGATTACGTATAAATCGCATTAGGGATAAGCAAGCTCCAAAACCAGAGTCATATGATTTCTTTTGTGAGAAGCCAAGACGGAGGAGCACCCGCGAACTGAGGGATCGTCCACCTATACAAATTCTCTCCCTTTCTCATCCTTCAGGGCCTAGTTATTCAGGAATCCAGACAGCCATGCATGATCTCTTTGGTCATAGAGTTACTAGGGTATTCCGAATACCATATATGTTGGCAAGGTATAATAGCCTTTGCATTTGCATAACGCTATAGGGAAAACCTATTATATATAGTAAAAACCTATGCCAAGGCCTATTAAGAATGCCACTCTCAGAATATCAGTCCATCTACTCCAACTGATCTTTTCATTTCAAGCCCAACCACCAATTCTCCACGGGTAATATAGTGCTTAGCACTGCCAATCACCACCGTGCATTAGTTATGGGTTGGTGGAGGGGGTTTGGCAATACTTGAGACTTACGACACAAGTTCCGACACCCCAATTCATCTGTGAATTTGACAATTTTAGTAGGACTAAAACCAAACGTATAAATATGGAGCTCACATTCTTGCAGCAACCACGCTAGAAAGTTTATGCATAAGTTAGAGGAATATTTATATAACGAGCTCACATTCCCTCTAGTTATTACTTACCTGGGCACATGCATCCCCAAACCAGCACGGCCCCATATATTCCGGTCTGGTCTCACCAGACCAAACTGAATCTAATCTGTTACGGGGCAGCATTGGGGAAGCTGTAGTAACCCCAAATAGGGATGCGCACATCAGTAATGGCCAGTAGTTCATTTCGTGAAAATAGAGAGATTGCTTGTGAAAAGAAAAGTTTCAATATGAGTAATGTAGGCTAAAATTATCAACTAAACATAGGGCGTTCCAGAGAAATCTCTCTAATTGATATCCGTGGTCTATGATTCCCACGCCGGATTAGTTTACAAGAGTGTCATAGACTGATTAAATATCAATAGTTGACGTAATAGATGTACATTACGCTCTCTGAGCCAGTTTGGTGATAAAGAAATAAAGTTAATGTCTATTAACTTTATTCTCATATTCTCTAAAACATTCCTTAGACGTATCTAAGCTTTAGTGCACTGTTCCGCAAGCAACCTTAAACATTAGTGTCTAATACTGTTCAGCACAAAGAATGTTTAAAAGAATATAGTGCCTCAAAAATTTTGATCCTTAAACAGGGGTTTGAATGTTATGAAATGCAATATGAGTCATAGATATACAAAGTATATTTGACCTGGGTCACAAGCGGACTAAAGCACTGTCTCTAGACTTCATCGAGATCCTCACTGGAAAGCTGGAAACTGAGATGAAATGGGCATTCTAATTGGCACTTATTGAGTACTTAACACTAACTTTAATTTTGGGTAGTAAGTAATGACTCTTACTTTTCTTAATAGTGAATATAGAGGTGATGTTATTTATATTCCTTGTCAACTAATCCTACATATACCGCTGGTAGTAGGTGCTCCACAGGCAAACGAATTTAAGCGGATGGGTGCGGGGGTAACTATATGTGATCTTTTCCAGCTATTATTCTTGCAAGCACTTACTCGGAGTAGTTAACGGCTGTATTACTTGGATATCCTAGCAACTAAACTGCCTTCTTGTTTGATTTAGTTTAGAATGTTTATTAATATCTACTTAATTTTATTTCTTTACAGGTTGGAAAGACTTTATGTTAGAGAGATACTTTTTACTTTTCTTGAATTACTTCTCTTTATCTCATGCCCTATTCGCTCCTGATCTGAAAATTTAATTAACCACTTTTCTTTACAAATATCTGGAATGTGATACCAAAGTAAAGGTAGATAATATAGTCATCTAGTAGACCGCTTGGATTATATTATTAACAGACTACCTTTGTTGTAAAAGATAGATATCTATCCCGTCGTAATTGACAATATACTGCCTTTACTCTGATTAAAGGGACTCCTATCCAACATTAATGGACCACTCTCTAAAACCGTTATGCTTTTGACTGAGCCTGGTGTCACCTTTACGATATACGTCATGATCTTTCGTAATATTCTCCTCTGCACTGTTTGATTTAATTATACACCAACACATAGTTATTCTGTTTCTCTAATCTATGGTTAGAGTGGTGGCGTTAATACCTGCAAACGGAAAAATAAAGCCGGCCAAGAGATCGGCTTAGTTCTAGACAAAGTGGTAATAAAGTTATACCAAATCTTACCATAGATCTAGACAAATGACATGTATTACTATCTACTGAACTCTTTGAAGTAATTCACGTAGCCAGCTTATACACTTTCCCAAGACATCATAGTAGAAGAGAGATGTCTTTGGGCTTCTCATCAGACATCGAAAAGGTAGACATAAGAAGAGGTCGAATATATAAAGCCTAATCAGTCTTCCTCAATTCTCAGTCCTCAAGTAATGTACTTTTTTGGCATCTGACAGCCTATTTTTTTTAAAAAAAATATTTCAAACAGCCATACAAACCTCACCGCTGAAAAATTTCTTTGGGTCATTATGAAGCTCAACCTGACTGTGCTTGTCGTGACGCTCCTTGCCACTCTTCAGCAGGCCGGAGCATGTGCTGATAGAGGCAGTGTGTATTAATTGATTTCAAGAACATTTTTTATTTACTAATGTCATCAGAATATTGCAACCCCCCTTTTGGTCTTTCTTGCTGTGGAGACATGCATTGCAACATGGTTGGTGGAAGGGTTGGGGGCTATTGCACAGGTTTGTTTCAGTTTCCTGTATTATTTAGAATAATGCAACTAAGTTTCTTCCCTAGGGTAAAATCTGACAGATATATTGACGCTGGGCATAAGGACATTAGACGTTAGATTTCTGTATTTAGTGATCCGACACACCCACACGTCATCTGCGTTCGTGCCCAAAGGTTGAGATCCTCTGTAACCTAGCTCTTTTTCAGTATGTTTCTGTGCCCACAATACGAGATCTTCCAGTTATTATTGGATTACTGTGAGATAGAAGCACAGAGCCAAATTTTGCAATATCACTCTCCAAACCGTCCGGCTACGCTGGCATTGTTTACCTTACTGGTAAAAAGAATATACGCCATGGAATGCTGCGTAGTGACTTCTCCCTGCACCTCATAGTCAAGCTCTTATATCCCAGCTCTTGGTGGGAAAATCTCCAGCCAGCAGAAAATCGTCATCGAACCAACAAGCAATCATGCTGTGAACCAAGGCAAGATCAGGTAAACTATAGGGCTTCATCTACGGAATAAGTTCCGTATAGAAACAGATTGATTGGAAATCAATCTGATGTTCAACTTGTATATAAGAGGTTTACAGAAGTAATGAAGAAAAATCAATCTTCCTTTGGACTACCACAGAACAGGTAGATACTGAATTCGGATTAATGTGGCAGAAAACGCCAATATCGACCAAAAGAATGAAGTCTACTGGATGCCTACTCACAGCTTGTCCGTTAGAAATCCCAAAGTATGTAATTTCGCAAACAATATTAGTTAGTCTTGATATATATTTCCACTGACCTATTCCCGTAAGCGTAGTAAGGCTATCTCAGATAAAACAGTGAATGCACTGAGCACAGGAATCTGGCATATATGTATTAAAATTGACAAAAAATTATTGCGGTGTTCTATTTCTCTCACATAACGTTTTGCTTTGCTACGTGGGTTTTTTTAAGTGTTGTCTAAGCTGTACCTAGTGGAAGCGGGACACGACGTTGGACAGCAAGATTACAACTCCAAGATTAGGTCACCATCAACATATCAATATACACATGCACAACTGAGAGCACTCCTGGAGGTGCTTGAGATAGTTGAAGAGGTCCTGGAACCTTCACCGGCTCTGAAAATGATACTGGGCATAACTTTATCAACTACTGATACCAGGCCATCTTAGGCAATATCTAGGATCCATAGCTTCAGGCTTTAATCCGAATGATCACCGTTGCTTTTTCCACCTTCTCCTTCTGGCTGGATCAATGACGAGCTACGATATGCTTGGCTTACAACTGTTTTTGACCGGGAGATAAAGCAAAAAGACCCGGAGACATTGGCGCCTTTTAATTTTAGACGGCCATGGATCTCATAATATTATGAAGTTAATTAACTTCTGTGATCAACATAAGATCCTTTTGGCTATCTTTCCACCTCGTTGAAACCATACCATGCAGCCGCTTGATGTTGGTATCTTTGGTCCTTTGCCTATGGCGTTCAGTGAGTATTTGGAGCAATTTTTACGCGAATGTCAAGGTCTAAGCCATATTACAAAACGTGACTTTTTTTCCGACTCTTTTGGCCAAGCTGGAAGAATACTTTATCAAGCAAAAGTAATGATGTAACGGGAAACAAGACAAAGTCCATGTATAATCTGGTCTGCAAGCCGAGATCTTGATCCGCATTGACCTCATGCATTCTATCATGGTACTGAAATGGCCCATCCTGGAATTGATGAATTCAAGCTATTACATTATAACTCTGAATGACCGACTTGAATGTGTGACCGATAAAAGAAGAAAGAAGAAAAAGATAAGAGAAAAGCAAGCGTAGACGTAAAGGTTTTCCTATCAGTACTATCCCTCTATGGCAGAGAATATTGACAAATTGTCCTACCATGCGGTCACTGAAATGCAAACATGCTTTCACGACATGTTGGTAACTGTGCGCAATTTTTTGGCATCACGAACGATGGCTTCAGCGACGTCCAAATACCCTTTATCAGGCACATAACCCCAGTCCCAGGATTTGATGTACTCGACTGCGCTCGGTACCTTTTCCAGGAACTCCCTCTCCAGCGCTGCCCAGTCTTCCTCACCATAGTATTGTGTGTTAGCGGGAGCGCCACGGAAAATGAATCCCTCAATGAAACCTGCGAGGTCATCAATTACTCGGGGTCGCCTGGGATGTTGAAGGGGGAGGTTGAGGAGGTGTTGAATCATGGATAGCATGTACCGGGGAGGTTTTGGAGTCAGGAGCCTTAGGCTAGGGTCAAACGTAGACCGGACTTCGAAGGTATCGTTCAGAGTCAGACCGAGAGTGGAAAGACCATAGAGACGGATGTAATATTTGCCAGCAGCGTCTCTGATATGATGCTCGCACAGGTCTTCCCACCCACCGAGGATTGGGTTGTAGCGCTTAGGTACTGGGGTCCAAGGAAAGCCACTCTCGGTGAGCACCCGTGAGGCAAATGCAAGGAGCTCATCAGGCACTGCCCATTCAACGGTCTGACGCGAGGGAGTCAGCTACTCCCTTACCTACCTAATACGTTGGATAAGGTAGTTTCAATACATACCAGAAGGACTTCTGCCCACCCCCATCGATATAGTATTTGCGAGCCATATTCCATGACCGGAATATTGTGGTTGAGTAGTGCTTCTAAAGCTACACTCAGTCTCGCGGGGTGCCATTGTACGGTTTTTAGCTCATCGAGTGTCGGTGGCTGCGTCTGGTTGACTGAAATTAATGAATTCTGCGCTAGCTCTGTCTTCGGCTCATCGAATACTGGCGACTGTGTCTGAGTGACGGAGGTTAATGAAGTCCAAGTTCTTGCTGTCTTCGGCTCATCGAGTTCTGGTGACCGTTTCTCGTGAGAAGTCAATGAAGCATGGGGTGTTTCTGGTATAAGGGCAGTGGGCGGGCCAGTAGAAACACTCGATGGCCCAGGAGAAACAGTCGTGGAATTAGAAGAAACGCTCGTAGATTGTTGTGAGGTAAACATTCTTGGAAGCGAGAATAATCCCGTCCGCGTGATGCAGGGATGTTTAGAATAAACAAAGGGTGAACTCAGATACGTTTTCGAGGCGTATGAATAGGCTATTTTGAAATTGACGTTTGGGTGCCTAGTAAGGAGAAGGAAGAGAAAGAGACGGAAAGTGTTGTGAATCTGTGATATAAGCTCGCTACCAGGAACCGAGATCAACTGATCCGGTTACAAGTGAATTCAGTAACTATACGTATACGAAGAAACTAAAGTCTAGAACAGTTATAACTACATCGTCAGAATGATGTGAAGGCGTAACATCTTAATAGTAATATATTAGTGCTGCTCTGGGAATTGCTCCACTCTGTGCACGGTCCGGTAGCCTACCTAGTAGCGTACTCCATAAATTATACTACATTGACTATATTTACAATTCAACTGATAATGAGATTTTACTAGCACAGCCATTTGATAAGCATATTATCCACTAATTCTCGGAGATCAGGAAATTCCCTTGACCCCCTAAATATATTGAAAGCTTTGTATTACTATAATGGTCGATCTCATGTTCACCCAATAACAAGTACAGCCATTTGAAGCCCTTATCCCCGTATCCACTTTCGAAAGCATGCAATACACAAAGAACCAGCATCCATCGAAATGCATAATCGGGAGTGCACCTCAAGTTCCTCCTCAGAAGTCTTCACTTGCGAGCGGTCCTTTAACGATTTCGAAGTCCTTTTGTTCAAGCGCTTTCTCCAGCAACAGGCGAACTTGTGCACCTTTCTCGGCGAGATGGTAAAAAGCTTGAACGTTGGAGGTGGTCAATGCCTTGGGGCGTTCTGTATACTCATCGAAGTCGATCTTCATCTTGTGCTTTAAAAGCCATCGAAGTAATTCTACCGCGTCAATTTCGTCAGTCTCGCGCTTCTTCTCGGTCCGTGGGTTCCGCGAAGTCCTAATCATTGCCCATCGTTTAACTTTCGTCAAGATTAAAACCCTTGGGTGGACAACTGGAACTGAGATAGCATGACTTAGTACTGTGATCTTTGTTGTGTAGAGGACTAAATAACCAGTTAAGGATTACGGTAGGGAAGGATGCATTTACCATTGAGACCATGGCGCAAAGAGTTGACGTTGACCACTTTGACCGTTGCCGCCGATGGCAGCCGCAATTGCTCTGTAGCTCCTCCGCATAAAATGTCGCACTTCACTGCAGGTTTTTCAGCTTGTCCCGGCTGGTACATTAGACAGAGCTTGCTGGTGTAGAAACCGGGCTGCTGTTGGAGTCAACGATGATGTCGATGTCCGATGACTGGCAAGTGAGTCCCAACTAATTTTGAATAGGCGAGATACTTGTACTCGATTTTGAGGGAGAGGTCTGAGAGATCATGCAGAAAGTGTCCACCAGGTAACCTCCGTGACGATAAGTGTCTTTAGAAGCACCTCGTAACCTGTCTTGAAGGGCGCTATGCTTAGGCTCCAGTCTGACTTACTTCGGTCATACGGTGCCCACAAAGGAGCGTTGTGGCGTATCCCCCGATAAAAGCATGCGAGACACTCATGTACAGAAGTACTTCGCTTGCTCTGGCGGCGGCTTCGTGCAGTTGACTAAAGTCAAGCTCAAGCGCAGTAGTTGTCAGAACCACGTCCTCTTGCTGGTTTTCTGTGTTGTTCGGCGTGCTTGTCAACGGTATGATGTAGAACGAATACGGGAGTTGTGTTGTTGAAAGCGGAGGGTACGAGATATGACATTGAATGGAAGCAAACAGCCAGCTAGGGGGCACGATCTCTTTCCAGTTTTGGTCAAACTTCACTGCTTAACTAGCTTTAGGCCTCGCGGAATTCAGTGAAGTGAATTAACTGTCATTGCCAGAAATCTCTGCTAGTAAGACAACTTACTACTATCCTTTGTCAGTGTGCTCTCGTTACTAATTCGCATCAATGTTCGAGGGCAAAAGGGCTCCCTGCTGCTCTGAGTCAACCTTCGCTTGTTATTGAGGAAGCTTTTCCTTTGAATGAACACGTCACTAATATATGGAAGGCATTGCTTATCTAGAGAAGCTTAATCACCAGCTGATGATGCGAGCCAAAGAATAATAGGTAGTGTACTGGGCGAGGCTAGTGTTTAATCCAATTGATGCTGAATTTAGTCGATGAGATAGTAACAGTTCTGCCATATTGCGTACGATATCAAGAGGTGGTGGCAGACCACACGCATCAATATCTAGAATCCAATGCCTAAGAGAATATTCTTCTAGATCTTGAAGATTCTTCTGACAGTTGGCTCTGTAGTATCAAGACATGTCTTTCGGCCATTGATCCGGTAAGTACGGCGTCGAACATCATATACAATTGCAGCGGCGCGAATGCTTTTAATCTGGCCCTCTTTTATGCATTAATTGCAAACTGTATACAGACTTCTGATTTGACAGCTGAATTTGTTGGGGTTTTTGAGGCTTTTTAAGATTTGGTGATTCTGTAAAGACAGTTAGGAATACGAGTTAGATGGCCAAGATCGTGGGTCGCTCGGTGGTGGCTTAGGTACATCACCGGTATCTTCCAACTTCCACCTTTCAACAGCCAGATTATATTTTTGATCAGTAGCTGGAGCCCTTTGCTTATGACAAACCTTGTTTTCTTTATTTCTCTTCTCTTGTTGGTACTCTGCAGTGAAGCTGCGTGAATCGCCAAGCTTGCGGAGCTCCTCTATCTTTCTTCGTCGTTGCTCCTCTTTGGATAAAGCAGGCATGGTATTTGCAGATGTAGATGACAACACCAAGCGAAGTCACAAAAAAAGTTTTAAAGAGAGGAGCAATTTTTCAAAAGGTGCTCTCTCTAGTTATTTTATGTAATGGAGACACTAGGCTGCTCAAGGCGCGATTGAGCCTGCACCAAATCATCTAGCTCACACACTCGCTCACCCTGCTCACCTTCACTCAGCCTACAACTTAGCGTCGCTCACCTGTAAAGCAGCGAGCCTCAGAGGGCGCTCCTTTCTTTTAGCCGAGCTTACACAGTTGACTTAAGTAAGGCTGAGAGGACGGGAAGCCCTGTTCTCCGCACCCTATGGTCGTGTGTATCAGTCCTCTAGAGACCAGAGGACTGTACTGGTGTTAATATTGTGTAGATGGCGCTTCTCTTTGCCTCGACTTTTCACATGCCGGGTATTAAAGTCCAGAAGCAAAGCCGTAGTTGATACTATTGGTGCATTCTACACAGTTGATGTTAATCAGCCACATGAGGTGTATGAATTTGACCATAAGCTACCCCATAGTATTCGGTCACATCTCTTTATTGAATAGTATATTTCTCCTTCTAACGCTTTACTCATAAATTCTTCCTGCTCTAGCCTTGCCTCTTGCCAATTAACCTCACAGTAGCCACACAATGAACACCAACTCAGTTCTCATCATGCTCCCTGTCAGTATCTCTGCCTCTTCCGCACCCCCCCCAAATCATTGTTGATAACCCCACCGATGCCACTACTAATATGAACGGTAAGAATGGCCTCCAGCTAGGCTCTTTCTACAGATTCTACAGCCCCCAACCAAAGCCAAGAGATATCACCTATCCCCAATCCGAACCTACACCAGCGTTGCGGTCCCAAAATGGGATGCCCCGTATACTACGAGTGCATACATAACAGGTGTCATTGCTCTCCGTTTATGGATGTATGTTTTCTCCGCATCTCTGATGTCGCTGTGTTTTGGTTAAGCTGGTCCTTGATGCAGAGATATTACGGTCTCAATTGAGGATATGAAATGATACCTCGAGGTATATATTTGCGGACACACTGCGGTTACGTTGGATTTGGTTTGGTTATGGATTGATGTCATGCAACGGTAGGTCTAGGTTGCTTTTCGGTGTTTAGCAAAGTGCCACACAGATATACCTTCCAGGCCCAGAACCTAATCCTGGAGCTTAGAAGCTAAACCAGGATTAAGAAGCCTCCCCACCTATGTTTCAAATATTCGCCGCATTTCCTTATACGTATGTGTCTATATATCAGCGTACTATCGGATTGCGAAGCTTGTCTGTCCAGGCTCCACAAGACTATGATGGCATGCTCACATGTAACTACCTGCTCTGCGCTTCATTCGTAATCAGCGGCGAGTACTGCACTGACCATTATGTGGTTCTAGGTGGTATAATTTGAAGCATAGCTATGGCGCTGATTGGATTATGGTGGGTCTGCATCATTTCTTTGTCTGTCCTTGACCACATCATGTCTTTATGTCTTTTAGAAAATCAGGTAGCTTATAGGGGGACTCTAGTCATGCTTGGTGGGATAACCTAGGTGGTGAGGTTGAGTGAATATAGACCGAAATATGCTCCTCAAAACTAGGCTTCGAGGTCAGACGTATGGTAACTTCATTACTAACTTAAAAGGTGGGGGGGCCAAGAAAGCTGTAAATTAAAGGACTGTCTTCCGTTTCAACAACAAACCGTCTTCTCTTCCTCTCTACTAACCTTCCAGCACCACGTTACTTTTTCACTACAAAATCCTTAGCAAAGTAAGCATACCAAACATGAATAGATTGAGCTTAGATGTTTACTATCTTATCGTTGAAGCCGTAAGTTGTCAACTCAATCAGTAGTCTGACTTTCTAACGAACAATGATTCAGCTGGACACACGCCAAGATCTCAAAAATGTGTGCTTAGTCTCAAAGGCATTCCATTCCCTAGCCACACCAGTACTATATCGGTCGATTATATTAAAGGGCTCGGATAAATTCCGGAGAACAGACTGGGATATATCGGCCGAGGACGGGAAATCAGAGGAGCATACGCGAAGTGCTTGCCATGGTCTCATTGACCGACTGCTTGATGAGCGAAATGGAAGGATACGTGTTGCGGTACGCGACCTCACCATCGAGTGGTTCCAGGGGGCAGAAGACAGTGAAAGAATTATGCACAAGCTTGAGCAGCCGGACAATATCCTAATCCGCTTCGTCAAACAGCTGCCCAATTTAGAAAACATGTTGTAAGGTACACTCACAATAAACCTTCGCAAAGTTTTCCAGCTGACCAAATTTATAGCTTCTATGATACAAGGATCCCTTTGACCAAAAGCATTCTAGATACTCTCTGGAACCACACCAATAAGCCAAAGCTTCACCTAATGAGTGAGTGTGGGACAACGCAAACAGATATAAAAATGCCGTGTGTTCATACACTTTGTACCCGCATCGATGGATTCTCTACGAGCACAGGGGCGGACCAGCAGCGACTGGCACTCCGAGAAGTCTTCTCCGCCTGTCCCAATCTGTATTCGCTATCTATATCCATTTCCTTCTTTTGGTCTGGCTGCGTGATGCCCAGCATCCTACCCACAACAGAAATTGTGCCCCTGCATCTGACAGAAAGCGAGACCATTCCGCCCTTGCGAGAACTTACATTGAGTGGATATAATATACGTGAAAATGAATGGGTACATTGGAGAGACAGGTTTCCCTGGTCCAATCTGGAATCCCTCACTTTAGGGCCAGAGGAAAGTCATGATAATCTAAAACTAATGGCTGGACATGTACACACTTTGAAGTCTTTCGCAATTTCGGCTTTTGATAATCATAGATTGGACAAGTGTGATGAGCTTGAGAATTTTGTGGCCTCGTTCAATTCTTTGGAAAGCCTGACTGTCAAAGGGTACTTCCTGCCGGTCACTGCCGTGGCGTCTCATCCAAATCTGAGGCACTTTTGCTTACATACCATCGAAACACCTGAGCGAGAACGCCCTACGCCTAAGAAAGGTGACATCGAATATCTCGATGAACATTGTCAGAAACTCGCGTCGTTGGAACTCGATATTTCCCGCGAGAAGCATTGGGTGAGTGTATCCGTCTTCCATAATTATCGGGCGATCACTAAGGGTATGATGCTATAGCCCAACGATATTGCCAATACTATTGCAACGAGATTCACCCATCTTCGTGAACTTTCCTTTCATGTCGGTTTGGGTATTCGACGCATGTTCGGGTCTCAGAATGACACTTTTGAGAGCCGTAGAAACAACCTGAAGCCACATCCGAAACTAGACCATTCCGCTTCGAAAGATTTTGCACGAGGATTTTTCGCGAGCCGAGGCCCATCATCAAAATTGCAAAAGTTGTCCCTATACACTGGCGAGAGTTTACGGAGGTTTCCACAATGGCAACCCGAATATGCAGATTTCGAAGATGAACATCGGCGGTCATGTCAAATCCGTCCCCCGCAGGTTCCAGGCGAAGATTTCGATATTTTCGTGAAAGATGAAAGTTTCTCATACGACGATCTGTAATGCTTACTTGCTGCGATGGAATTGGGTTTATTATATGACCAATAGAATTCCGCTATCCCCATTGACTAGCTCCGTAAATAAGTTGGTTGGGGTTTGGTATCTGCACAGCTGAAATATTGATTGCGGTACTAGTGTATTTCCAGATTACATATATTCCAAATGATATAGCAAAAGCTTGCCTTAAACAAACTGGCTATAGGATGAAAACTCTGGGAACAGTTCCGTCTCAACCTCGAGCCTCGTGATTTGTTCGAACTGCTGGACGAGTTCAGACTTCTAACGTTGGCGATCAAGTTCCCCGGTTGCAATGATGACCTATCGCTTTTAGGGCTCAGGGACTGCTCCTTCGCACGATATCCCACAGTACCTTACAAGTAGTCCCAGATTAGAGAGGATAGACATACCTAGCTTGAGAACCCCTCAAGATTCTCCGTAGAAGGCTCCTCACTCCCAATATTGCCCAATCATGTTAGTAGTCAGTGACAACGTTTGCCCTATATTTCCCCCCACTAGCCTCTGACAGGAGCTTTTAGTGACGGTCAGAATTATCTACCGGTCGTACCTATGGGAGTGCATATAACTATTGGAAATTCATCATTCTAAGGCGAATAGAAGAAATCACTCAGGTGATCCAAAACTGGCTGCCAAACCTGCCGTCGTCGCAAGGAAAAGTGAGGCGAACAACACCCAGTAGGTTGCTGTCGGAATGGACTCGAATGTGAATGTGTTCCCGACAGCTCTGCCCTAAATCCGCGGCGGCCGCGCCGTCGGCGTCCCGCAGAGGGTTGTTGGATAGCAGGGAATGTCATAATCTTGCCCGGTGTGGCTATTGGTGATGGGTGTACCATCGGTTCAGGAAGTGTTGTGACTAAGGTAAAATCCCATACAGAGAAAACATCCTACGACAGACAATGCCGACAAAGGAACTTTTTTTTCCCACTTAGGACGTTCCAGCATACCATGTTGTGGTGGGTAATTCCGCTCGGATTATTATCAAGATTGAGCGTAATTTCAGAGCGTAGTAGGATGCTAAGCTTTAGGGGACGTCTACTGGGCATGGGAAGGTATAGGATTTTAGGCCACATATTAGCCCAAAGTAACGCAGATGTTGCGGATTTAGGTGTACAGCCGTCCCTTGTTAAGATATACGTCTATGATGATCAAAGGCTCTATCAGCAAGTAGGGACTATCTGGACAGATTTGAACAATTAACTAGATCAACAGATTCCTCTTCTTATATTCTAGAAGAGTTTGCATCAATGATATAACGTATTCTGCAGTTGGCCCATATACAAACCACTCGTCCCATTCGGGATGCATGCGAATCTATGATCGCTCTAGCCTGCATTCAACAACAATATCCTGCAATGACGAAGAATATAGCACATCAAGAATGGCAGTGCAATCCTTTTGCTCGACAATTTCACAATAGACAAAATATCTGTATACTAGCCATATGTAGTATCGTTTCCCGGTCATGAACACAACTCTTGTTACTCAGGAAGTATAGGAAGGATGATATGGAGACGAACTATAAGAACCCACTTGATAAACCTATCCTTCCTTTTGAAACCATATGTAACGTGGCTACTTGTAGCTTTGATCCGCAGGTCCCTGGCCCAACCAAACCACTCAACTGGGCCTGGATACGGACTCTCCTGATGTATTATTAGACTACTTATTCTTGTATCGCCGTTTCTATCCCATTTTTAGTCTTGTCTTCTGCGTTACTCTTTTTGCAGTTTCTTCCCTGCTCTCCTCTCTTCTCTCGTACCTTTTGTTTTATTTTTTTTTTATTATTCCTTTTTCTCCCTTCCCCCTAACCTCTCCTCTCGTAATATTCATCATAAGAAAAAGAAGTGAAGGAAACCCGCAGAAGGCGGGAAGAAGACAGGTATCGAAATCTCAGATCCTCCGCTTGCGTCATCCAGGTGACACACGTTAAGTAGTATCATCGTTAAACATTGTGTCATTGTCTCCATTCTGCAAAAGATATACCGGCCAGTGGGGTGATACGGCCGGCAAGCGCTTAGGTGTTAGTGACAAGATAGCTCTGGATAGTAGGAAGGAAAAATAATAAGGATTCTGATGAGAATAAGCTCTACATAGTGCCTTAAGATATATTCTCAGTCCGCTGGTTATGCTTGACGGCTGTGAACTCACTAGAAGCATGAGTGATAGACTTGGTAAGTAACTCAGTTCTTTTACTTACTACAATCTCACCTCTCTATCCGTAGCCCGTAGTCAATACCACAGTAATGGATGAATGTTATTAACTACAGTGGGGAGATAATCTAAACCACCAAAAACTACGTCGGTATCCTTGAAGAATTACATGTCGGATGGATATACTGTATTAGAGACCCAGAGTCTTCAAGGTGGGTCTTGTCTACTGGAATACATAGCCACCTTTGTGTACCCTGAGACCCTCCCCAAATCATCAAACGGAGTGAGTATCGAGATCTTGGTACTTTCTAGCCAATCGGCGGGTTCGGCTGTATCTCGGAACTCTTTTCCGTGATGGTTGGCAATCTGGTCCTAAGTAGACAGTAGACCCTGTCCTGATATCTCTCAGTCTAACGAAACGAGAGCCTGTAAAGTCAAGAAAATCGAGAGGCCATGAGAATAAGTCCAAGGTATGGGGAACGGGGGTACCTCTCCACTTCAAGGTGCTAACCATGATGCTAACTACCAAAGAATTACAGACTTCGAAAAAGACATGTACCCTGATGGGACGTGTTCGTCAACCGATCAACAGCCGATGTTGCCCGTACATGCTAGCTGACTATTCCACATTGCATTCTTGGTGCGCAGGTCGTCCCTTTTGCCCGAGGGAGGTGCTTGTACGCGTATAGCTGCATCAATGCTTTTTGGTAGCTGACTAGCGCAGCGCAACATGACTAAATGCTTGCAAGTGACGGCGCAGTTGATCCTGTCTTGCCACGGATCTTCTCGAACTGAAAATTTTATCAAAGTGACGGGACACTCAGCTCCACATTCAACACGGCTAGATTTCGCTGCAACCTTCTCCACCTGAACAAATTAGCGCCAAACTGGAGCTTTGTAGTGGTAACAACATGTCCACTACCAATAACACTAGCAGTAGTAGCTAGGCTAGGGGGATGCTCCACGTAAATAAGTTCCAGTCTAGTGTGCACATTGGTGGGGTTTATCTTGTTAATTCAATAGTCAATGTTGCCGTAGTGTAACCCTACCCTGACCCCCATCCATGCCCACTTTTATGCATAGTCAGGATCCTTAGCCGTACCTATTGAACAGGATTATTCAATATCTGGCAGTCCCTGGATGTGTGGAATTAAAGGGAATTTTGCCCCTCGCATTTCGGACTAAAATTGTGACGAGCTGAGACTCTGTTTTATGATAATTCCGAACTGTGGCCACAGTCAGTGCGGGGAATTGTGAGCTGAACATAGTATTCAGCTGTACGATGGGTACAGGGATTCGTAGCAGTAATACTAAAAAAAAAAAAAAAAGCCAACTGAAAAGAAAAGAGAAAAATGAGGGCGGCAAAGTAGGAGCCAGAAATATACAGGCTGATTTTACGGCTGATTTTACACCCATGGTCGACTATTAGCATTCTTCTAGAGCTTACCTCCCTACTGGAATCAAATATCGAATTAGTGATCCTCTATCTGTTATTCAATTGATACTTTCGATATTTGAGGTCTAGTAAGCACTCCGCTACTGGATATTCAATCTAAAATCCCATCTGCACGCAATGAAGCTACCCACCCCCCAACCGCTCCAACAGGTACACGTCTCCCTCAATACAGGAGACTATGAGCCTGTAGCAACTTACGACTCCAAGAAGGCAACATATCTTCAAGACCAGGAGGCCATTCAAGAAAGCCTCACGCGATTATGCTCTGCCAACTCGTGGCATAAAAGCTCCCGAGCGGCGTGTTCCCCCCGACCGGTTCTCGTCAGTGCAGAACATCAACGACAATGGAGAGAGCTTCATGAAGCTCTGGTCCTTGCCATAACCGATATTGTTGAACGATGGTGGGCGGACCCCGCCGCACGGTTTGCAGAGCGTATGCCTTTGGAGCCGGAAGAAGAAGAACTACTTCGTGTATGTTGTTTCTATTATACACTATTGCGACTATGTCACTAACAGTCCACTGTATTAGTGGATTGACAGTCAGGTTCCTGACAGCCTTCCTCCTTACCGGGAATGTCGAGGTTCATGGAGGCCAGATTTCCTAGTAGAGGAAGACAGCAGCGGAGAGAGCCCTGTGCCTGTGGAAAACTTCCGCATCAGTGAGATCAACGCACGGTTTTCATTCAATGGGCTTATGTATGCGGCCTCTGGACAACAGGCATTTCATGAAATGGGTATCTGTGGTGGAAGGAATGGCCTGGTAGGCGGTACTGATCCTGCAAATGTAAGTCATGCGCCTTTAGAACCTCGGACTTGATTAGTTAACAGGGCATAGATGATCGACGGCCTTTTTAATCTCTTTCAGCCGAGTCTTCCGCTGCACCTGCTCAAAGGTGCGGAGGCGGGTATCGATATCCACATGGTAGTAGACTTTCTCCAGCGTCATTTAGGTATCACCCCTCGATTCATTACGCCCGCCGATCTGAGGCTACTGCCGGATCCTGAGTCAAAGGGTGGCTACAAGCTCTGTTGTGTGGCTGAACGCCCGGAAAGCGTGAACACCACAGCCCCACCTTCTCCGTTAATTTATCATGGCGGAGAGATCTTGGAAGAAATTCAGCAGGTCGGTCTCGAGCTCCACCAGCGAGAGTTTCATGCCTTACAGCCAGAAATGCTGCGCCAAATCAGTCTCAGATGCTTTAACGATATGCGTACCATTCTCCTTGTTCATGATAAGAGAATGCTCGGTATTGTCAAGCAGGAGCTTGATTCTCTAGTGGCAAGGAACATTCTCTCGCCCGCACAGGCGAAAACCCTCGACAGGGGCATCCCGGACACAATCCTTCCGGGTTCACTGGAACTTCACCAGCTGATCGGGCATTCCAAGGAGCTGCCGGAGCTAAAGAACGAGTATCTCCTGAAACCTATCCGCAGTGGGAAAGGTGATGGAATTGTATTTGGGGAAGACTTGAGTTCGACTGAATGGGTTGCAAGACTACAGCAATTGAGGGCCTCCCAATTGTCTGCTGGTGGTGGCACCTGTATTATTCAACGCAAAGTCAATCAGATACTTTACGACGTGGTATTGCGACCAACAGGTGCGAAAACTAGGTATTCCCTCGTTGGGACTTATCACTCAATCAATGGCCAGTTCCTTGGGGTTGGCGTGTGGCGTAGTGGTCCAGATCGAATCTGCGCTATCAGCCATGGGGGTGCTTGGACGTGTTCTGTTATGCGTGACGTCTAGGTAATACGTATACATGGCATCTCTTTTATATAGTCTGTTTCTTAACTAATTATATTCTATACAATTATCCGTACGGCACATTAGTATCGTGGCTTCCACAGAGTTCGCAGTAACTGTAGATTCGAGAACTACAATTGCACATAATATCCAATATAGGCGGAGATGTTCGCAACATTTGACTGGCTCTAATCGGCACATCGCAATGCGCGAACAACAGCAAAGTGAGTCCAATTCAAATTACTGTGATGGCAGGCTGGAATCCCCTAAACTCCGCAATAAGTTTGGCGTGTGATTGTCCATCAAAAAGCCTTCAGTTGCCTCATACATTCAGCTAAGTGGAGGCCGGAAGCTGGGGTGACTGGTAAGCGCTGCCCTGTCAAATACCATGCAGTACCAGATCATCACAGCAACATATGCAAGGTAGGATTTGGAACTACCGGGGATTCAGCTGCACATGCATAGCGTTTAGCTCCTGACTAAGTGGCGATCGACTAGTGCAAAATGTTCAGATAGTTTTGTTCAGCTCATGGATATGGCCGTGGGTCCGCTAATAGGTGGTGTCATATTGGTACGTTACAGGAGATGGCTATTTCATGTTGCTTTTCGTTATATGTTGCCATTTACGAGCAGGTGTACAGTACAGTATTGGCATCTTACGACTGTATCTCGAGGGCGCCGTGTGGGTAGTCTTGGGATAAGGAGAGCTAGGTCTGCATTTCAGCTCATTCCCGCCAATTTGCCCCGCTGAACTGAGTTGAACTGGCTATGGTCCCAGTATATAGCGGCCGACATACTGCCATGCTTTAACAACCCCTTCCTCACTCGATAATTCATCCACTAAGTCAAACGGGGAGGCGGCCACCTTGTTATTAATATTCCCACGCCCTCTGACCAGGACTTTAGTCGGAAGACTATCTCCGGACCAAATTTTGTCCTTATTAAAATTCACCTGGGGGACTATATCCCTCGAAAGCATGCAGCAATTCGTACGCAACGTCAGGCCCAGCAGGGTGTTGGACTTGGCTACCCGTAAGTCAAACACTCCCTAAGCCCTGAGTGCGACAAAAAGCCCTAATGCATCACAGAGACACCTCGTGCGGTACCGCATTTAATAGCAAGTGATATCAGCTGTGCATCACGCCCAAGCCACATTACAGAGGTTTCCAACTCTCTCCGGAAAAGTGGCATCCTCAAAGTCAGCCTACAGTTCAAAGATGACAACAGCCACTATCTCAAAAATCTCATCCTCGGTCTCCACAAATACCATGGACATGGACTACCCATTACCCATAGCGCATCACGCGGTTGGTTCTGGGATATTCGCCCGAATAGCACGACCTTCCAAACCCCCACACATCAAGCTCGATCTGAGACGATGCAGGAGTTCCCTTGGCATACCGACTGCAGCTATGAGGAGGCACCGCCGAGGTACTTTGCGTTACAGGTACTGCGGGAAGACCGCTGTGGTGGCGGTACACTCTCTGTCATGAACGTGGGGAAGCTCAGCTCGTTGCTTTCTCCGACTACCTGCGCCGCACTGCTGCGGCCCGAGTTTCGCATTGATGTGCCTCCAGAGTTTGTGAAAAGTGACGCCAAGAGGCAGATTATTGGTAGCTTACTAGCGTCTGACGTGAGTGGGGTTCCCAGTATGGTTCGCTTTCGCGAAGATATAGTGACCCCTTTGAGTATCGGGGCTGCTGCTGCGCTAGCGGAGTTAAAAAGCTGCTTGCTGGGTCTAGAAGTACAATCCGAGACGCTCCATCTCACTCCGGCATGTTTACCTCAGGGTTCGGTGGTGCTCATGGATAACTGCCGATGGCTTCATGCCCGGAACGAAGTTAGGGACCCTGCGCGCCATTTACGTAGGGTCCGTTGGGATCCGAGAGCTTTTTCTTCAATTTGTATTTAGCGTTTTGTTGTTTGTCTATAAGAACTATCTTGGATGAGGGACTATGACAAGTAGGGTCATGGCTGTCAGCGTTATGCATGGCACTACTATTACTCATTTGGTGACTAAAATATTAACGCTAGAGGCCAGCGCCATCAACTAGCTTAAGGCAATGGCTCCAGCAGTGCATTTATCTAAATCGGCTACGCCGCTGTCGGTTTCCGTGACAAATATAGACCGTCGATGAATCCACACTCGTATATGCCAAAGCATTTAACCGCAAGTAACAGCCAATGCCTGGTATTGATGTATTGATGCATTATGTTTTTCTCACGAAACATCACAAAGTCAAATTCATACTAAGCTTTATCACGGTTTTTAGGTAGACGCTTTACTTTCGTCCAGCTGAAACCCACAGTCAGCCACAGTTTTCTACTGCCATCCCCCTTTTGCGAGTTACTTAGATCTCACCCCCCCCCCCCCCCACAAAGTCCATCTATAACTAATCCCGCAGCTCGTCTGGATGTACCACATAGGCGACACGATGGACATGGAGTCCGCTCATAACGTAAGAGAAAAGGACAGCCCAGGGTCCGCTACGGTACAATAGCCAATCGGATGAATATGGAAGAAACGTGCAATTCTATTGTATCATAGGCTTTGCGTTGTACAGAAGAAATTGGCCATCCACCTCGAGTGGGGTGCAGCTGAAGGGCTGGTTAGCATTTCACGGGTTGAAATCTCTGCATTCAAGAATTTCAAATTTGGCTGCCAAAATGAGACAGTAAAGGATCCACTTCAGAGTGGCCTCTTCGAGCGTTCTGCCTCTTGTAACCACTTGCGCAGGGGAATCCTAGCGTTAAGATGTCCGAGGAATTTTTATGCGTGGGCTGACAGTAAGCAGACTACTGTTATCAAGCATAAATGATCACTCTTCAGTTGGCTTTCGTTTGCCCCCTTTTCCGATCGCCAGATCTAATGATACCTCGGAAGTTAACTTTTTCAGCTACGACCCCACCATAATCGACAGAGCTAATAGATCGAACTGAGCCAAATATACAAAGATCTTCTCCGTCCTCCATCTACGAACCTAACCCCAGTCCTTAAACAGGCAGGCCCACGTTCCACTACGTAGCGCATGATGCTATACCGAAATAATTGCCAGTGCAATATAATTTTAAAATATTCCACAGTGCTTTACCGTACACTTCCAAAACCCTTGAAAGGGGAGTAGTTTTCAAAGGGTTTCAGCTCCGATATTATTCTTGCATGGAAAATTCGACGCTAATATGCTTGGCAGCGTCAAATATTATCCGATATGGAATATAGCCAAGATGCAAATGACACGCATCCCCTCTTATCACGTGCTTTTAGTTTGTTTCTATTCGTGTACACCGTAAGATCCCGTACCAATTGGAGCGAAAGAGGCTCAGGGGAAACTCCCCCGAGCCCACCCGAACCTATGGTAGGCAGCGCCAAGCTCCGGGCCGTGCCACTGGCATCGTGCGGCTTGCCCAATGGTGTGCCATGTTCCAGTTTGGTTAGATTGAGCAGTGAGCAAGCTCCGGTTAGTACCAATTATTAGGAAGATCCCTCGGCATTGCTTTCAGTGAATAGGACTGTACTCTGCACGGATTAGTGAACCCTAATGCAATAACTATCGACCCCCCACCACTCAGGAGGGAAAATAGCTGAAGATCCTCGACGGAGGTTCCTAAATGAAGAAGGAACGAAATATGTATATACAGAACCTTAGCCTACTAGGATAGAACCTAACACAGGGAGGAGTACAGAGAGGGTTGCTTGTCATGTCGATGGATCTATGTGTGTGGTATCTATAAAAGAGCTTCTGACCTGGACCGTTTTGTACCATCCGTAACCTCTCTATCGGGTCTCAGTGGAACATGGTCATCAACATATATAACATCGTAGTGATTTGAGAACCCATTGAACTGAGTAGAAGTGGCCACCGTGTATGCTGTAATCCCGTTGTGTCAATTCGCACCCTTTTGCAAACATAGACTAAGCAGCGAACTCACCTCCCATGTTGTCAAATTTCAACCAATCCCCCACCTTTACCTCACACGCCATCATAGCTTCTTTGGCAATACAGTCAAATCCATCGCATGTTGGACCCCAAACAGAATACCGATGCGCCCCAACCTCTCTCTCTGAATCATGCTCCATCCCCTGTCGGATAAGTGTAGGAGTATAAACCTCATTCTCCATAATAGCATTCATGAAACATCCGTATATCCCATCATTTAAGTATAGCATGTCGGCCTTCGTTGAGCGATCCTGTCCAATTTGCTTCCGGCGCGAAGTCGCCTTACATGCCATAGTATAGAAGCTCCGCGCGTAGTAGCGGCCAGGCTCGGCCATCAACTGAGTTGATTTCGGGAATTCCTTGTCGATAACTCGTTGCAGTGTCGCGGCCATTGCTTCAAAGTTAGAGTCTTGGAACCCGCCTCCGATGTCTAGGAGGCGCATTTTAAACCCAAGCTGCTTGCCTTGCTGGAATACCCGTTTCGCGTTTTCTACAGCTGTGACAAAGGCCTCTGAGTTTGATGCTCCGGATCCTGTGGTTATCAGCATCCTGTAGAGGAGGTCGTACGAGCCAACCACGAAATGAGCGGAGGGTGTCCCAATACATACCGATATGAAAGCTAACTCCCTCTACCGTTAGCCCTAGGTCCCTTGCTCTCAGAAGCAACGCCTTGGTTGTATCTAGTGGCGCTCCGAACTTGTTCCCAAGAGAAACAAGAGCGGTATCATCGTCGGCATATATACGGAGTAGTAACCGTAAACTGGGAGCATTGGCCTTTATCTTCTCCAGTTCATCGACGTTGTCAAATGTCGTGCGCGGCACGCCTCGCCTGGCGGCCATCTGCAATGCGGACACTGCTTTGCACGGATGAGCGAAGATGACCCTTGATGGATCGCCCCCTAAGTCAAGGACAAGTTTCATCTCTCCCCATGAGGCGCAATCGAAGCCGACGCCTAACCTCGCGAGATAGCGAAGAAGCCGTACGTCAGAATTACATTTTACGGCTATGCATTTTCTTAGTTCTTTCTATCAGAAGCATTTTATATAGTATGAGAGACTGACCGTAGAATGGTGTAACGTTGGGGAGGCATCTGAGCCAGCGTTGGTGTTGCTCAAAAATGCGACTTGTATCAGCAACCAAGAACGGTAGGTCATGGCGAATATCAGCAGGATTTTTATTCAACTCCCGAATTCGGTCGCTAATGAGACTATCTATTAGGCTGTCAGAGCCTATGTCCGTCACTAACATCTTGAGATGGAATAGGTAATGAACGTAGGTAACATGCTATAGCTCAAGCTTCTACTGCCACATATATATACTAGAGGCATTTGCCTTTACGATGCTCATGAATTGCCTGTATGCGGTATGAGTTCTAGCTGAAATCCCTCAGGCCGCTTCAGCTTCAGCACCCGCGACATTAAGAACGCAATAATACAACATAACCTCTACGAGCTGCGGAACGACTCAGCTTCACATCGAGCTAGTTCCCGCGTCGATCTGAGTTACCTTTCGATCTGCAGGGAGCTTCCAGTGGGTAAACCTATGGCGAATTCACATTAGGTAAATGTATCCCCTAGGGCCACGCCACTATGCAGAATGCAGCATGCACGATGCCAGTAAGAATGGGATATTCCACTAGCGGTCAGCACCGATCCGCCACTCGCAGGATCCTAATTTATTCAGTCCGAACCAAGCCTCCAAGCAGCCATACCCGCCAGATCCCATTCAGCTGGGCTATCATTACAAGTTCAAGGTCTGGGTGTACCTCTAAATCGAGTCAGAAGAGTGCATCTACCAGCCCCACCCACGACGCTACTGCACTTTAGGGTCCAATGTATTGATCTGTTTAATTACACTTACCATTCAATACAAATATTGTCAACCAATGTCATGAACTAATTAGCGTATTTCTAGCGAGCTTGAGACATATATGCCAGCTGCAGGTATGTCGCCGTATTTCCAGCACACCCGCATGGCATACTATGTCCAGCCTTAATGCTCGTGCGTCGTATTGCTTTCAGCTGGGCGTGGACCTGTTTATTTGATTCGGTTTTACATATTCAATGGCCAGAAGACCCTGTCAAATGGGTCCGCGGCCTTCAGTATCGTGGCAAAGCTCAAAGTGTTTCAATTGCATATATAAGAACGTAGAACGCGCCATAATTATAAATGTGTTGTAGCTCTTTTCACCCCTTTAGGAAAGTTTGATATAATCACAATTGATACCCTTTTTGCTTGTTTCCTCCCTTGCATGATGACTCCGCCAGCATTTTCCCTCACGGAAGTTCTCGCCGTCTCCAAGATACACCCCTTCTATAACCCCGATATTCAATACCCTCCGAATCCCGAAACGATTGAGTCAGCAGTCGAATTGGCGGAAAAGAAATCAACGGAAATTGACCTCAGTTCGGTGCCCCTAGTCAGCAAGAAAGACCTGTAAGCCCTTGCACCGCCATATACTCCACCAGCTGCCACTGACAACACCCTAATCCAGTTACAAAGTCATTGCGCGGCTTACAGACGACACGAGTCCGCAAAATGAGTACCGGCGCAGTTCATACGTCAGCATCACGGGCGGGGGCTCTGGTGGGCTTCCGCTGATGTTTGTGACCGACACGCAAGAAAATCGCAATCATCGAGCAGCTTTTGGCGAGTTCTTGAGAACTTGCAGAGTGGTCGAGCCTCATGATTGGATTCTCACGACCCATGCGTCCGGCTACTTTTACCGGTATGCTATCCGGTCTGAGGGATATTTCGAACGGCATGAAATACCCGAATTTTCTCTAACTGGTGTATAGGTCGCTCGATCTTTTGAGTGAGATTTTGGAAAATGCCGGCGCAACCGTTCTCAGTGCCGGGAATTTTATGACGCCTGCTGAAGTGGTCCGTGCTCTGGCACATTACCATGTCAATGTCTTGACCGGTGATGGTAGTCAAGTTATTCAGGTCGTTCACTATATTTCCACGCTGCCCGAGGAGAAAAGGAAGGCAATTAAGCTGAACAAGGTCATCTATACCTCTGAACCGCTCACTGAGACGCAAAAGAGTCACATCGCGGCCACCTTGGGCCCGGTGAAGATATGTTCGATTTGGGGAAGTGCAGAGGCAGGACCGTGTGCCATAAGTCACCCTGACCTTATCGCCCAGGAGCGTCCAGCTGGCACTACGGACTTCGTCTTTGACACTCGAAGCGTCATAATTGAGATCCTTCCGCCATCCGCCTCGGACGGCGATTCCCCCTCGGGTGGAAGGTCCGTACCAGATGGGGAAGAAGGGATCATTGTCCAGACCTCCCTGCAACGTCGTCGGAACCCGCTTGTTCGCTATATCACAGGTGATATCGGGTCCCTACACCCACTACCGGAATCCGCCCGGTCGATCATTCCTGAGACTGAATTCGAGCATCTTCGCGTTCTCCGCTTTCGCGGCCGCGACCGTCGTTTCAGTTTCAAGTGGTTTGGCATGTACTTTGAGTTCGAGAATATCGTAGCTCTTATGCAGACGGAGAAATCTGGAATATTGCAATGGCAGGTTATCATAGCCTCGCTGGAGTCGTCTCCGCAGACGAAACTGGAGATTCGTCTGCTCCGTGAGGCGGATGGTGAACATATCATGCCCAGGGAGGAGCTTGTCAAGATGTTGGAGACTTTCTTTTTTGTTCTGGCGGAGAATAGCCATCTGTTCCAGATTACTTTCCTGGATAATTTGGCGGGCTTTGAAAAGAGCAGTACGGGGAACAAAGTCATGAAGTTCGTAGATAAATTGCACTGATTCGACTATGTTGAGGTAGTCTGAATAAATACCCTAAGTGACATCAGATGACAAGAGGTCGGTGTTCGGTAATCGCGATGACTACCCTTTAGACCACAATTCGAGCTACCTCTTAACATATACACATGGAATTGTATGTATCTTTTAGATTGAGTAAACTCAACATTGATAAATTGATAACTGTAGGTCCAAGAGAGAAACATACTTATGAAAATCTCTTGTATGCTACGAGCAAGGCCTGGGTTAAATACAAATCATGCTGATAGAGAGGTAACAGAAGGAGACAAGCGATGTCGAGAAACTAATCTAACCTATCATTGAACTAGCCATCGAACCTCTGGAGTAAATTATCACTAGGAAGGATGAAGCTCTTCAGGCACACGAGCCCATGTAACGACTTCCAGCGATCCAAAATAGACTTCTCTCGAACCAAGGGTCAACTGCGCCATCGCACAGTTAACAATAGCGAGGAGCGCCTATCTGAGCCACTATTATACCGCCCATGTCTTAGTCTACCATTGTATTGGTAGGCTATTATCAATTCTTGCATATAGGCATCAGCTCTCCCACAATTCCCTATTCAGTTTATGAAAAGCTCATACAACGTCGTGAGTGATCGATAGACGACATATGACTAAAACCTATATATGAGGAAGTGGTAATGTTGATGATTCACTCCACCTATATACTACTGCCTTTCTGTGGGATCAGGACACCTGCTAAGTCCTTACCGCGTAACCCAATTTGTTCTTTTTTCCGTGTTTCACTCTTCATTGATAAAGTAGAGTACCTAAAGAGTACCTAATGCATTGCACATCATCTTCCTTTGTTTATGATATCTGAATATGTGCGGGCCAATCCATATGACAGAAGACTTGAAAGCCCAGATGCCAATAATTCTGCTCAGCCCCGAAATACGCTCTGGATCCTTCGTCCTCACCATCCCTTTTCCATCCTTGTTTAACTATCAGGACGAACAGGTAGTGGTCTAAGTAGTCGGAGTCGAGTTTTCTCAACGCCGCGCAATTCCTCCATGAGGGGTTAGAGGTGGAGTCGACTCTGAACCCCGCGAGGAAGACGTGGCCTTGATCGTAAACCCTCATATCTCCCTGAATCTACAAGCTCGATCATCTGCCGTCCATGGACGTCCAAGGTAATTACCATGGGGTCAATCGCCGATATTACCTGTGATGAGGCCATCGTCTACGCGAACTAGATGCACGCACGGGACGACTTACAACATAGAGAGCGACAGCTAGCGCTTGATGCTCCTACGAAGGCAACTCCGTCTTTGTTGGAGTCCCAAGCGGATAACAAATTTTGTCAAGTTCTCGCTGCGGGTCGTCATGCACTCAGCAAGGACTTAGGCCTCGAACCCGGTCATAGCTTTTATTCGGTCATGCCGGCTGCCAATAAAAGCGACTTGAAGCGAATTGCTCGCCATCCTCCCAAAGGTACTTTACTGCACTATGATCACGACGCGATGCTGCTAAACGCGCAACATATGGAAAATATACATATAAAAAGCTCTTCGCCTCTAGTTTCTGAGTGATCTTTCGCGGAAGCGCTTGTCGACATGTAGCTTCTACCGCGCAAGAAAATGGAGCTGATGGGATAAATAAGTCTTTTCAGCGGGTCCTATTCAGCCGAATACTAGATGTCATACAAGAGCTTGCGCGAGCTTTCCCCCGCAGCGCCGTAAGCCGCGGAAGGTTGGCTTGTTTCGAAAATTGTCCTCCAATCCCAGAAGATTTATTGGACACGCCGGACAGTGAACGGGTGCACTTTGACAACCATCCTGCCACTTGGGAATACAACCAATTGTGACATTGTAAATAGTATTTGGCGTCATATGCATACCTCCGCGGGGCCTAATCAGGGATCAAAGCGTCATGAAAGGCCTTGGAGAGGATGCATCCGTCAGGTTGTAGGAGTCTCGAACCTGTGTGGTGAGATACTTCCGGGGTCCAAACAGATAGATCGCCGGTACTCGTTTATTAAGCACCCGCTGCTCATTGATATTTGCAAATAGCGCAACATTGCCATCGAGATTTGCCCGACCTCGGGCTTTAGTCCACCCTTTGACACCTATACTAATTTCTCGTAGGCTCATATTCCTCGCACGAGTTCTATCAAATCCCGTTAGGGTCAAACGAGATTCACCTTGCTGGTTGGAGGCGTCTTGCAGAATATGGTTTTGATCTTGCAGAATATGATTTTGATTATAGCTGCATGACCGATCGGGAAGCCGGAAAGCTGGCTTCTGAAACGACTTGGAATTGTTCTATGCCCAGATCATTAAGGAGTTTTCTAAAATTCATTAGGACCCATTATCGACAACACCAAAGAGAATAAATGTAAGTTGCAGAAATCGAAACAGAGTGAGCGTTATCGACCGTCAACTAGGTCTGGATGCACGGAGACCGCAATTAAAATGTCCGGCTCACTATGTTAAGAATAGTATGCATAGAGAATGTAGGGAATACAGGAGGGTCTATGTACCTTTGTCAGAATGGTACACGGCAGTCCAATAGAAAGATAGCAGATAAAGTCAAGGCGGTACATACGGTACTGTCAAGTACATAGGTAGTCAACTGATGACAAGATAATGAAGCAACCGACCTTATATAACTACTCAAATGACTCATTCTCTCCTAAACATTTTCCCTCCTTCCCTTCTTTCCCAATAACTAATTGCTCTATACGTACTCAGCCCCCAAAGAACTCATCAAACAGGCCCTTCACTAAGAGCTCTCTGCTTCTCTTGCTCCTTCTTTCCATATACCAGGTCATCATGGCTCCAAAATCACCCATCCCAAATCACATGGATACGGCGGACGCTTTCCAACCTGGTTTCGGGCGATATACTCGTCTCGGACCTCAAAGTCTCCTCGAAATTTCCTGGCCTCTGGTATCGAATCCACGTTTTGATCGTCGCTGATCTCAAGAGATTTGATAGCCCCGCTTCTATAAAGCGACTTGAGAAGCTCACCGATCCTTCTTACGTTGGCGAGCCGTACTTCACTCTGGAGGAAGCAGATACGATCAAGCATACCGTCTTTAACAATGGAAATCTGTTCACGCTGTATCTCGAAGACGAGCTTAACCAAAGGCTCACTCGACGCAACATGAAACGTGTTGAAAGCGGCAACTTTCAAGTCTGCACTGCTCACGATCTGGCCCTTATAATCGCTCAGGCACTAGGTATGGACCTAAAGCAGCTAGAGAAGGACAAGAAATTTGCAGGTCTTGTCGAGATAAAGGGTCTTCTCTTGGAAAAACAACGTTGGGGTGGCTTGCAAAAAAAGATCGCTTTCTCCTAAGCATAGGAAACACCGATGAGCCATGGCCATTTCTATCCGATGAAACTTTCAGAGACCATCTTTGACTATCCATCTGCTATTACCTTTGGCCTCCATTCATACAAAGAGTTAACACTGTTGATGAGGGTCTACAGTCGAGCTACGAAGTTTAAAGCATGCAATCGCATTCTATTATGGACATGGACCTTCCATAGCCTTGGGCGATGTGGGTATCCGGAAGAGTTTCACTTATATTTCCGAGCTCAACTGTGCAGAGTTTACTAGATCCATGAGTAGTGGAAGACAGGAATCTTGTCAGGCATCTATTTCTCCTCCTTTTATGAGATATAGGGCTTGCTAATGTTGCTTTTTTAAACCACAGATACTCCCATGGGGCCACCATTCAGCAAGATAGCAAAAGGAAATGTGGGGGAGGGGACTAAAAGGGGGGAGGGGAAAACAAAAAAACGTCTTTACATTATATATTCACCTTGATTGACTTCGTGAACCTACACTGCATGATGCTACCCACATCCTATCCTATTGGTATGTCTATATATACTCTACCTGACAAGGTATAATCTTGCGTCTGCGATCTCTAAAGACTAGGCGACCCTTGTCTAGGCACCGAAGCCCAAAATAATCCGATCCCGATAAGCAATCCCAGCATTATGGGCTGCATGACCTGAACACCGGCCTGGGAAGCGATCGCACCTGTCATAAAGGGGAAGGCAGCAGCGCCAGCCTGACCCAAGCTCGCCGTAAGCCCTGTCATCGAGTATAAGCAGCTATAATAAGGAACCTCCATTGTAAGGATAAACTAACCTAAAGCTCCAATACGAAGTTCTTCTGGGACTACGTGGGTAAGAACGTAAAGTCCGATAGGGTAAAACGGACCGATGAAGAATCCTACATTTGTAAGAAGTCATTTCACCCAGGCGGCGTATAAGTGGGCTTGGATATAACCCACCTAAAAGACAAACCGCGATAGCGATCACAATGATGTTCGGAACAAGCCAGAACAAAAGCTGCATGGTGATCGCCAATGCAAGGTAGACAAATACCATGCGACGTTCCCCGAAATAGTGCGTGATATCGGCCAGCACGACGCGGCCTAGTGTGAATCCAGACCAGAATCCAGAGGCTATGTACCCTACCTCCTTGGGATCTCCGTTCCTGACGGAGACGATGAATTGGACCATCCAACCTGAGACGTTGATATGGTTAGTACATTAAGTCTCTTCCTTTCTGTGATGTTGAATGGATCGCCTACCGCCAACAGTAACCTCCGCACCGACATACAAAAAGAAGAACCCGCTAAGAATCCAAACGGCTTTATTTGAAAACGTCGCTTTTAACTCTCTCCCGGCTGTGCCGCTTGCATTCCTCTTATTGGGCTTAAACAGACCTTCTCTAAACGTCCATATGAGCAAACCCAAGTTAATCAACCCCAAGCACAGCATTACCAGATAGAACTTATGCCAGACTGGCGTCCGCGAGGCGATCATGTTGGCGACCACCGGTGAGATAATTGTCCCAACGCCATATACGCCATGTAGGATTCCTAACCATCGGTGAGCGTTATCAACGGTCGTTGTAAACGTGTTCGCCTGGGCATCCTGATACGCCGATCCCATGCCACTTAGGAAAAATGCAGCAATAAATAATGCAAAGGGCGGGTTCCAGAACATAAGGGCAAACCCCAATGTTTGGATCACTGCCCCAAGGACTAAAGTACCGCCTGTACCAATCCGGGAGCAAACATGGACATTGGAGAAAGACGCAGTAAGGCAACCAGCGCAGTTTACCAGGTAGATCTGCGAGACTTGGAATAGAGTGATGCCGTAGGTTGGTCGGATATAGGGGATTAGGACGCCCAGAGCGGCGTCTGATTACTATTAGCCCTTCGGCTTGAGTTGATGGATCATGTGCTGACCGTTCAACCCTGCAATCAGGAGGGTCACATTGGTACTGAATATCTTGCCGGAAACATCGCCCGCGCGCTTTTGGACGAGAGGAGTCGTCTCGCTTGGCAACTCCCCTTCTTCATTGGCTGTGACGTTCCTGTTGTGTACTGTGCTTATCGCCATTTCTGTAGCGTAAGGTTTGGAGAAAGAATGAGGGCAACCGGGTAAAGGAATGTGCCTCTGCTTCATCGCTAATGGAGGTGGACATTTTATTTCTAATATCGGGTGGAGATGGCATTATCGCGGCTAACCCGCAATAAAGAAATCGTGAGGGGCAAAGATGCAAGGGCTTAGACATCCGCGTATCAGATTTTCAGGGTAAGCCAAGCAAGTATTGGTATTGACCGCAGTGGTGGAGAATTTATTCTTCCCGTAGCTCTTTAGGGCCAGTTCCCTAACTGCACGAGGAGTCTGTTAAGCCCTTCTTCTAACACAAGACCAGGTCTGTAAACGAAAGCCCTTTACCTAGTATATAGCGAAAGACTGTTGACTGCAATTGAAAATAGAATTTTAGACGTATTATTCTCTCCCTTCTATCTTATACAATGTGGAAAAGCGCAGCTGTTTATGGCGAGCTCAGAAGGTTCCATGCTGGGGCTACAAGCACGAATTAGACCAGGTGCTGATTGGTGCGTTACTCTCTAGGTGGAGAATTTGCTGAGGATGCTAAGCTTCGATTAGCAATCCAATGAATCGAGCGAGTAAAAAATGTTCGATCTTCTTAGCTTTGCTATAATCTTCTAAACACTCCTCCGCCCACCTGTATTGTCTAGGAGGAAGCTCGCTAAGGCTGTCTAAAACTATTACTAGATAATAGATCATAACTAGGTTCGCAAAAGTAGACACCTCAGGCACAAATAGATGGATAGAGAAGGCTGTCAAGTGACGAAATCCTCTCACTTTTCACTCACACCACCTCATCTTCACCCGGCCCACAATGGCAACACGCACCTCTAGTAAATTCCTAGACGCCATACTCAGCGGTTAAGATGGAGCCAGCAACTCTGGCTCCGGTTTTTGGACAGCAAAGGGCCACACATCCGATCACCACATCAACACGACTTGTTCAGCAGTCGGATAACGAGAGCCGAGCCAGCCCCGAACGAGGATGCAAAATAACAAATTTCAATTTCTTCCTATCCTAAATTTACTGTATCCTAAACTATCCAGAAGGCCCTTTTATATGTGGCCTGATTACCATAGTATTCAACAATCCACATATTTCCGCAGGTGGTCAAGTCATCAGGCATACGTCAGGCGCCTGCGATACTAGGTAATTTCATGGGCGTATTCAATATACAATAACAGTAATTACTAAGGGGCACCCCGCACCGAGATTATAATATAAGCCAGGAACAGGACAAGCTATAGAGAAATTAATTAATGCGGTAGGTCTTAGCTAATTAACAAGATGTAGTTCTATAGATAGTAATTCTGGCCTTCCCATCGTATGGGTAACAAGTCTTATAGTGGAGGATTCATGGGACATAATGTGTATTGTTTTCTTGAGTGCCGTAGTTGCCAAATTCAACAACTGGCAACAGTCGTTTGGAGTCTCGACCAACTGTCTTATCTGCAAGCATGCCAAGAGAAGGCACCTTAGAAAATGCAAGGGTGATGGAAATCCAGGAATCAACTGTTGAAACATAGCAATATGTCCCCCCCTTGCGTGAGAACTCATATAGGGAACTCTCGGCGCTCCCATCGGCCTGCAGAGAAGCAGTCGACCCCAGATTATGAAGGAGTCATTGTATCTGGCTGATGGTAGAGCGGCTTTCTCAAAGCATGGTGAGAGATACCTATTAGTAGAATTGGTCTCCGGCGTTGCAACTGAAGGGGATGCAGACCAGGCACACCTGTTTGACGTCCGGTCCTTTGCCCATTCCAAACCAGGGGCTCCGGCTTGGCAGGGAATGCTCAGCCTCGGGGCCTCCCTCAATCACGCGAGCAAGAATACATGGCAGTGAGACATTGAGCGAGAAAATCACACCGCTTCTCTGATATCGTATGGTCATAGCGTAAGACATCACAGCGCAGAAAGGTATAGAGATCATCAAAAGAAGAAGGAGAGACATGAACACAACGTGCACGTACTGACAACTACCTTAAAGGCAATAGATCGGATCCTCCACTGTGATACCCGCATGCATTTCTACAGTTGGACTCTACCAACCGTGCTCCATAATTCTCTTCAGTAGGGTCCACGCGAGGCTTTTTGTGCCACATACCGTTGTCCGTGCCAACCCGTGGTGGCCGTTGAATTACTACTCTCAGGCTCACTCCCGAGATATATTTCCCGACCGGTAGGCTTCTGGATAATCTCTCTCAGGCGATTTAAGATGACAAATTCGACTTTAAGCTTGATGCCGTACACGCAGGGTTTGAATGCTCCCTGCAGTTGGAATAAATCGGCACACTGGATCCCGAGGAGCGTGATGTCCAGCGCAATAATAAGAGTGTTGGCGTATATAAGCTGCCATAGCACTGCTTTCTGCTCGTTTAATTGCGCCCGATCACTACCCTGAACGGCAGATGACGTGGACCAGGCGCGCTCACGCAGTGGGGCGCGTCCGCGGAGGAATTTCTGTGTCTGAAATATGTAGAGAATGCTGAGGGTAGTCTCCTGGACGAAGAAGACGACGAGCTGCACACGGTCCCAGATGAGATTGACGGAGTCGAGGTTCGGGTTTGCCGTCGTAGATTGCTATGCAAGAGGGCCACGTTAGTGGCTGACCGTCTGACTGTCTGTCTGTCTGTCTGTCTGTCACAGCTCCCACCCCCCCCCCCTCCCTTTTCTTTTTGCTCAGGAAACACTCACAGCAACGGTACCGATCACGATGGTCGGGATTGAAAATCCAATAGAGTTAAATATGAGGATGAACTTGATAGCCCTTAGGGTCTTTGCGTTGCGCAGGAGCAGATGAAGTCGCGAGTATAGGACCCAGCTTTGGGGGATGACCATGATCAACCATGTCAGGTAAATCATGGCTACGGATGCTGCGAGGTCTGTCCATACGCCGAAGTCGGCAAGGATAATGAAAAGAGGTTGCAGGATAACAGCCCAGGAGACGAGTGCGCATGACCAAAAGTATAATCCGCGACGTCGCTTGAAGAGTAGGAATAAGGACGTGTTGATCTCAACCCCGATGTACCATGAGATTCCCGTAAAAGCGGCCATTGTCATGGACACGGGCAGGTCATGGCTAAGATCGCTCATTTTGAGACGCACATGTGTCGTGTCTCGGCGCTTATATTTTTAAACTCTTGTGGATATCCGAAACCTGGGTACCAGCATGCTTGGAGAGAAAGAGAGAACAGGGCTGGAGGTGAAATCTTCGGAGCTGAGGCACGGCAAGTTTTAATACAGTTGCCGGATGGTATTGGCTAAGCCGGGGCCTTAAGGGGAGCATGCTGCGTAACAGATCCTTGCATAAACACGAGAGTCAGATTACCTCATGAAAAATGCATGTGTTGACTGGCGTTCAGGGGGATATAAATGCAGAGTTGTACTCCGTCAGCCCGACTTGGTGGTTACCCCGCGCATGTTGGGTTGTTGAGTGACAGTCCATTGGCCTATTCTTAGAAACCACTCATTCATTCCTCCCTCTCCCGGACTTTAAATACAAGAGCTACAAGGAATGCACATTGCTGAACTTCCAGCTGGCTACCACGACCGAGCTGGAATCCACTGTTGAATTTTCTCCATCACCGACACAATACATACCAAACGCAATGGCGATCGCACATACAGCCCAGGATGTCATCGCTGCCCTCAATCTCGCACCCCACCCGGAGAAAGGCTACTACGTCGAGACATTCCGAGACACAAACCTCTCGGCCGAGGGCCGCGCACCCAGCAGCTATATCTACTATCTCCTCGAGGGCGAATCCGGACTATCGCACTGGCACCGTGTGCGCGACGCTGTCGAAGTTTGGCATTACTACGCGGGCGCACCGTTGCAGCTCTCGCTATCGCGGGACGATGGCGAGCCCGTCCGCGACTTGATTCTTGGCCCTGACATCTGGCATGGCCAGAGGCCCCAGATCGTGGTTGAGCGCGACGAATGGCAGCATGCACTGTCCTTGGGGGACTGGACCCTTGTCGGCTGCTCTGTGGCGCCGGCCTTTGAGTTCGGGAGCTTTGAGATGGCGAAGCCAGGCTGGGAGCCAAAGGGCGCAGTGGAGAAGAAGTGATTGGACGAGGAATTATTGTCTTTTTAATTTCCCGCAACGTCTGCATCTTTTGTGGAAGTTCTCCTACGGTGTAGCCGACAATATGCCTACCAGACAAGACAGTCCAGATGGGTCAAGGGGAATGCGCTGTATGAATAGGGCTGACGTGTGAATTTACTTCCATGTCCCATGCAATTAAGAAGTTGATAGCCTTCTGCAGCATTTGATACTTCCATGCAACAGTAAAGGTTCCCCCCTCCAGCCCCCTCCTTTTAAGATCAAATCCTACTCGACAGGGACGAAGGCGGTCAATAGATGGTTTTCTTATGAAGCAAGAGTCCGGCAAGTTACCCTTATTGGTATTTTTGTTTTATTTTATCTTAGTTTCAGTTTTATCTTATATATATATATATATATATATATATATATATTTTCTTCTTGGACCGGGTTGTTGGTCGGGGTTGCTTTAATCAATCCTTTTCGAACATTTCCACGAGTCGGTTTCCCATACCTATTGCACTCAGGTGCCTATTGAAAGGGTGTCCATCTTCATCCCATGTTTGGCTAGGATCTTCGCTGCACGATTAGAAAAGAGGTAGTAGGTACCTGCAAGGATGCTCAAATCACCCCGAGCTTCACCGGCGAACAAAGAATAGACCGTGGAGGACACGTCAGCATTACTGGCCCCATGAACGCAGAAACAAAGCCCACGATATTGACCTTAACAGATGGGTATCGTAGGGTTATTCTTATCGACGAATACACAATTATAGAGCCCTGATTAGACATGAACAGAACGAGATAGCACAGCCTACTTATTTTTATAATGGCACGAGAAATAGAAATAGAACTACCGGTGTAAAGCAAAACATATTAGTATAATCATCCTGAAGGCTGAGCTAGTTGACGTGCAGGATCAACTGATCATATTCATTCTTTGCCGATCGCCTCCCGCTTCCTCCGAATGGATCAGCCCAGGCTATGAAATCGAGAAGAGGAAAAAAAAAAAAAAGAGCCAAAGAAATCATTGCGACAAGAATTCACTTATCACTGCTGGTTAAGCCGAGCCCCGCACCTGCCCTTGACGAAGATTTCCTATTCGCCTTCAATGTAACCCCCGATTGAATCCGTCTCTGCATATTACCAACCCACTCGCCATCGTCCTAATGATTCCGCTCTCCTAGTCTTTCGAATAAGTGATAATGCAGAGGGTAAAGTAAGGAAAATAAAGAATTTATATATTCTGCACATACAATGATGAATAAACCCATATATTTTTGATAGTATTAAAATTTAAGGCTAGTTTCACTCCTGATATCTATTTATCTTATAACGGTTCAAAGTCTCTATCTTCTTTACCCTATATCATGATAGAGTGGACAGGTGAGATATCCATCTTTTATTATAGGCATTCTTTACAATTACGTAGTAATTATAGAGTTAAGATTATTTCATTCTAGTTTTTTATCTTCCGTGATAGTTGTGGAGACATTTGATTTTTCGAAGTGTTGTAGAGCTTCTATATAAGTGTAGTGTGTAGTGAGACTAGTGAGACCTTTTACCTAACATGTAGCTTTGCAATGGTTCTCTCTAAGGAATGAGAATCAGGTTCCTTTGAGTGCCGGTTTTGTCTTTCACAATAGATTACTTCCTTCCATTAGTTCGGTCTTAAATATATTACGCCAGCAGCGTTTAGTCACAGGAGCAGAACATGGCGAATAGCATCTTGTACTTCACAGGGATCGGAGAACATTGGCCCGCTAACGCTGACAGTACGACGAAAAGAAAATAAAGTAGCCCATTCTTTATCAATTGCCTCTCATGAAGGACAAGAATAGCAAGTTTACCTCAATATCAAAGTCTTACAACGTACATCTAAGAGTTCAGGGAATGAAACAAAGACATCATGCATGGTCAGGGCCTCATTCAATATAGGAAGCGGGCGGGCCGTCTAATTCGTCCATTAATACATCCAAAAAAAACTATCGTGTAGGATAATGGCTATCGATTGGGTTTGGAGCATTTCAATACTAGGGTTTGGTTTCTTGTGATGCTACTCCATGGCATGGGATTTGGCAGGAAGGCATTTGCATAGAGCTCAGTTCTAGTGATATACCTTAGTGTTTTGGGGTCACCCTGTACCCCTGCTCTTTATATACAGCATATATAGCATATACAGTGGGGTGGGGGGTGGCGAAGCCGGCGAAGTATCCACTTATGCCGTTTCTACTATTGCCACTCGCCAGTTTCGCGCACGAATTTGTCAGTATGTCTGCTTCGCCAGGTCAGTCAAGGCTGATTGGGCACGTAGGCATTCAGTGCTGGGGAATATTATGTCTCAATCTATTTCCAGGCCGCCAAGGAAGCCATCATATCGCGATCTGGAGTACTAGCACTTCCCCTTGTCTTAGTCGAGGCTTCTTCTGCTGTTGTCGCAAGTGTAATTCTTCACACTACATGGAATTGATGTAGTTGGGCTTTGTCTTGTTAACTCTTGGGAATGGATTATACATCCACCTTAATGTCTAGTCTTCCTTGAGAAAGATAGTCAGCTCTCAGATAATTAGCGGGGTTGGTTGGGGTTGTATTGCTATTCGAGCCTCCCATTATTACCATTCAAGCAATGGTCCCTCAAGATGACACAGGAGCAGCAGAAGTAACCATTGGCTTTTTCCGATATCTAGCGAACTGAGCGCCATCTTCCTCCCCTGTAAATGGGGTGTTGTTTCCCAAAACTGCAAAGAGCGTGAGAAGCCATAACTTCTAGCCCCCGGGGTATTGGATAGTATGACTGCGCTATTGTCAGGGCGCTCTGCCGCTGTCAACGTTGAATTAATTGAATCTATTAAAGATGCGGCTCGTCTACATGCTGCCAAAGAGGCTTTTGCGTTGAGTTTGCGAAATATGTGGATTCCGTGCGCTTGTATGGCTGGTATTGGGATCTTGGCCTGCACTTTTATAACAAAAACCACACTAAAGATGGAATTGCAGAAACAAGGACCGGGTTGAAGCCAGAGGCGCAAGCTGTTGAAAATCCCTCACCCTGAATCGAACCGCTACCGCCATTTGCAATATCATTTGCCCGGCAAGGGTCCACTAGGCACGCTAGTCAAGACAATATTCTATGACCGTTCCTATGATTGGGGATAGTAACAGCTGCATCCGATGCTTTTTGGGAGCTGCTTTACATCTGGACATATTGGATTCTAGTCGTGAATTCGGTTTTAAAAGAATCCAAGGGATCGAAAGTCATCATTAAAGGCTGGCCATCTGAGAGAGCAAGTTGGACACGCCTCATCTACATGGCTCCGCGGCGCTCCAGGTAAACAGGACAGCTCTCCTTACGTATATGGCAGTTTTAATTTACTTTCTATTTTGGTAGGCGCAGGTGGTTATATACAAATATATGACTGAATATTCTTTCCAGGCAGATCAGATTTTGATAACGCCAACCGAGGCGCAGCAGGAACATGCCGGACTAAATACAGGAGACCGCGTGATGATATCATCCCCTTCTGCTGTCCATCACGAATCCCACGCAGTGATATACTCCTCAGCGTCGGACCCTTTTAATTTCAACGAGTCGAATCACAGAGTTATCTGAAATCCCACATATGGAGATCAACACAAGACCCCGTCGTCCCCGGAAGTGTGGCGAACTCATGGACAAGGGGTCCAAGGTCATAAGCTACTACACACGGCAGACGCAAAAACACGTTGAAACCTGTGCAAGACTACACGCACGATGCCGAAGAACTTGAAACCTCGAACAAGCTGCAGTATCACATAGCGGTTTGGGGATCATCCGCCACCAATATCGTCGTATCAGGCTTGTAGCTGTACGGAGCAATCACATCGGGCTCGCTCCGACCTTTTTACAATAATGGCAGACTCAATCTTCGACCCCCTGTCCAGCCTGATTCTGATTCCCTGCAATCGCGCATCAAAAGGGGCAAGATACCAGACTCACAAAACGTGGCCTTTGCATCTAAAGGTTGCAAAGACAAGAGAGTTACATGGTTTCCTTCGGATTGGAAGAAGCAAAACAAAGCATTTCGGAAAGACGGTGAAACATCTCGTAGAATCATATGCTAGCGCAGCGTTCGGGGGCAAAATGAACGCTCGTTTCCGGACTCCTTGGATTAGACACATTTACCCTTAGCTTGGCGGATCTATCGGCGATCCTTTCAAGGTACCAACATTTTCCATAAACCATCCACTAGGTATATGGAGATCGGATAAAAGTGGAGCACAAGTCTCCATCGGCTTTAGGGCTTATAGGACACACATACACGGGCTGGCTTGGAGGCCTGGACTATTGGAAATCAGCAAACGCCCTTGGACTAAAGCTTACCTCCAGCCAAGAAGGGCTTCTTAACTAAAACGTTAGCATTCCTCAATCAACCATGCATGTAAGATAGGCTGTACTTCCACCTACACATTTCGGTTAGATTGCTTAGTCTAAGTCTACCTTAATCTTATTACCTACCTACCGACCTGTCCGCAGAGAAGCTTGAAATACTTGCTTGTCGAGCTTGAATCACTCACGGTGCTTATGATACCTTGGAGTTGGAGACGGATATCTATACGAAGCTATGAGCTAACGAGCAGGCCATCGGACGGATTGATTCTTCTTGGTAGATGATCTCTACGAGGCAGAAATAGTTTCTATAGTGGGCTTCTCATGTGAATCAACTTGTCCTGGGAGTAGTGTAGCTGACTTACACGGTAGAGACTCGTAGAATTTACTATGCACGTTAAAAATCGGGACTTCCTAGTAGCACAATTGGACTAATCTATTCGAGTCTCTTTATTCTCCTGTAGATTGTTTCAGTTACTTATAGGTACGGTAGACGTCACAGGTTATAAGAATCGACGTGTCACACTATACTGCTCTGACTCATATCAACGTTTAATCAGTTTTATACCTTTCCCTGTGCTACCAATTATAATATTCGACATTCAACAAGGCTACCTTGCCACGGGCTGAAACACTACTCACAGGCTACAATGTCTGCTCAGCTTAAGGAGTGGAACCACAGTTTGTTTGCCTGTTGTTCTTTTATCAATGTTGGTACGTCTTCCTTTTCTCTCTGCCACATATATCGGGATACTAACGTATAATATAAACTCAAAGTGCTTCTGACTTAGCTTTGCCCAAGCATCTCATTTGGAAAAGCGCAAGCCAGGCTAAAGGACTCAACCCTGAGTTCATACAGCACCTGCAATGTGGATGTTAGATACCCGATTCCACCATTGCACCATAACCCCGCGTTTAAACAAGATTTAACCATACGAAATTTTAATTTCATAGTGCGCTGCTTTCTTTATCTCTGGGATGCTTTATCCAAGCTCGGTGTGTCACTGCCGGAAGAGGCGTGCATGCAGGACAAATTTGGTATCGAGAATTCGTGTTGTGGTGACTGCTGTGCCGTGTGCTTCTGTCCGTGCTATGCATTAATTCAATAGGCGAAGGAGACTGAGCTGGGCATTGTCAATGGCCATTACGGGTGTCTCATGAATGAGCCGACGGCTTATGCGCCTCCCTGATATATTGCTTTGAACATTGTTATTTGCACCTCCGTTAGAGTGCTTTCGGCAAATTACTTTCCAATGTTGTGCAAAGGTGGATATACAGCAGCCTATCCAGAGTATATATAGAATAGGAAATATCTGTTTGGTTTTACGTTACCTCATTCATATTATTACCGAGAACATGGTCTGGATCTGGACACTTGATTCTACAGTTTGTCGTATTGATTAGGTGCCCTTGTTACTATCAAACTCAGGATATACCAGAAGGAGTCTCCGGTGTTATATCAAAACTAATCATACAGAGATATTGAAAATCTATTTGCCAGGTGAATTGCAACGCAAAAAGCAATTTGTATTATGTGATGAAAAAAAAAAAAAAAGAAAAGAAAAGAAAAGAAAAAGAAAAGAAAAAGAAAAAAGAAAGGCACGATGATAGTACCAGAGCTAGGTCCTATTTATCGCCTTACACTCAGTCTGCCAACAGCGCCAAATAAATAATACATAACATAGACTTATGAAATTTGGAAACTAGAATATAAAACATATAAAATTCTCCCTACCCTATGATAAAGCCCAGTACGGCCCTTTTACATCGCAGAGTAGATCAGCCAACCTGCAATCTGGGGAGCTAGAAAATAAAGAAAAACCTTCCACGCGAAGCGTCTCATCCCCGTGCGATTGAGGGACGGGCTTTCTCATCGAGCCATTTCTTCACGTTGAAATGAGGGAAAGGCTTACCTGGCACCGGCTTCCCTAGAAACTCACACAACATCTCCCAACCATCGGACAGTTTAAACTCCAAAAGTCTGTCCTTGGGGGTTATCCTCCGGACGAGCTCGTAGTGTTTTCTGTACTCGACTTTGCTCTTGCGACGGGCATCCTCGGGATTGGATATCCCCAAGCAGCCCTGGAAGGTCGTCTTGTGGATTTTCCCGAGCGGATGAGCAAAAAGGCGATCGAGATGGTAGATGACCATCACAAAAGGGTCATAAGTGTTTAATACATTGTGTTTCTCCATATAGCCATCTATGTGCATTAGCCTCATGGTTTGAATAGGTCTAACAGCCACACTCACCCAAAATCAGCAACTTCATCTTGGCCCCTACCTGCTCTGAGTGCCCTGGACACCGTATAGATGACATTCATCTCATCGAGAAATAAATACACATCCTCAACAGCCGCCTGATTCTGGCCATCTTCCCCCGCAGCCAGCTTCGCAATCAGTTTCTTAATAGCGTATTTCTCCAGATCACCAGAGGACATCCATTCCCCGTTTCGATCACGAGAGTCCTATAAAGGTCTGCCTCTCGGGTTGGAAACAACTCCTACTAGGTTTTGCGTATAAATTCGTGGTGAGGCAGACTCGCGCCCCTTTTCACCGGCTCACTTATACTTACTCTATAACTTTGCGTTGTACATTTATGGAGCAGCGAGTCTCCGAGCACCGCAAGTACAGTCAACGTTCTTTAATCTAATCGTCGACCGCAAAGGAAACTCTCCGAATCGGCCGGAGTCTATCCGGTTTAATGGGCACGAATAGCCTTTATCTTGCCTTGCAATAGCGAACGTCAATTCGAAAATGTAATCTTATAGGCTATCGTTACACCTATCTCAAACCTGAAACCGAATCCGAAAAGAAGTCCCCCCCCCCCTCCCTTAGGCATCCTGCTGTTGAATCTCAACCAAATTCCCGTCCGGGTCCTCGATCATCAAAAAGTACTCAAGTCCAATAAGGCCCTGGGCCTCGACAAGCGCCTGTTTAGCCGCAAGATGCGCACCCGCAAATTCCCCAATTCCAAACGCATTTGGCACTGGTCCCGTAAACCCAGTTACGCGTTCGCCAACCCGTTTCAGAATCGTAACACCTTTGCTTTCCAAATGTTCCTGTGCCTTCTGGACATCCGGGACAATCAGCCCGATATGCCCGAAGGTATTGGTCCGTTTGGTGGATGCGACGAGGTGATCGTCCGACACATTGAACTGCACAAATTCGATCAATCCGTAAAGATTATTCTTGTTCCGGAAGAGCTCTTCCCCAGTCTGGAAGCCTGTGCCGTTGCGTCCACCTTGCGCATACCCCATGTAGGTTACGGTGTACTCGGGTGTGACGTGGGCGTCGAACAAGTGACGCATGCCGAGTATGTCGCCGTAGAAGTGTTTCATGGCGTCGAGGTTCGTGGTGAGAAGCCCGACGTGGGTGATGGCGTAGCCTATGGTGGCTGCTGGTGCTGGGCCATCATTGCCGATCACGAAGGGGCTATTGGGGTCATTGGTGGTTGAATCAGGCGGATTGCAGGCACTGACACTCTGGAGTGATAGGGCTGCGAGAGAGTAGCGAAAGAGACTTGGTAAATTCATGGTTATTATTGTCTTGTTAGAATACTTGGATAGTACGAAATGGAGCGTGTGTTAGCATATCTAGAGTACTCGGCGCGATCACGGCGAGGATTATATACTCAATATCTAGTCGTATAATTGTACATTTCGCGGCAACTTCACGCTTAGAGACATAAATAAAGGATCTCTGTTGCCTTGCCATTATCTAGCAATGTCCCAATTAGGTTCCGAATTGCACCAACAGATTCTGATGATAGTGTTTCATTGGCACAGAATTACACCGCTGAAGAAGGCATAACGTCTTGGCTACTAGTTAAGATTCTTGTCGGGCACAAATGAGCATTCGAAAACCTTGTGGGGTTTGATATTGATCTCGTATCACTAACCCTACCGGGAAAAGTATGCCGCCGCCTGCAGGAGTACAGCCTCCACAACGGGCCTTACTGCGAAGCTTTAATACCTAGCCACTGTGCAGGATTGCTCTTGCACCGAAGGATCAAAGTTAAATATAATTTTGAAGTTATCATGTCAAATCTCATGCTATCTATGTGTATAAGAAAATCCAAACCCTATATCGTAGTATCCACAAGCGCTAAAGATAGCAATTGAGAGCAATTCCAACACCAGAGGCGTGAACTCTTTACGCCTTTAAGGTAACACTCTTGACATTAGTAATAAAACCATCCTTGGCTTTAGGCTAACAGATATTTATAGGTGATTGAGTTAAGCAAGTTGACAAAAGGGGGTTCGGTCGTCGCTATTCACATCCCCTCCTATCCGTACATATATACTCCCATATCCGGTGCAGATTGGTCGCAAGGTAAACATGCCATCTATTCCTTTCGAACCTCTCCTCTATCCCGAGAACTTTAAGACCAGGAATTGTATACTTGTCGTTAGCCCCGACCTTCTGTTCACCTTTCATTCTGACTAGACTTGGATACCATCCCGGCGGTTCAAGTCAGCCTCCTCAATCAGGGTAGGACTAATACAAATGAACACATACACATACGTGGCTGTGAAGCATCTGTTGAGGAAGTACTTCTTTCCTTGGCCATAGTCTACTCTAATCGTTCCTCTGCATTTTATGATCTCACTGGCGTACGAGTTTCTTTCCTCGGCCCGATCAGGCTCAAGCAAAATAAGCCGCATGTATACATATCAGGCTAAGGCCCGTAAAAGTTGCCAATGGTAACTCAGAATCTTTAAGACTCCGCCTAGTGCAATAAGCAAGCGGAATCCTATATTTGCCTAAGAAAGCAAACAACGGCAAATCATGAATTTCCGGACGCCTCTTACTTCACAGCTACATGATTTGTACAACTTACGTCAAAGTATGCAATAACTGTCATGAGCCACCTTTTGCTGTGCCGATCAATGTATCTTTAGGTGCGAGGCCTGCAACCCCAACCTGCTTACTTTGCGTGCATTATCGGATATGTCGGGATGTACGGTAACGGATCCGACGATAGGCCGGACACATGAATCCCTAAATCAGATTACGCCAACATTTACGTGAGTCTAACGAGCCTGGGTCATCTATCTTTCCAGGCTGTGCGTGGTCTCAACTAATTTTCAGCTCACCATTGCATTCGCATACAGCAGCCTCGGAGTCCGAAGCCAGTCCAGAAGATATTCCAATATTCGCTACTAACGCCACGTAGACTTTCCGGCCTTTTTGGATGATGTTTAACATAACCATCGTTTGCCAGCACACCAGGAAGATATAAAGGTATATAAAAGAAAGAGAGGCACCACCAGAATCCCGCTCCTCGCAACACCCTGTTCCCCGACTTTGACATCTCTCGTCCCAATTGCTATTCTTCTGCAGCAGACTAAATATCATATTATCTGTTTTCCAGATACCCTGTCACCACCTCTCCCAAAATGATAATCACCTATCCCACCAGCTCGGTGAACGTAGACATCGGGATGTACTGGCACATCTCATGGCAAGACGCTTCGGAGTATATCCCCAACTTTCATATCATCTAAGGTTTCCCTCAATTCTGCACGATCTATTCAGCTAACCATTCCTCCATAGCGACCCCAAGGTGGTTGATTTCTGGCTGACGCATGAGCGCCGCCAGCCCGAGTATAAACCGGTGCTTCTTGCCGAAAACGTGAATGCCCATGAGCAACAGACAATTGTTGTTAAGGGGGACGATTCATCGACTATCAAAACTGAGTATGCTCATACAAGCCACAGAGCAATGGCTGACAGAATGCTAAGAGGATTGTCTTATGCAGTAGCGACTACCGGGTGTGGGCCATGAAGCAGGGAGAGAAGCCTATGCAGAATGGAACCCATCCCGTCGCTGAATCGGACGATTTCAGTGTGACGAACAAGTCAACCCCTAGGAATTGAGCGGCGTGGTCAGCTCATCGTGTGAGAACTGGAACTTTTGGCTTTTCTTTATGGCCTTTGTCTGATTGATATCTAGGGGACTGGGAATCAGCGAGGCTCCGGGGAATATCTTGCATGAAGTCCGATTCAGTCTCATGGGTTGTCTTTAGCGGCTTGTTGTTTCCAATGCGGGCCTCAGTATGGGTTTTGTCCTAGGATAGGTTTCCCTATGCTGTCATGCGAATGCAGAGGCTAGATAATGGAATATCACATTTAAAAAAAAATTTTTTTATAATTACCTAGAGGAAACGTATCCCAGCTAGAACTTATTGTCACCGCTCAGTATTAGCAGGCAGCCACCACAGGGTCTACATTTAGTTTTTTGCTCATATTATCTATAGGCCAGAAGCAGGTAGCCCGTATAACTTTCAATAGTCCTCGCAATACTCGCGCATATGGAGTGACGCCTAGAGGCGATTGAATATTTTCATCTCACAAGTGAACAACTTGGCATTGAGCGGTGCTAAAGCCCTAATATGGTGGCATTATATGACTAACTCATGCGAGAGTGCTGACAAGAAAAAGTACTTTACTCCCATGGCTTCATCAAAGCGTTGTCCTCAATCTCTTCGTCAAAGTTGACAAGATGCGTCGAATGACACCAAGGCTTAATCGTCTCTTCCTTTCGGATAACTCCGGAAAAGAATGTGCACCACTTCAGTCGCGGGTGGGCTTCATTGATTTTGGCGCGAGTTTCATCATGAATCAACTTCCCGAAGTCCTTGACATGAGGACGAATTCCAGTGTTATCGTAGGTAGTCGCTAGCTGGATTAGCTGGCTGATGTAGGTGATTGTTCCGTCAACACCCGTGTCCTCATGTCGGATGATGGCTTCAGAGGCTGCCTCGGCCTGGTCTGAGGAAGCACCAAATTCCTTGAGAATATGTAGAGCCTTAATACCGCCATAGATATCGAACATACGAGTGGCCGTTAGGTCTTCTTTAGCGGTACCGGGATCGTGCAGTAAGCAGGTCAAAGCCCAGGTACTGCAGTTGAGGGTAGCGGCTTGCTTGGGGAATTGCTGCTTGGTTATGGCCATTCCTAGTTTAAATGTTAGGATTTCGCTCTCTTCTGTCTAGATCGATATACCATAGTAGTAAACTCTCATAGAGTGATTGGGTGTTTCGGTGGGGAGACCGGACTTGGTGTATTCCAAGGTCTTTGCGACGACAGGGTTATCGATCGACAAGGCGTCTGGTGCATTGATGAAAGGCCTATCACCAAAGATGGCGCCAGCATTGGCGGGCATGCTGGTCCAGCCATTGAGTCCGACTTCGTCTTGGCGCATTGCTAAGAGATAGTTGAGTAAAAGTGATACACAAGTCACAAAGTTGGATTGGCTTCTCCGTGTCCGAGCTGAATGAAGGTAATTGGGGGCGCTCAGAGGGTCTTTATATAACTGGATCTCGTTAATCAGTCCCCCATGCCGATACCACGATTTGTAATACCGGCTCAAAGTAAGTGACTCACGGCAGTCAGAGTTATTGGGGATTGATCTCTAAAGTTCAATTGCTAGTCGTGGAATTCTTGCCCTCTGATCTTGCTCGGGATCTTTACTACCCAAATAGGAAATCTTTCTAAGTAGGGCTGATGTGATGATTCAACTGCGGGTTATGACATGCAGGGAATGGTACATCTTGCCCCCTGCCAATGGCAAATATTCTATTCGAAAATCTTTTCAAAAGTGCCCGTGTTGATGTCTAACCGAGGTCTGATTAAGTTGGAATGCTTACTGTGCTACTATTAGATCCGTGGTTATGGCATGGAGAATCGCTCTGCTGGCATGGTACGCCATAGGGAAAAGAACAGGCTATCTTAAATCTGCTTAGAATCGGACTTCTTTCTACGGAAAAATCGAGACGTATCTCCTAATGGTATCACAGTAGGTGATACATCCCGACAAAGCTCATAGCCTAACATATAAAAACCCGCCAACGACGAAACGAAACCAAATGCCCCCGCTACTTTTGTCATTTTCGTGCCCATCGCCATGTTTCCATCTGCCATCAGAAAGTGCGCCGTGCAATTAAAGATATAAGAGAACTCCAAACCCGCGTAAATAATAATGTTTGGTACGTTCCTAGTAGTGAAGTTAGTAGAGGTTTACAGACCTTGGATACTATATCGTGACTCACGTCGCCAAAGCTGCGATGAAGAAGAAAAGGTTGAGGATACACCAAACTTGTTCAACGGTTTCAATTCAGCAATTATGTCTTTCCCTGTTCCACGCGTGTGACTACTTACCAAGAAGATAGAATCCGAAAGCATTGAAGAATTCTTTAGATTGACCAGCGTATGCCTCAACAACACCCATTGAAGGCATTAACAACACGCCATATCCGCCATAGTACAACGCTTCGCCGAATATTGTTAGCCGTGACGAGCAGACAAGGATTTAAAAAAGAATACATACCAAATGCGGCGAGCACTGTATACGCGAATGTATTGCCTTTAACCATCTCCCATTGAGCGGAAATAAGTAGACCTACTCCCGCTAGCAAGCATAGATCTGCAATAAAGACCACTTGGTTTGAGACGCCGCGGAAGCCCATCATGGAAAGCGAGAGCGTCATGAGAGTGGTCGAAAAGGCGCCGAAGCCCAACGGGCTCTGAGATACAAGACATTAGCCAGATCTCTCCCTTTGTATACACAGGCAGGCTAGGCTATTGCTCACCGAGTTGGCGAGGCGATTTGCCCTCGTCAGAGAGGATGTTAGCGACTCGATATCTCGTTTCTGTGATGTGTCCATGACTAGGTTGGCCGATGAAAGTGCTCATTGATGTCCCTGTTAATGATTTCCTTTCTTTCTTGGAACGACTCGCAAATTTGGTGTTGACAGACTCCACGGTCCAGTCATATTAGTGCGTATAGGAAATATCGAAAATGAACTTCAAGGGCCAGTGGCATGTAAAGATATAGGTAATGACAAAAATACTGGTCTCCGCTCATACGACCTTACCTATAGAGGTAAGCAGTGCCAAAAGACACGTCCTTCCACAGTTGTACATCGGGATCTGATGGGATTGGTAACCCATTTCGCCTCAAGCCCAGATATGGCATTCGGGCGAGTCGGGCGGCTCCTTGGGGATCAGTCGAGCGGGATGGTCCTACTTCCGGCTTGAGTGGAGCCCCTGGTGTCACTACGGGGAGTGATCCCAAACCCCGATAATGCGGATTTGCACGGATACTTGGTCCCTCCCGTACGATGAATCAGTCCTAGAATACAGCTAACAGGATGGCCTTTCTAGTTCTCGGTCCTGACTGTGAACTACCATGTATTATTCTTCGCCCCGGAGAAGTGTAAAGGTCGCCCCCTTAGGTCTTGACCCGAAGCTTAAGAACCACAGCCCACTCACAAAGACAACCCTTTTCGGGAGTATTTTAAAGAACCAGAAGATTTTACACAAAGAATCGTAAGTATACTCGGCATATATATCCATAGCCCAGCCACATATCATATCAACGATGAGTAATAGCTAAAGAGCGCTGTCATGTCGTAGCACGGATCCATGCCACAGGTCAATCACCCTTACAACCTTTCCATTGGAAACGCACCCATAAACACGCCACTCGCCACCCTGGTTTGCAAGGAACCATACCAGAGGACTGAATCTCTTGTCTGCTTCTATCCTAAGTTCCATCTGAGCATAGAGCAAGACTCGGATCGGAAATGTTGTCTGCCTCTCTATATAATCAGAACCTGGACCTCCTACCTCTGAATTAGCCTCCAAAATCAGGCCCGGAAATAAAATATCCAAGTCGCCTTTGACTACAGAAAAAGGGCCTCTATCTGACACCGGGCGCCCAAGGTATTCAGTTCGTCACAGACCAACAATAAAATCTGGCCTTTGTTGCGATAGAACCTTCGTCTGAATTTCCATGGTATGGTCCACCACACAACAACCTCCCCGGGTCGAGAACATGTTAACCATTAACATTATACGCTGTAACTTGGCTCGAATCCCTACTTCGCAAGTACACAAGGATCTTTGGGGACAAGATTATTAATGTAACCGACTCCTTTGCTATTTGCACCAGGCTAGTTTAGCCGGCTTTAAATCGGCTGTCAAATGAAACAACCAGTCCAGATATGCTCTTAATTGGCCTATACTGGTACAATGCCTATGATTACGATGTTAAAATAATTGTCATTAGTAGACGTTAATGTATCTCATAGTCTGCCAATAGCTAAGACATTGAGGTCCTCATGATCTCCATATTCTTTCCCCATCACCAAAGCAACCACGCTACTAACTGTGTATATGCCCCTTCATCATCATCGGCAAGTGTAGGGTCATAGTCACCCCCAAGACGAGACGCAGCAATTTGTTTTGCTCGAACGGCATCTTTCAAGCAATCTGCCGCATACGTATGGCCTTCACCTCTATATATCTTAAATTTCCGGTAGTATGCTAAAGCTAAGTAACCCTCAGCCTTCGGTAAGCTGCTAGCAACTGCGATACATTCATCAAGAAGCTGGCTGTAGATAATCTCCATTAGCATAATACCCTCCAGAGGAGAACAGAAACGCGGCTTACAGAGCAGGCATAGATTTCCCCGTCAGCATCATAAGTCTAGCAACATGACACAGAGAATCACAAGTCTTGAACCGAGATCCGAACTTCTGTCGTCGGAACTGAAGCACCTTGGAAGCGAAGTCCAACGCTTCGCCCAGTCGGCCCTGGGCCTGTCGCACCATGCTCAAGAGCTGCATGCCACTTGCATATCGGGGTAGATTCTCTCGAAGAAGTTGCTCGTCCGTTAGATCTCGGACAGCCGGAACGGCAGTATACATGGCTTCAGCTTCGTCTGGTCTTCCCATTCGCAACAAGCAGCTGGCGATATTGGCGTAGGAGTTGTCGAGCATTCGGCAGTTGATTGCCTTGCGGAAATCTAGGGATCGCTGGAGGTACCTCATTGCTTGTATCAGGTCGCCGAGCTCGGTGTAGGCGAATCCTACATTGCTGATGCTGACTCCTATTCCCCAGTCGGTTGGTGGTAAAATGGCTTCGCGAATCTCTAGTGCTTTCTGCAGGTTGACTAGTGCTTTGCTGTTTTCTCGGAGGTCGACCTGGACAAGGCCCATTACGTTGAGGGCCTGTGCGTAGTTCATAGACTTCGTATCGCCGTTTCGTTCTAAGGCTTGCAGACAGACCTCCAGAAGCCCTTGGCTTTCCACATAGTATTCAGCCTCGTATAAATACCTAGGGAGAGTAAGTCTCTCTTTTCGTGCGCTAAACAGTTGACAATATGGGATGGGCTCAAGGGACCTTACCATGAGCATCGAAGCAGAAGCTCGATGAATGTGTCTAGATTTTTTAGGCCACCTTCAACCTGTTTGAACCTCTCCGCCAGGAACATCACATGGCGCAGACATTTCTCACAGGCCTCCCATGCATGATATATCCAAACGTACCCCTGGTCAGTCCATGAACTTGGGAAGGCCTGACATAAGAGCTGGGAACACATATCAAAGTATCGAGCTCTATCCGCTAGTGATAATCCTGAAAGCGTCGCCTGCTGGACCAGGCGGTGGGTTGAAAGACTGTTTGCGTGTGGGTCACGGTCTATAAGTGCTGCTCGAAGGAGGTCTATTTTCGCGTCCTCGAAGTCAATTGGGTCCGTTAGAAACCTTATATTGAGGTCATATGGTGAGGTGTGGTCAGCAAGAGAAGAGGCTGCGTTGCATAAGGTAGTCTCATCGATAGCTTCGGGATCAAGAAAAGCAATCAGTCGTTGCAGCACGGCCGCGTCACCGGTAAGCTTTCCCAACGCGAGCTCCCAGACCGTGCCAATTGTATGCTGGTAGTCAAATGCTGCCGGTCGCCTCTTGTGAAACCTTTCCTGATTTTTACGATATAGAACAAGGAAGTCTTTTAGACCCAGTTTCTGTTGACGGATGTAGCTGCTGATTTGGTTTAGGGCAAGAGGTAAGCCTCCTAATAGATTATTGAGCTTCTCAATCAGTGGTTCATTATCCGGCTTGCCGTATCCCGGCCCAAGAAGGCGCGCCAAAGCTTGAGTACCAACCGTGGTGTTAAAAACGTCCACTTGGAGACCTTGTGAGGCGGGGTGTAGACTAGCATTGGAATCACGGGTGGTAATCAAAATAGAACCTGCCACGCCACTTGGCCATCCATAGTCCAGAACCTCCAGATTGTCAGCGTTGTCGAATATGAGAAGCCAGGAGCATGTTGTGTCGGCGAGCCAGGATTTCACCTTACCCATCGCGCCAAATGCATCCTGGGTCTCTTGCATGGCGGGAATGACCCCGAGGTGCCGGGCAACAGCCATGTAGTCCTGTGCCATTTTGACCGTACTATCAGCCGAGACCCAAAGGACGGCATCGAATTGGTCCCGTGAGCGATAGGCGTATTGCAAAGCTACCTGTGTCTTCCCTGCACCACCGATCCCATACAGTGCTAAGGTGCGTGGACCTGAGTGACCAGCTTTAGGGCTCAGTATGTCAGCTATCTGTCCCAACAATTCCTCGCGGATGTAGAAGCGGTCATTCAGCGTTGATGGAACGTGAAAGCAAGGGATCACTAAGCCATTGTGGTTATGGCCAGTATTGAGAGACTGAAATAAAGTGATCATCTCGTTGTTCCATTTGAGGACCGCCGTGGTGGCTGCGCGCTGAGTCTCTCGTTCCACTTGTTGAGATAACATCTGAACACGCTTGAGGCCTTGCTGGAATTCACGACTGAACTGCGGCCATGACTGCCGAATAGGAAGCACTGTAGATGATACCCATCTTTTTCAGCACAGGTGACATAGGCAGAATTGCAACCAGGAGTTACTCACAATGCTGACGCCGAACACGAATGAAACTGATAGCCCGCGCACAGAATAACGCCAATTCAGTATACAAGTCGACCATTGCAGTCTCCAACCTTTCATCTAGGGTTATATTATCTTCAAAAGGATGGATTCCGGGCAGCGTCGCGATCAACTCTTCCAGCATATTCTGGACCTCGCTGAATATTTCTTCTAATGGCGCCAATAACTGCAGAATGATCTCCTTAGAATCATCAGAACGGCGTGGCAATCAATCACTCTTACTGATAGTAGAAGACACATTCCGCCCCATAGTAAGGCACCAGTCTTGACATCTAGAGCAAATGATAAGACCAACACCGTCATAAAGTCATTCAAGTATGCCAGGCTTGGGCGGATTCGGGACAGGCTCGTCAGCAGAAAGTTTTCATTTCGGTGAGCCTTCGCCACGCTCCTGAGTTGTGACAGTAGGATATCGTGGGAGAATGTCTCCATACAGAGCTCGAGGTCATTAGCATCATGCAAGTTCTCTTTGAATCTTTGTCGCACGAGATTCCAGAGTTGAGGGCGTGAGTCTGGAGGCGCAGTTGTTCTCATTTCGACTGCTTTATTGTACTAATTCCTCGGACACGACACAGAGAATAAGGCAATGTAGTAAAGTACCCTTCGAGTTGCAGTCTCTCGGTCACTGCCTCAACTCACCTAGATGGGCCCTGCTATTAATACCAGTTTTCGTTTAATTACTTTTTCTCCTCGCCATCCCCAGGCTGTCTTACGTCCATTCAACCTTTAGTGTAGCATGGAATTCCCAGCCCTCCGTTGCAATGAAATTGGTATTACGCATACAATACAAATCGATACATATTCATACCGTTGAGGTAGGTTCTAGATTCTGATAGCAGTATCCCTTCACTATTAACTCCATAACTGTAGTATAAAATGTTATCACACAAAGTCCAGGCACTCAGCTCCAGTAGCATTGCCTCAGTTTTGAATGCTTCCTTCCCGAATAATTGATTAACCTCTCACATCTGCCACTTCACACCTCTCCCAAGGCTGGATCAACCATAGAAAAGCTCAAGGCTCCAAGCCCAGAGGGACAGTTGCTACGCATTCTTGAGTCTAGCGCGACGGTGTATTGAGTCAAAGGTGATCATTGCATTGACCTGCTAGAAATCGTGGTAGACACCTCACAGGCACGAAAGTACTCAGCAAATCCAGTGCAAGAGGATGTCACTGATAGCTACGTCAAGTACGTTAAGTCCCGGGATATAGAGTCCTACAGACTGTCCCAGCGGAAATAGATACAGGACCGTGCTTCCACGGTGGAGACAGCTCTTGGATTCGAGGAGAAGGATCGCGATGCTTTAGGTGCTCGCGCTGGATTTGAAGGCTTAGTTACGTTGAACATCCCGATCGGTCAAGTAAACTACAGGCTCTGGTTTCTGCATCAAACAACCTTGTTTCTCAACTTCCTTAGGTAGGGAGAGGCAACAAAGTGGATGAAATGGGAGATTCTGAAAGTACTACTTCTGAGACACCCAGCTTTTCTGCAATTCACAGTAAGTAGTTAAGTCGGCAGGTGTTAGACTCAGCAATGAAAGAGCAACAGGAACTAATACGATATAATAACCTCTCACCTACTGCTCCAGCATCATTTTTCTAGGTATTAAACTGCCAAACGTAGCGTGCGCGTTTCTTTACTATCTCTGCAGTGAGACTTACTGTATCTTTGGCTATGATTATTTGATACTACTCAAGGTCACCGCTAGCTTGACGAAATCCGCGATTAGCGATGGTTCTAAAACATAATTCTGGTCCATTGAAATACACCGCCAAGCCGTTCGGGGATAGATACCATCGAGAAAGCACCATTTATAGGTTGGCAAGAAGCGCCAGTCTTTGTTCATCTCAAACTCCACTCGTGGGAATTACAGATCACGATCCACGAGCTGTTTAGCCATGGCACGGGCAACCGGCTATTCCTGGAAGACGATAGGGGGGTTAACAATTTTCCATCATGGGCATCCTCCACTAAATCCCAACCACACAACGCCCCATTGAGACACGGGATAAGCCAGGCCAGACGTGGACTGCCGTATTTGATGCACTTGCGCCAACTCTTGCGGAGTGCCATGCGGACTGCGTGGGGCTCTATCTGTGTACGGACAAAGAACTCCTTGGCATATCTGGCTACACCGACAATAGTAATATTGCTGCAAATGACAGAGTATGGAAAGTAATGGATTCCAGTTATTCGTAGAGCAACGGGTGGCGCAGTTACCTATAACAACTATCTCAAAGCGGCGGCTAGCCCTAACTTCATATCACCTCAAGAAGAGGTCCGTTGTATGGGTCATTACTTACCTTGCGCAAAGCCACTAATGTCCGTTTTGATTCGTACGATATATAGGTCTGGAGGCAAGAACACGAGAGAGGATACTTCGCCATTCTGCGAGCCATGCTGTCAGCGCCCGACGCATTCCTTGTGCTGGAAAGTAGCAAAGTGAACGAACTTCTCACGCTGCGGATGTATCGCTCCAAAGCTGTCACTCATGGTAAGGCAGCTATTAGAGACCTTCTCCTGCAACTTCATATCCATCGTTGCGCTACGGACATTGATGAGGCAACTCGGTGTTTTGAGGAACTGACTAGGGTAGACGAAAGATAGCTGTGGATTCCCGAGATCATAAACACTAAGACACAGATATCTGTCCAGACAACTACTTTTTTTCTCTGAGGGAAACGGAAGTGTTCATATTCGTGTCCAAGAGTGCCCGGCGAGACTTGAAGGAATCGTTCAGAGCTGTGCAGATCGACAGGTTTGAAGTCCAGCGTATCAGTTCTTACACTTATTATTTAAGGACAAATTATTCAGGGATAAGGCTTAATAATCAGACTAGTTTCCAACATACGGAAGTTGCTATGCCTAGTAAACAAGGGAAAAATGTGGTATTCAACCTAGCTCATAAAATCGATAAAATCATCTCTAGAGAAGCAGTATGGAGGGAGTCCTCCGCCTATAGGAGTAGTTAGAATAAGCCGAGTGGTTTAGAAGGATCATAAGAAAACAGCTGAGACCCCCAGCATATGATTCACTATCAACCCAACCATAAGCCACTAAACTTGTTGCTTTACCAACTTACGCTGGTGATATTAACAGCGGACAGCTGGTTCTGTTCGCTCAAACGGGATTGGACGTATCAGCAGCTTTGGCAGGCCTAGGTCCAGAAGCAGACTCCCTCTTCTTATTATCGCAAGCTGGAGTGATTGTAGGGCCTGAAACGTGGGTATAAGGCCCTGGATATGCCAAGGCAGGCAGGACACCGCCTCCTCCAACTGAGGCGAATCCTGAGCCTCCGCACGCACCTGAACCACCGCCACCCGAATCCTGTGAACTCATATTAAAAGGATACTGTGGAAGCAACAAAAGATGAATATAGTAATAACACTCGATGTTAATTAGCTGTAGCTCTGCGGATAATGGCAGGGTGAAAACATACCAGCCTGGAATTATCGTGCCTAGGACTTATGTAGCTGTGTTCGCGCGTGTTGTGTTTCTGCTATAAAAATCCGGAGAGTTGATAGAGCTAAATCAGAATCATGGGGTATTTATAGTTCCCAAGGGCAGAGCCACCAGCGTCCCACTGTCGCAAGATCAACCTTCTCATCGGGCACTTGTGTAAACAATCACTGCCAAATTGGACCATGCAAGTAAAGTCTGTGCAAGAGCGTTTAGGGCCCAATAGTAATAGTCCCCTTATCTGTCCGTCATTTATATGATAAACCTCTAAAGCTACTGATACCATATCCAAACTCGATACCAAGTACAATACACTCACTTAGTGAGTCGAAGAGGAGTTTATTCTCACTTTCATTGTTCATGTTGAGACTCGGGTACATTTATCCCACTTCCTTTCATTGTCTTAGAAGGTGGGTTAGTGCTCACGGACCTCCGCCGTTGGGTCATTACCAATATATTGAGAAAAGGTCAGCATAGATGCCAAAACATTCATTTGATCTTTCTCTATAAGATGTCACGTATGTGGCAATACGACAGTTTACCAGTACGGTAAGTAATCATACATGTATCAACAATTGATCCAAGTGCCGACGATGTAGTACGCGAGTTGCACAGAGGCGGGCTATCTTCAAACAATGACACGTCCTACCTGTCTGATTTGTGGAGAATACTTCCGCCCACTCTCAAGGACACTGCTAGATATGCGAGAATCATCATATGACGTTTAGCAGACGAGCACAACGCGTGGTCTGGGAGCCTGTCCAAATTCACCCGAATCTATATGGACAAGATGAAATATCCAATGCCTCCATGGAGGCAATTCTCATTATATACGTAGTTCACAGCTTCTCAAGTATCCAAACCGTGTTAGAGCAGGTAATGTAAAGGGACAAAATCATATATACGAGTCGTCGATGAGTCTATGTACATACAGAGTCATCCATGGCTCGTACTATCCCTCCTAATAGGACTACATTCCCTACGCTGTCCGGATAATAAAGGGCTCAACATAGTCAGGGCACAATGGAATGGCTGCTAGTAGAACTTTAAAATGCCTCGAGCTAAGTTCAACCAAGCTCAGCTGATACTCCGAAACAAAGACAGCTATCATTGATACGCAGTGTTGTGCTACAAGGTAGGCCTGACCGCAAGATACACACTGTCTTCCGCCAGGCTTTTATTGGGGGTAGTAAAAATTTTCTCAGAGTGTCTGGGCAGAAGTACAGCCTCCACCCTGGCTAATACTATGATGTAATTGATCAATTTGAAATGCATATACATACTTGGAAGATAACATCGATCATACTCGGGCATTGCAGGTCGCGTTATATCGTTGATAGAAGTCAATCTGTTAGCCAGCTATTATCAGAAGTTTCAAAATTTCTTTGTCAAGTTAACAGCCAAAGAGAGTGTTATGGAACCGCGCGGATTACATGAGCGACTAGAATTGGCCCATGCTCAGATTGAACGACTTCGTGAAACCTCTGGGGCCTCATCTATATCATATGGAGTCCTTCATTATGGTGATGTCATATATGCGAGAAGCGTTGGCCTGAGAGACCAAGCACGACGTCTGCCAGCAGACTCACAGACCATATATCCACTAGCTTCAATATCAAAGGGATTCTTAGCTGCTGCAGTGGGAATCTTAGTAGATGAAGGCAAGCTCGATTGGGATGTCCCTATCCGAACATACCTACCGCAGTTCAATCCAGTTAATGACCCCAATGTGGGAAAACAAGCCAATCTTGTCGACCTATTGAGTCATGCTACTGGCCTCGCACAGCATGACCTACTCCACTTCGGGCCCTTTGGGTCCCATATCAGTGACTCCGCTAGGCTAGTGCACTTACTGAATGGGCTGCCAGCTTCTAATAATCAAGGACCACGGTTTCGCCGTTGGTGGCTTTACAATAATCATGTATCAGCCCTGGCGAGTCAAGTCCTAGAGAGCGTCTCCAGCGGACTGCAATATTCTGACTTCTTAGAACAACGCATCTTGCGCCCTTTACACATGTTTCGCACCCACGTCTCTCAAGACAAATTCGACAAAGATTCAAACATAGCCCTACCATATGCTCGCTTATCAAATGGTTCCTTCGCGAAACTACCACCCCCAGAGTACCTCCGAGAAACAACCCACCTCCTCTCAAGCCAGGGTGTTACCAGCTGTGTTCAGGACCTACTGATATGGGCCAAAGCAATATTAGAACGTGAAGTGTGGGAGCGCAACTACCAACCCCACTATACTGAGGAGATGGGCCAGCCCCCGCCAAATAATCCGTTGCGACAAATAGCAACCATCCGACATGGCCACTACCCGCAGCCGTTCGCTGTTGACGTCGGCCACCTAGGTCACTACTGTCTAGGCTGGTTATGTGTCACTCTTCCATCTTCGAGCTTGGGTATGATTAGCTTCAACAAAGAGACCCGCCGCTCCGGCGACCAGCTTAATTATGTGCTAGGGAAGAACTCCTCGCCTCTCCCAGTATTACTCCATAACGGAAAGGCTCCTGGGTATAGTTCCGTCATATATACCTTTCCGGAGACATCTAGTGCAATTATTGTACTCACCAATGGAGCCTCAGACGGAGACCCAGCCGACTGGTGTGCGCGGATCTTGACGCAGGAGCTGTTCGACTTGCGGCCTCGCGTTGACATGTTAGATCTTGCTGAAAAGGAAGCAGTACTTAGTCGGAAATGGTTCGATGAGTATATGCTGCGTCCATTACGAGAGGACAGTATGGGAGTTAGGAATAGTCCTGTTGACCTTAAGAAGTATGAAGGTCGTTATGAAAACATTGATCTTCTTACAACGCTGAATATTCGATTCAGTTCATCCTCAGGCCTTACACTATCTTTCAACCATCGGACAGAAAAGAAGTACCCGTTAAGGTTCCATAAAGAGCACGAATTCAGCTTTCTACCTCATGACCGCGATTCTTGGCTACGTGACTGTATGCTGGACGTATTTGACTACCGAACCGGGATCTTAAAGTTCGCACATATGGGAAATGAAGTTTTTGGGCTGTTTTGGAAGTGGAGCGCATGGGAAGAGGAATCTTTCTTCCTCAAGCAGGGTTCTACCACTCGTTAACCACTAGTTGTACTAATTATCATGAACATCAGTTCCTATTCAGCTCCCTCATAGCTTTTCGAGGTTCCATAGCATTTTAGCACATGACAACTGGGCCTGGGCTTTTTACATTTTCGCTTGGACGCTTAGGGCTCTAGACTTCCTCTGTTCATTGCAACAAGATCTTTTCTATTGCAGCCAGTGGTCATGGTTGCATAGCTCGCGGATGACCCCTGCAGATCAGTTATGCTTGGATACGACTCTCTCTAGTACGTCATACAAGAGAACAGGATGTATTCGTTTCTTTAAGTAAACTAAACCGGTCTGTTAGATCTTCTAGGAAAGAAACGAAAGACCCCCTTCCTCTCTTCTACAGACTTGTCCTTCTAGTTCTATGGAATACTATATAGGACCTGCACGATTTGGAGCACGGTCTGGATGAAGGACAGAAACAATCCTATCCCTCCGATAAGCACAACAGCCCAGAACGTATACCATGCTTCTGTACTTCGCTTGTCCCGCCACAGTTGTGACAGACTTCGCGCCTTTTGACCTGCAAGGTGTTTCTGGAGGGTTTCGAATCGGCTGTGGAGAATTGGGAAATCAGAAGCAAGGCTGAACAGATCGTCAAGATGTTCGATGGACACTGTTGCCAGAGTGCGGCGGCCGCATAATTCTCCGAGAAGAGGATCATGTTGGTCTGGTGGAAGATCACTAAAGGGGCGAAGTGATCGGTAGAATTGTCGGCCCCTGGCCGAAAGGCCAAAGAGCAAGCGGTATGACAGTAGGACCTCGCATAGAAAGCTTGTCACATCTTCGCTTGTAGCCCAATTTGTGGGATCGCCTGCTGGGGCGGTGCACCTTAGAGAATAGTAAAATGTAAGCTATTAGGAGTTGGGTAAAGTCCACAAGGATAGAAGAGAGGTTTGCAGACTAATAGAGACATACCCATGTATAACTCCTCGCTGCCATTTCTTGCCCAGTAAGTCTCTCTCTAGGTTTGCTGCACAGAAAGAGGGATACCTAAAAAGAAACAAGGTTTTTGTACGGCTGTCAAACTCGAGATGGGAGCTCAGTATGTCTACCCACCGGATTTCAATTCCTCCTATTGCTGCAAGCAGGGACATGTTGAACTGTTTGACATGAACTGTTGTAAAGCTCTCAGTTTTCTGTTGGATTATATTCCTTGTTGGGAGCAGATAGCCGAAACCGAGGAGGAATTCATGCATTGGGAGCCGCGCACATCGATGATCTTGGGTAGACGCCATAAAGGTTTGTCCCTCATAACCATCCATTGGCTGTGCAACTGTCATCTGTGTAGGGTAGGCTGCGTCCCATGTTGGCTCCCATAGCATTGTCTGCCATCCTAACATAATGAAGACAAGCACACGCTGAAAGCAGGTCTGCTCCACAGGTATCACGCGGAATAGATGGGATGACTGCAGTTGTGTCACAATATCATCAACCTTGGTAGCTTTACCTTCTTTCATTATTCGTGCAATTCCAAGGTACACTCGAAGTAAGCTAGAGCCTTCTATCAATCCATTAATCTCCGCAAGATTGGGTAGAGCTGTCAAGAGATCCAGTGGTAGCTGTGCGGCTCGCCGATTCAACCATGCCCTGTACCATAACATACTCGGATTAACTCGTGACATCGACTGACAGCAAGCGGGAAACACAGTGATGACAGAGGCGTCTGCCGTCGGGTTAGATATAGTGCAATCTACGTAACATGTTATTCCAATGCTCGCTCATATATCGCATCCCTCTCACCTCTACTTGGTGGAATAATTTGTTGAGCACGAATAGTACCTGGAAACCTTCGCACTGCGCTCTTGTTTCTCTTTCTTTTCCAGGAAACCATTGTGAAAGCTCTTCAACTGGACATAGACAGTGCTTTGGCTGAGACACTCAGCAAAGATGTGGGTCTTTCAGGCAAGATAACCTGGACTAGAAGATTATCATAATAGCCTTGTGAAGGCTGAGGCTGCGCCACGCTACGTGGACGACAAAAGGCGAATATCACCGTAGAGAGTTGCGATCATCATGATGCCAGTAGAGTACTTGATTAAGAATGCCCAACTATAGTTTGACACCTGATGGAGGCTTGATATTAAATTTCTCACAGGCCGTAGACAAGTAGATACTAAGATCACGGCCTTATTATTCCCGTCGACGACCTGAACCTGATTCCGCTGTCCTAGAGCAACCGCTTCTATGCGATGATAAGCGGGCTGTTGGCAGCTATCAAGCCCTTGATACCCAACGCCGCTGATGTCGACAATCTTATATCTAGATAATATCAATGATGTTTATTAAGTTCGCCTCTTGTCAGGATGGTCTTCCGAACCCACAAATTAGGGATTTCAAATGTAGATGCTTGCCTTGCGTTAGAATCGGAGTCCAATCTGAAGCGGGCCAGTCGATGAAATTCGAGCCTATCAGTACTTGTCGTTGTCGCACACTGCCTCTCTCCCAGTGCTTCCATTGCTTTCTTGGTATCAAACAGGTAGATTATCATATACCCCAGCACAATGGACACTGCTATGGAAAGCAGCACCTTTGACTGAGTATTCCTACCGAGCCTTCGCATCGACCATATACGGCTGCAGATCCTGCGAATCAGCTACCTTATAGCCGTAGAGTACGGCCTGGGGGTAGATCACCCTGGACAAAATCCCATAAAATCCCTTCACGAGCCTTGGAACTCACGCATATAAGATCAAGTGCTCCTGTAGAAGAAACCCTTCAGTTATCCAACAGTACTGGTAATGTGATCGAGCGTGTACCTGAGGAACGCGATTCGACACGGACGCTAGCATATTTATCGTCAAAGCTGTACGGTCGTTTTTCCACCATCGGATTGATTTTGCTATAGGTTGACTTCGGGATGAGACCTATAATATCTGTCAGCCGGGAGTACTATATTATTAGATAGAAATAATTACACCTTTCCTGGTGCTTAGTATGAGATTCTGACCCTGAGCAGATATGATGTTCAACAGAAGGATGGAAAAGCCATCACCTTCCTTGACTGCTGTGAATCACCTTCTTCTTGGAGGACTGTAGGGTTGTGCCCTTGAGGTCCATATAGATAAATACTGTGCCCCAAGTGCTGAAGCAGGTCAAGACACATTCATTTCTGTGCTTTGGGGGTTAATATAAGAACGCTGACAGGAACAAGCGGGGATTTGTAGATGTTTCACAGAACTTTGAGGCCTTGTCTTGGCCCAAACAACAAAGAAGCACAGATAGGTCCACTTACCATATCGGGAACCCATGTATGCTCGAAGTCTATGCATATATGTTGCAGACTAGGCACCACCAGTGTCAAGATAAAGCACTGGCTCATTCGATCGGTGGGCTTCACTGCCCTATCACTTCTGGCAGCACATGCACCCAATCTTTCTAGTACCTTCTGAGAAAAGGAGACTTTGCCAAGCTGGCGGCATAAATAGAAGGGCCGAGCTATACAGTGCGTGATTTCTTTCAAGCGGGCGACCATGAACTCTAGAATTAGTGTCTCCTGTAGCCCTAAGAAGTAAGCAAAGATCCTAAGATATGAGACTTGGCACGACCCAGGCCCAATTTACACTAAATGACAGACAAGTACGTCTTTCCTATCTTCCTCTATTTGCTAAATATCTTTTCCATTTGTAATAGATATAATGTCCTCTCCATTCTGAGGTCATATGTATTGAAAAAGGCAAATTCCGTGCTTGAATTTCTAAAAGAAGATTTCAAGAATCTCATAAGGCATCAAATCCGAGGCCAAGACAAGGGCAGTTTTGAATTTGGAGTCAATCCGTCGTACTAATACATGCTTAATACCAAGCTTTTCAACGTCTTATACTGTATCAGCAAAAGAATCATATTCAGTGCCATTGCAGCATCCCATATTTACATCACACACAATCTCCAACAACTCTACTTATAAGTAACCTTCAACTCCGAGTCACTCAAAATAGTCGGAATAGCCTGAATAGTATTGCTCGAGCTATCCTGAACCGCATAAAGGGCTGATCCATCGAGGCCGTACTCCTTACTGTCCGCCTTAGCAACACATCCAGTGAAGGTTGCCTCACCGAAGTTCACGAGAGACAATCCACCACCATCAACAGCCAAATCCTCTAGGATCCACTCGGCATTTTGACCAGTCAGAGTCGCAGTCGCCGCCGGGGCAGACGCGGTAACCGTGACGTTCTTGCCGGTAGTCAAGTTCTCGATAATCGCGATACCCTCACTAGGAGAGGTCGACTCAACACTAGTGAAGATCACATCACCGAAGTTAAACTCGAGGTCAATGTTCACCGAGTTGGCAGGGTACCATTCGTACCAACCGGCGAAGGAGGGCTGGCCATTTTGTACGTAAATATCGACACCAGCTTGCCAGATGGCGTTACCGGACGTGGCTCCGTCGATACCGACCCAGAAGGATGCGGCTTGGGTTTCGGAGGATGGGGCGGCTGTCGGCGTCACGGAGGGAAGGGTGTAGGTCGCGGCGACGTAGCTGTAAGTCGCGCTGCCCGCGGGAGCGGTTTTCTGCACTGCTCCCGCCCAGTTCTCGTTGATCTCATAGTTATACTCGGATTGGGCCTGGCTGTGGGTGACAGCTTTGTATTTTGCCTGGGGAGCGGGTGTGACATGAGCGCTGGGCTGTCCGGTCTGCTGTTCAGCTAAGTTGGAGAAGTCAAGTTCGCCTAGCCATCCGGGACCCTGGAAGCGTCGAGCTCTGAGGCCATGGCTGTGGGAACCGGCGAGGGCAGTGCCAGTTAAGAAAGCTGACAAAGCCAAAGAAGGAAACTTCATGGTAATGAAATGTAAGGTAGATTTAAAAAAGAAAGAAAGGAAGGAAGGAAGAAAGAAGGAAAGAAGGAAAGAAAAAGAAAGATAGTTGGCGTAGATCAACGAGTGAGGTAAAACAAATTACAAAGAGTGTATAGGCCAGACGAAAGATTCCAGATCTTTAACGTTAGGTTGGGGAAATGAGCTGATGGACGGTGGATTGGATTGCTTTAAGAGTAACCATCCTTTAAGGCTATCTTCCACCCGCCGGGGAAGCCGAAGTCTTTGGTTTCATATTTATCAAGCTAAATTCTGTTAGCTGTCTGATCTAAAAAGAGGCGTACAGTTAAGGGTCCTGTTGATTCAGCAGCCCCTTTTGATATATTGAGCTTTTAACTAGTGTACGGAGTATGTCCGGTAGTCAACCGCAGCTGGCCAGCCATGCAGACTGCTGGGAAAAGCTTGCAGATGCTTAACAGACAGTAACTATGCCGGACCCACTGTTGGTAGATAGAGCTTCGCCTTTAAGATTACATGTCCCACTCTGAAACAACCGGCTATCCTAGCCCAATCAAGAAAAGCTCTCGAGGATAAACGCTTGAAATCTCGAGTTGCTCGCCTTTTCCATGCACTCTGGTTGGATTAACCATTCTTTAATTTCCTCCTCACTAGGAAAAGGCTCCGGAGTTGGTGCTGCCAACGAGATATGGCGTTGGTAAATTTATCACGCCTTGTGGAGATCCATCCCTCAACAGGCAGCAGGACCATAGTCATGCGGTGTGTCAATTCCACTCCAACGGCAGCTTTGTTGGCTTGTCAAGCTATTCGATGACTAAGGCTTGATGTAGGACATTCATATCACCATCTTTCAAGAGACCCCTGGGCCCGGTCCTCGGGTAAGCCGACTGTGATGGTATTCGTGGCCATTCCTAATGCCCACTCCCAGTACCATTCCCTTTCCAAGGAAGTTAAAACAAAGGCACCTCATGCAGACCCTCGTGATCTCGATGTCAGCATCTTTGAGCCAGCCTTTCTGGCGTGACAGCTCGAAGTTTTTGTGTTGAGTTGTAGACTAGACGAATGACTTGGCTTTTTTTCCTCCACAGTGACTAGCCCTGCGCAAGCTGGGATTATCGTGTTGAGCTCTGGAATGTTGGCTGTTCCATCTCTGATTAGGTGGTATTCACAGCAAGTGCATTTTTGGAGCTGCTGAACTAGCAGAGGTTCCTTTGCATATGTTACCCAGCACATTACTCACTATGGCCCTTCCCTTGATTCTTCATCTTACATACTGCATGATCGTATGCTTCCGATAGTAGTTGTTCTTTACTATCTTGTTTTGTGTTTTCACTTTGCCATCGGAAGTGAGTCCGGCACTTTGGCTATTTCTCTTTGAGCGGCCTTGTCGAGAGAGCCGAAATACTGGTGTGCGAGTAGAGACCTGATCTGAGGTCAGATAAAATCCTCTAGGCTAAAGGCATGGCAGACATACATCCTATGCACTAACTCTGTAAACTCCTTTTAGATACTAGTTTGTAGGTCTTTGTCTTCTGTCAGAAATGAGCCCAATCGTGACAGGTTTCCATCCAGATATCCCTGCACATCTTCATCGCAAGCACGAATTTCTAGGCTCCAGTCCCTTTTAAAACGGCATGTGGGTGTGGGTTCGTCGATATTCATGATGTTTTGGGTCTGGGCTTGGTGGTTGGCTTTGGCAGAGGATGAGGTGCTACCTATCATTAAGTCGTCATGTAAGCCAATAATTGTTAGTGATGAATGGGGCATCAACATCCTTGCCCTTATACCGTCTAGCGAGAGGGTCCCTTATACGCTCCGATCATGGGATACCAATTGGTCTCTGGCTTTGCGCAGCCTCTAGCACAATATTACCTTAAGCAGCCGTAATCCAAATCACTATTCCCTATATGGTTATTTGCGTGGCTTGTCATATCGTGTACCACCGCTTAGGCGCATATTCACGAACATGGCCTACCAGCAATGAATTTTGGTATGGACGACTTCTCCTAATCATCCTCAACAATTCAGGTATATCACCTGTTGTCTTGTTCAATGATATACCTCACGGTGCTACCACCTAGGCTGTTGAGATGAATGGTATTCTAATTCGATTGGACAGAGCCTCTCGGGGGGTCGTGTGATAAAAACCTAGTTGAAATTGTTTCCTGTTGCACATTCTAAATAGACAGCCATTCACATATGCATAAGGACTGTATTGCAAAGACTGAGGCGGAGCAGAGACGTAGTCATAGTTAGAGCTGTCCCTTCTGTCGGAGGAACAGCGACAGCCTTGCACAATGTCACTAACCGACATACATCCGAAGGGTCATGCACACCGCAGTGCTACCTCCCATATTCCGTAACAGCCTATTGTTTCTGTATAACCTTGTACTATCCGTGCCCAGTAGCCTAAGAGGTGTGTTGGCTTTTGTCTGCGTTGGGCTAGTGGTGTATCATTCTTAACATGTATTAGCCAACCGTCTTAAGATGTGACGGGGTAGGAATTCAAATCAATCTGTACCATTGCTTGGGGTATCAAACAAGAAAATTCACAAACACAATATCAACATCATAATCCAAACTCCACATTATTCATCACTGTCTTCGTCATCTGACTCTGCAGGCCTCGTCCGTCTCTGTGACTGTCTCCTCTCTTGCGTCTCTCCCTCCTCCGCATCCTCATTCGCATTCTGCTCCTCCCGCCGCTCAGGACCCTGGATCCCCAAACTCCTAGCCAATCTCATCTCAAAGCCATCCATCTGCTCCCTCTCCGCAACGGTCGTATCCCCGTCCTCCACCACCGCCTGCCGCCCATACACCTCCCGCACCAACCCAGCCACCCCCTGCGGTCCAACCTCCACCTTCCCCCTCGGCCCAACCATATACTCAATAACCTCCTCCCCCCCATCCATCTCCCGCATCCGTACCAGATACCCCTCCTTACACAACCGCTGCAAAAACCGATCCGTCCGATCAATCGGCGTATACGTCTCGGCATTCATGCGCGCCAAATACCGATCCAACTTCTGCTCCGGCAACGCACCCCCATTCAACATAATAACGGAAATAATAAACGAGTACAGCCCCGTATAGGTACTTTCCCAGGGCGCCTTGGTGGGCGGCAAGATCCCCGGTTTCCGATACGCCGCCGGCAACGTACTTGTCACAATCCAGGATTTATTCGTCGACGACGGCTTTTCCACTTTTTGCGCCGCTGTAACAATGCCCCCACTCAATTAGCCCTAACCATCATCTAAGACGCATTCCCTTTTGGGAGAGAAAGGAACTCACCCCGTCGCTGATGAATCGTCACCTTCTCCCTCCCCGGCAACTCAACCATCTGCATCCCGAACTTCTCCCGCAAAGCCTTCTGCGCCGCCTCGAAGACAGCCTTGAATTGTCGGGCGCCCTGCTCGCCCAGCACCTTTGTGCTGATCTCCGTTCGTCGGATCGGTAGACGCGAATACTCGCTTGCTAGCGCGAAGCGCACCATCTTCTTGACCATTAAGTCTGTGCTGCTGGGGTGGTGGGTAGAGTCATCGTCATCATTGTCATCGTCATCACCGGCGTTGGATTCTGAGGAAGAGGGGTTTTCGTCTGGGCGGCGTCGTCGCGGTTGTTGGGAGGGTTCCGGGAAGGGTTCGTCGGGGGAGGGGGAGGGGTCCTTTTTATATTTTTTTTGTTAATCGAGAGATTGCGATAATTGGAGCAGGGGGAGGGGGGGAGGGACTTACGGCGCGGCGTTTCCGGATGAGGGGCATTTTGTTTCTTTCTTGATATGAGGTATGGTCAAACGATGGAATAACGTTATCTTTTTTTGGGTTATCGTGGCATTAATGACGCGCTGGACGCGACGGGATGGGACTGCAGCTAGACTTCTTTTGGACTAGGGTGGGCACTTTACCGCATCGGGATTGGGTCGTCACATGTCTGGTGGATCACATGCTGATCTGCGAGGATCAGTTGATGCGTTTTGCTGTTGGTTGTACGGAGTGGGCTATTCTTGTGGTGATGGTGGTGGTGGTGGTGTTATTGTTTTTGAGATCGGAAGTGGAGGGGGGGGGAGGGTTTGGATTATTTGTACTAGGTGTGGTGGTTTTGGAGGTGAGATTCAATTGAGGTGGGACCCAGACTTCCGTTGTATATCGAACAGAACGAATAAAGAACATAGACTCCTGGTTTCTGGAAACAAATAAAATAGTTGGGAGGGAAAGGGAAAAAGAACAGAAGATGAGAACACCCTTTCTAGAAACGAATAAACACATTACAAAAACAAAAGGCCTGCTTGACAAAGTTACCCTCCAGCGAACAAGAAAATAACACAACCCGACCTAGTACGAGCCCCTCTAGTTGTTGGCCTTTTCGGTTTTGTCGTTGACCGCATCCTTCACCTGCTCCTTCTTGGCCTGGAGCAAGGAGCTGATGAAGCCCAGCGACTCCTGCGACAGGACCAGGCTAGTCGTGATCAGAGCCTTGCCGCTGGCGACCACGCCGTCGCCGCCGCACTTCTTGTACTCCGATCCATAGGTGTCGAACACGTGGGACTTCACACCGCCAACGAGTCGCACGGGGTAGGTGGCATTGTCGTAGAGCGTTCCCTTGATCGTCTCGGTGTTCTGCTTGACGATGGGGAAGCGCGAGTCGATCTGGGTCAACCCTTGGTCGCCGAGGGAGTCTGCGCGAGCCACATAGGGGGCGATGTAGCCGTAGGGTTTTGAGAAGTAGGGCAGAACGGGCTTGGCGATACGATCGTAGCCTTGATCGGCGTACTGTATGGACTTGGCGCCGTACTTGTTGCTCTTGAACACGGTGATGGAGTCGGACACGATTGGGTATGATGTCAGGTGCTGGGAACCCGCGGTTAGTCAACGTTCATTGATAGTTCAATTGGGTGGGGGGAGGGGGGGGGAAGAGCTTACATCGAGAAAGTGAGAGTAGACCTTCTCACCATTGACAGCGTTTTCGCCCATCTTTTTCGGTTCTGCGTGAGGCATCGGTTCCTTATCAATGATTAGTATAGCGGACGAATGAAGAATTGCTCCAGTGGCTTCGCATGTCATACCTGATTGGGGCTGTGAGAGGGCTGCAGAGTAAATGGGGATGCTAATTCCAACGGCAGGAGATGCTAGGGGCGTATAAGAGAAGGTGTGGTGGTGGTGGTGGTGGTGGGGGAGGTGGGAAGCCGGTAAGAAAAGAGTACAAGAGAGGTAGAGAAAGATAAGATTTGAAACGGTCGAGGGACGTCGTTGATCAATATATAATGATCTGGAGTCGAAATAAAAAAGAAAAAAGAAAAAGAAAAAGAAAACCTAATCAGGATACTAATAATAATAACAATAATCGAAAATCTGAATTAAATCGTTTTTATAAATTATCAAAGAATAAAATAAAATACCAAAATATAAATATAAAAATATGATGGATTGAGTGGTAGGATCCCAGCATGTGATAGCGGATCCAACATCGCAAAACGAACTTTTCGAGGGGCAACTTCAAGTTACACTACACTCACTTCATTATCATCTCATCTTGACGGAAATTGGTCAGGGAATTTGCTCGCATCTTCGGTCCGATCGTCGAACCTGTCAAGAGAGAAAATGCCAAAGTCACCTAATTTGTCTTTCATTCTCGTAGGCGTCATCGTCAACCAGTGGTTCCTTGGAAAAGGGAATGGGGGGAAGATAAGGTAAGGTATCAATCGAATGATGTCTCTCTGTCCATTGCGTTATCGAGAGAAGAGATTGGGCCTTTGATGGACCTTCAATCCGGTCATTCTAGAGTTAATTTGGTTTTTTTTTTTTTTTTTTTCCTTCTTTTTTATTTAACACGCAGACATGTGATTGCGGGTCTTCCCAAAACAGCCTCTTCTTGTCAAACAGAATCCTCAGGCTCCAAGAATCCGATCCTCGTCCTTAAAAGATCCCTTCTTATGATTTTCTGCCAAACGCCTCCAATGATCAACATCGCCTGATCACCTGATTCACCTAGATAACGTTGTTCGATTTATATTTATCCTAGATATTAGCTCGGTTATTCCCTTAACAAGTCTGAGAAGAGAGAGAGAGGGCTTCACATAGAATAATAATCCAATCCAATCAGCCTTCGAGTCATCAAGCGGCAAAACTCCTCTCGAGACGAGACGAGACGAAACAGCCTTGGATTCCAGTCCTTTTCCCCTTTTGAGTTTAATCCGCCTGGTCTGAGCGCGACCATCTATCTAGCCCACCATCGCTTTTCTTGGCCCTGTATGTCTCTCTCCCTCTCTCTCTCGCCTCCATCCAGTACCATTGCGTAGACCAAGAGTCGCGCGGGACCTCGCAATCTACCTGATAGATACTTTACTACTTTACCGATACACTCGACCGGCATGTCATTATCTAGCGCCAACCGCTTGCATCGTACTTTTGCCTCGATCCCCTTCTGTTTTGCCGTCGGATCGGGTAGACTAGGTTGCATTGCGACCTCCCATATAAAGCTGTCTAGCTGGGATATTAAGTACCTAGGTCCCAATAGCTTGAACATCCCGGATCCCATCATGTGTAAATTCATGCTCGTCAAGCATATGATAGTCATAACGCTTTTCATAACTCCCAGGGCTTGTGAGAATGTGCGTCGGCATGCAAATGCAGACCAATATATATCTCTTTGCCTAAGTAACAACAGTACATATAATTATATATTCCGAGCGACAATTTTCCACACTTCAACATTCTTCCAAGTAAACTGATAAATATTTGGATACTCTCTTCTTATTACATTCTAGGCCGTCTAGATCGCCATAACTTTTTTTTTTTTTAAAAAAAATAAAGAAATAAAAAATAAGTAAATCAAAATAAAATACAATAAAAACAACAGTTCTTTGACCTCAACTCAAGACACGTCGATCAACGCCTTCCCGCTCAAGTTCTTTCATAAGCCCAAACGAGCACAGACAGGGACATCCACCGAAGGAGCGGATCACAGCCTCAATAGGGAATACCGACGCAGGTCATAATTATCTCAACTCAACTCAACTCTTCAGTTACCAAGAGGATACAACCGTCAATACGAGAAAATCTCACTTATGCTAGTCCGCAAACCACCGGCTATCATTCGCGAGTTGTTAGCCGCCCAGCGCTGGTCCGGTATTTTTCGCTGCATGCATGGACCGGTCCAGTCCTTCTACAGGCAACTCTGCTTCTCATTGTCCGTCGGCAGGACAGCATCTTCCTTCTCCCTTGCCCCGCTTCTCGGATGTCCTGCGCGGTCTTTCCGAGCGGCCGTTCTTGTTTGCTCTTGAATTGCGGAGATACGTAAGATGCGGGGATAAGAATGCGCCAAGACGACGTGGCAGATTGTTGCTTGCTTGGGGGGTTGGGGACTTGATGGTGGGAAGGGGGAGGGAAACAAGGAAAAAACAAGAAAGATTATCTATCCTGCATCTGCACTTTGGGGGAGAAGGGGAGGGATATTTCAGAAGGAGATTCCGGGGTAGATGAAAACCAAAACTGGTAAAAAGATATTGACGCAAAGAATATTATCATAAACCTTCACCCTGCCGGGTATATCCTGCAACAACCCTCCGAGAAAGCAATGCCAGCGTAGATGTCCATCTTAGACAAAGGAAGAAATTGTGAATTTGTTCATATTTCCATTTCATTTCGAGGACGCCAGATCTGTGTGGCCTCCTTCATTATCAAAAAAGAAAAATGGCCAAGTCCTGGACTTGTACATCGATACATTTCCCATGCCTCCTCCAGCTATGGTATCCGTCCTCTCGTGTCATGAACCGAATGTGCTCGATGCCCTTTTTTTTTCCCTTGCCTCATCTCTAAGACCTTGCGCGCTCAAACGACATAACGCCCAATAAAACCCCGTTTAGAAACCTGTTGTCTCCGTCAGCATGTCGCTCGCAATAGCCCAACCCAATCAAATGTAGAGAAACGTACGCAGAGGAGTGAAGAACCAACGGTTCTTGCCGCTGGTGTAGCGGTCCTCGAGGGCCTTCTTGACGGTCTTCTTGGATTCCTCACGGGTGGAAACCTCCTTGAAGGTGTCGTTGGAGACGGCACCCTTGAGACCCTCGAGCTCGAGAGTGTAACGAGTGGGCATCAAGTGGTTGTAGTTGACAACCTTGATGAAGGGCTTGATGCGGCTGCGCTTCTCGACGGTCTTCTTACCCATGCGGCGGGTGACCTTGAGGGGGTAGCGCTCGATACCGGCGACAACGGCATAGGAGAAGGGGTGCGCCTTGGAGCCAGAGTCGTTAGGCTGGACAATGACGACCTACATCACAGGTCTTGTCAGCACCTTCCCGTTAAACTAATTTCTATCTTCAAATCCGTATTATCTCGTGTTTTCTTCTTTGGATGTCGTTTGATGGTGTTGTAATTATCGACTGGGTCGTCTTCTAATCACTCGTTCCTCCACACGACATCGCCATTGTACACCATTCCGGCTCGCGCAAAAAGACTGGAATAAGGGGTCATTTCGTGTCGTACCTTCTTACCGGCGTAACGGCCACGGGTGATGATGGCCACACGGCCCACTTTCATGACTATCGCGACATCCTGTCAGCTGGAATTCAAACGTAGAATATCATAAATCGTGGTGCTAGAGCGATTAACTAACACTTCATTGTGAAAGTCCCGGTGAGCGGCAGCAAGGGTCGATGGGGGTGGTTGTCGATGTGCTTCGGTCGAGTAAAGAGAGTCTCCGCCGTCGACGTTCTTTTTTTCGCTTGAGAATCAGGGCTTGCTCAGGGCTTTTGTGCGCCCAGCGCTCATTGGCTGCATTACCGATGTTTCCGTCGCTAAGCCCATCTGGGAAAGTTCCCCCAACAGGACTAGTGGCCGAAGAGGGTGATCGGAAAAACTCGACGGGACGAAGAGACTCACCGCCGCATGACGGCATATTGTTTACTCGGCAACGGGGCGTCTATCGGTTGCTAGGACGAAGCTTTGATGTGTACGCTGGAGATTGGGCCCGATGGTGGTTGATGCCCCATGAGCTACCATTCAATTTCCCTCCAGTTCTTCAAACTCCACTTCATTGTTTGGGTCCTCGATTGCCAATTAATTGATTATCTACTCCAGAATCTACTCTGGTCTTTGACCTCTTTGTTGATAGCCGTTCGTCGCGCTGTTCCTCGCCCTTCCCTCCCCTCCATCCCTCGATAGCAAGCGCATTTGTATTTTTGTATTTTTTTCTTTTTTCATCTTTTGCCTTTCCCCTTCACGATTCTTGTGCTTCTGTTGTGCTACGTCCCTTGATGTGACCAAGAGTTACCTACTACCACTTTGTTTTGACGAACTGATATGCCTTTACGACCTTAATTGACGAACATTCTTCTGCGCATTCCGAATACAACAACCCCTCTCGCCCCCCCGATTCTATTTTGTTTGAACCACCAACGCAGGATACCAAGTTTATCGAAAAGCCCAGGTCTCACAATGCCGGCGGCTCATACTCGCGACGGTTCCCGAGACCGGGAACTCGTTGTCAGACATCAATCAATCCCTATGTATGTCTCAGCTACAGCCTGAACAAAGGGCCTTTGTCCGTCACCAAATGCAACGATGGATATCCTCAGACTAACATTGAGATTGTGGAAACGAAGGTGGGATAGTTCAGATCCCGAACGCGCGCCTCCGCCATTGCCCTTGAACCCGGGATCGACAAGTCCCGCAACGAAGGGAAATGTTTCCCCCGGCATTCAGGCCATGGCTGCCAGCTTTACAGAAAAGATGCGGGAAAATGCTCCCAGCCCATACACGACAAACCCCATGCCTCCGAAGTCGCCTGAGAAGTCTCTCATCAAGGGACAATTTCACAAGCGCATGCAGTCCTTTCAGAATAATTCGGATCCTCGATCCGAGTTCTTGAACTATCTAGAAAGCAAGTCGCCGGAAAAACCTCAACGAGCATCGACTTTTGATTCGACCACCATTAAACCACTGGAAAAGAGTCCAGCGAAACCGGATCCAGACGAACCGGATCCGGACCGGGAGCTCCCCAACTTGCTCATATCGAACCGTTACCTCTCCAAACCGATCATCGGGGAAAGCACCCCTCCCTCCGCCACCATGCTAGCGCTGCAGAACATGCAATTGCCGAGTGACGACGATTTGCAACCGAAGAGTACCGAGTCCGATCCTTTCATTGGGCCTAACCGGCCTCCAAACTACAGCTTCGAATCGTTGTCCACGCAGATCCACAGTCTGACCGATATCGCCAGCAACCTCCAGCGGGAGATGGCTCAGCTGAGCCGTCGAAGCAAAGACAATGCGACAGATTTAGTAAGCCTGAAAGCTGCGACGAATGCTCGAGATGAGGATATCCGAAAAAGCCTCCGCGAATTATCCTCTAATTTGACATCAAGATTCCTTGATCCTGAGGCTGCCACAAGGTGGGATTTCAGTGCTCTCCTGGGTTCTGATAGTGGTGTTAACCATAGGGAATCGGATAGTTCTCCGAATTCGAAGAAGAGCTATGGACGGATGTCAAGTCCAAATCCGTTCGCCGCAGCGATGGAGCGCGAGCTGTGCGCGTCTCCGACACCTATCTCTGACGGATCGGCCAGTATTGCCTTGTTGGAAAAGGTTCTCCGGGAGATGGCCACCAAAGAAGGCCAAGAAAAGCTCACAGAACTTATCGATGAGATCAAAGCCCGCCCCGCTTCTGATACTTCCAGCCCAGCGGTTGATAGTGCGACGAGGACGATGCTCGAGGAGATTCTTAGCATCGTCAAAGATGAGTCGGAGAGCAAGGCTTTGGTGCGTATGCAGACCGGTGCTTCTTTCAAGACAGGCAGGTCGAAATCCATGGACCCCGAGCATCTATACACGCCGGAGCTCGACATGGTTCATGGGGACAATGGCCGACTATCCGCACGCTCAATGTCTCACTCCGATGATGCGACGACAGAAGAAATGTTGTCCATCATGAGGCGAGTGAAGAACAGCGTCATTGAAGGAGGTGGAATGACTAATGAAGTGAAGAGGCTGGTGCGTGAGTTGCGTGGTGAGGTACTGGGAATGGGAAGAGACCTAGCCCGTAAACTAGAAGAAATCGAAATTGCTCGCGAGGCCGCAGAGGACAAGCCAACCGGCCCTGGGAGGGAGGAAATCTCCGACATTGTTCACGATAGTCTGTGTGAGCTAAGGGAGCATTTGGAAGCAATCGTCAATGCGAACAAACAGCATTCATCTGCTCTTTCCGAATTCCGGGCCGCGATGGACGGGGCTCAAATCTACTCCATCGTAAAACAGGCCTTCGATGACCTCGACCTGTCTCAGCTTCGAGATGAGCCCAAGGGTCCCTCTATGGAGAAGGAAGATATCCTGGAGACTGTGCGTGAGGCCTGGGAAACATACAAGCCCGAGATTGAGCTGCAAAACTTTGGGCTGGAGCGCGATGAGATCCTGGAATGCCTCTCGGAAGGCCTCAAAGCTTATCAGCCCCAGCATGAGGAGGCGGTCACATACGATCAGGTCTTGGCAGCTATACAGGCCGGTATGCAGCAGTTTGAGCAACCGCCAACTATCACCAAGGACGAGATAGTGCACACAATCCGTGAATGCCTCGAGACGTCGCAATCTGCTACTCGGTCGGCTCAAGACGAGAAACTGGATGCTATTCGGGATAATATACTGCAGGCAGTTGCCGAATCAGTAGCATCCCAAAATGCACTGACGAAGGCCTCACTTGACTCCGGCATTAGTCGCGAGGAGATCTTGAGTGCGGTCGCACAAGGGATTGAAACGCACTTTTCTGCGTCTCGGGCCATTGAGAGCCCGCACCTCACCAAAGACGACGTTGCCAATGCAGTCAACGATGCATTCTACGCCCAACAGTCGGCCCTCAGCACCAGTGTCCAGCCTACAGTTTCCCGCGACGAAATCCTCGCTGCGATTGCTGAGGGCCTAGAGGCGCAGAATGGCATGAGCCGAGAGATTGAGCTCAACACGGACGATCTCATGGAAGCCATCTCGGCTGGTCTCCACGAGGCCAACGCCGCAAACCAGAGTGTTGGGGATCAGATCCTTGAACGAGTCCAGGAACACCACGATGGAATGAAGGAGGAACTCAAGCAGCAATCACTTGCCAAGGAGAGCGACACCGTCCAGATCCTGGACGCCATCAAGGACGGCATCGCCGTGGTGCGACAGGAGGTCGAAGGCTACGCCGCTTCCGCCATCGAAGCTACCGGGCAACATGAAATCATGGACACCGTGAAAGAAGGTTTCCGACTCCTGCAGGCAGACATGGAGAGAACAATTGCCGAGAGCGTGATGGCAAGCGCCCCTCGCAACCCGGACACCCCGGAGCTTCTTGATGCGATGGAAAAAGAGTTCGAACACCTTCGCTCCACTATCAGCGCCCTTCTTCGCACTGAACAAACCCCCAGCAGTGATAAGGATGAGATCCTCGACGCCATCCGCGATGTACATGAGGCCCATAAGCCTGGTAGCAACCAGGATATTGCTGATATTATCAAGCGTGAATTTGAGGGGCTCAGGGACTCGATGAACATGAGCCTCGTTCGTACGGAACCAGAGCCACCGAAGAGTGACAAAGACGAGATTATTGCTGCTATTCGCGAGAATCTCGATACTTTCCGCAGTGATAAGAGCGACAAGGAAGAGATTGTCGCCGCTCTTCGGGAGAACCTCGAAAGTTTCAAAGGAGAGCGCAGCGATAAGGATGAAATCATTGCAGCTCTGCGCGAGAACTTCGATACTTTCCGCCGTGAAAAAAGCGACAAGGACGAGATTATCGCCGCTCTGCGCGAGAATTTCGACACTTTCCGTAGCGAGAAGAGTGACAAGGATGATATTGTCGCTGCTCTTCGTGAGAACCTCGAAAGTTTCAAGGGTGACCGGAGTGATAAGGATGAGATCATCGCAGCTCTGCGTGAAAGTCTGGAGACCTTCCGGGATGAAGGCAATCGTTCTAAGGACATTGGTGAACCCGAGTTTTCCACTGGCGACTTGATTGACGTTTTCAATGATGGGGTTGGCACAATCCGGGACGATCTAGGAAAACTGTTGGATAGGCCAGCAGAATTCGATTACAACGAGCTTTTGGATACCCTCAAAGAAGGACTCAGTAGCCTGAAAGCGGATGTCGAAATCTTGCGCAAATCCCAGCAGGAAGACGAAGACATTACCACAACCCGAGGAGGCGAGTTGATGCTGGCCAATCAACCCAACATGAACAGCGACATCGAAGGACTAAAAGCCCTGATTTCCCAGCTCCAAACCAAGGTTGAAGCTATCGACTCCGCACCCCGCGTTGCAGAGTCCGCCACAGACGCCGTCAAGAAAGAGCACCTGGATGAGGTCTTAGAAGGCTTGCGCGAGCTCCAAGGCTCTGTGGCTGGTATTGCGGCCCGGGAGAACCCCGTGGACGAGACAACCGCCAAGAAAGAGGACACGGATGCGATCGAGACATTGCTGCGGAACACAAAAGCTCAGCTCGATGAGATGAAGTTCCCCGCAGCGGACGAGATTGCTAGAGCGGAGCAGCTGGGAAGTTTAGAAACTGTGGTCAAGGAGACCAAGGAAGCTCTATCTGAACTTAGCACCCGCTTGGAAACCGAGGGCCCTACTAAGTCTGAGATCGGTACATTGGAGACTCTTATGAAGGAAATGTGGATTGCTCTCGACGAACTGAAGGGTAAAGGGCCCGAAGGGGAGAACGATACTGAGAAACTAGTTAAAGCCGACCTACAGACAGTGGAGGCGATGATCTTCGAAGTGAAGACCCAAGTCGACGACCTCAAACTCCCCGACCCTGAGGCCTTACCAACCAAGACCGAAGTCCAAGACCTCTCAGCCCTTGTCACCGAATTCAGGGAGAAAGTTGAGGCCGAGAATGAGCTGACAGCTCAAGGCTTCGAGGCCCGCAAAGTGGAACATGCAGGCCTCGCTGAGAAGATTGAGGAGGCTAAAACTGTCGTTGAAGGCCTTGGTGATGAGCTGAAGAGCAAGCTGGATGGAAGCAGTGAGGGCCTCTCTGAGCTCAAGCAGCTTCTGGAAGGTTTAGCAGTCTCTGCGGAGAGCTTTACGACAGTTGAAAATGTTAAGGAACTCACGGAACTCATCAATCGCGAGTTCGAGCGGGCGCGCGGTGAACAGGACGCGAGCAAGCTCGAAAACGAGGAGCGAGACGCCGCTGCTCTTGTTAAGCATGACGAGACCAGAGCCGCGATCATTGTGGAACTTGGTGCGAAGATCGATGAAAAACTGGGTGAGGTTATGGCCAAGTACGATGACATGCAGACTGCAATGGATACTAAATTCTCGGAGTCTGTTGAGCGCGACAATGCCCATCTTGAAGCCGCGACAGATACAAAATCACTCGCGGAGGACATTAAGCTTGTTATCGGTACTATGGGTGACAGCGTCAATGAAGCTTGTGAGCGCATCAGTGTAGACACCAAGTCCTTCCTCGAGAAGGTCGATGTGTCCTACAACAAGATGGAAGAGATGCACAACGAAGTCAAAACACAACAGGAACAAGCCCGGTCCGACATTGAGAAGGCCGCAGCTGCAACAGATCGTGTGGAGAGCAAGCTGCATGAGTTCCACCCCCAGGTCTTAGAATCTATCCAAGAAATTCTCAGCATTGTCGGACAGCACTACGATCACTCGCAGAGGTCTACAGAAGCTATCAAGATGGATCTGTCTGCCCTTCCTTCGACTATCCCACAGATGTTCCCCGCTTTGCCGCCCCCTGAGCCGGAAAAGTACGATGACTCCAAGGTTCACGAGAAGCTGGATGACCTGTTGCATCACGCAAAGAATGAGAAAGTCCAGGAGGCACTGGACATTCTTGTCGAGCGTGTGACGAACAATCAAGTGCACGAGAAACTTGATCAGCTTCTGAGCCAGACTACGAGCACCAACAGCCAGGTCTACGACAAGTTAGATGAGCTACTTAACCACGCTGCGGAGAATAACGGACCAATCCATGATAAACTAGATACCCTCATCGACCATGCGACTAACACAGACCAATCCGTCACACAGATGATGAAGCTGGACGAAATGCACAAGGATATCATGGAAACGTCCCGCAGGATGACTGAGATGTTCGCAGCACAATCTGCGATCGTGGCTGAAGACAACGAGCGCAAGCGCCGCGAGGCTGAGGAAGCCGCAGTTGTGCTTGAGAGGAGGAACGCACAGAAAGAACAAGTGGAGACCGAGATTGTAGGCCTCAAGGATGAGAAGGACTCTCTCCTGAAGATGATCCAGAATCTGAAGGCCGAGAAGGAAGATCTCGTGAAGCAAACCGCCAAACTGGGCAAGGAGCTCTCGAGCTTGGAGATGGCTCTTGAACTCCGCCACGAGGAAATGCAAGTCATGGAGGATCGCGCGGAAAGTCTCGAGAAACGTATCTTGGAGGGTGTCCTCGATCATGCTCGCAGCGTGCTACTCAGCCGCCCTAACAATGGCCTGAACATGAAGAAGTCGCGCACTTCTCGGGCCCGGGGCCCTAGCGCTGCTAGTACCACCAACACTGCTCGGGACGCTCGCAGCATCTTGGGCAACAGTGTGGGCATGGCGTTGCGGAAACGATCGCAGGCGCCGTCCCAGTCCGGATCTGCTACTCCGACCAATGGCGGCAAGGAGAGGCGAATCCTTAGTCTGAGCAATGTTACCGGCAACCGTGGACCCACCGACCGCCAGGCTAGCGTTAGCAGTGGGTTCACGAGCCTAAAACGCAGCCACTCCGTGAAATCCAATCTCTCCGACCGAAAGTCATCTTGGGGTGGCAGAAGCTCCGTGGTAAACAAGGAGAATGAAGCCTTCCCCGAAGAGGAGGAGAACCGCAGCGAGATAGAGAGTGACGCGGGGACAGAGCGAAAATCAAGTTACACCGGTACATATACAGATAGTTTGATGTATGGTACGGACAGTACCGTGACCAATGATCGACGAGTCAGCGGCGCCAGCACCTCCACTGAAATAGTTGGCCAAGGCTCTCGAGATGACGGTGACGGGCCATCGGAGACTCATGACGATCTCAAGGCTGACGATCCCGCGGGTGATCCTGAGGTCGATACCGAGTCATCAAAACTGGTACTCTATGGGCAACATAGCGACAGTGGGATTGGTGCCGAAGTTGCCAGCGCCGCAGGATAACTTCGGGTCACGACCTGCTTTGTTTTGTCATGCTGTGACCTTTGATGATCATATGGATTCTTGAGATACCACCGACGGCAGGTTTCCTCCGTCAATCAATTCCAGTGCTTTAGGCAGTGTTTAGCGTTTTTTCTAGACTCGTCTCTTTTGTACTTTCCTTTGTTAATAGTTTTTCGAATGAACATTCATGTCTCCCTGTCTTGATTCAGTAGTAGATATAACTGTAGGAATAATATACTGAGCATAGCGCTTTTAAATTCTATTCTGTTCATGGTATTGATAAATCAAGACTTCGTCCCACCTGATTTGTAACATGCCTCAAATCTTCTGACCGGCTCTTAACCAGGTCTTCATGTGATGGACTGATAGTGATGTCACAGACTTTGAAACGCTTTGGTGAAGCATCAGTGACACACAGCAATGAAAATAAGCATAATTATGAACTTATTATCAGCGAAAGAGAGAGCGGTTGACCTAAGATGGTCCTTGATAGAGCACTACTATAGTCCTAAGTGTATATCAAGATGCCTAGTACTAGTGCAGATCAGGATCCAGTGATCCAATCACGGGGTCCCGCCAGCTGAGTCAGCGCTTCCCCAACGGTTTCTCCCCAACTGGAGGCCCCACGAATCAGGCATCCACAAGGCCGTCCAGCAACCGCGGCATTTCATTAGTTTATCAGAGATGCATAAAGACGGGACTCTCTTTCTCCTCACCTCTTGGATCATGGCTGGTCCGGGGCCCTTCTAGACACCGCCTATTTCTCCCCCTTCCCTGTCGACTCCTTTTTTGTTTCTCCCTGTCCTGGTCTCTCTGACCTCAGATGTGTAACTCGAGCTTCCTAACCCATATATACAGTACATCAAACCTCCCAATAGCTCTACAACAACTGCTCTCCAACGCCGTCATCCGGCATGTTGGACCCCTTCCCACCCCCCCCGACATGGCTACGAGACCGTGTCGAGCCTTGGGCCCTCTACTTCAACGTCCCAGCCCTGACAGACCACTTCCATGAGGTCCTCCTCGCCCTCGCCGGCTACCAGTTCATCCACTCCGTCCTCTCCCCATGGCTCTCCCCGATCCTCTTCCCCCGACACTATCCGCATCTGAACAAACGCACCAAGCTAAACTGGGACGTCCACGTCGTCTCCCTCGTCCAGAGCACCCTGATCAACATCCTCGCCCTCTGGATCATGTTCACAGATAAAGAACGCAAGTCCATGGACATCAACGAACGCATCTACGGCTACTCAGGCACATGCGGATTTCTCGCCGCCCTAGCCGCAGGCTACTTCGTCTATGATCTCGTCATCAGCACAATCCACATCAAGATGTTCGGCATCGGCATGCTCTTCCACGCCATCAGTGCGTTATGGGTATTCAGCTTCGGCTTCGTACGTTTCCCTTCCCTTCCCTTCCCTTCCCTTCCCTTCCCTCCAACACCATCCCCCAAAGTCTCCCCAATCGTACAAAGGCAACTAACAAAAATGATATGATAAAAGAGACCCTTCGTAAACTTCTACTCCCCAACTTTCATCCTCTACGAACTCTCCTCCCCGTTCCTAAACATCCACTGGTTCCTCGACAAACTCAACCTCACCGGCTCAAAACTCCAATGGTACAACGGCATGCTCCTCCTCTCCGTCTTCTTCAGCTGTCGCCTCGTCTGGGGAACATGGCAATCCGTCCTCGTCTACAGAGATATGTGGCACGCTCTGCAGCTATCCTGGTCCCTGTCTTCATCCGCCGTTGCACTGGGCGTCCCTGTTGATATTACGTCCACAGTATTCGGAAACAGGGCGCAGCTGGCGCTGCAGTGCGGGGATAAGCTCTGCACCCGGGCCCAGGAGGAGGTATACAAGTATGCTGGGTTTACGGTGGGGGGAGCGCCGGTGTGGCTTGTTGGGACTTATGTGGCAGCGAACGTTGTCTTGAATTCGTTGAATTATTATTGGTTTTCGAAGATGGTGGAGACGGTTTTGAAGAGGTTTAGGGGACCCAAGGAGGGTGGGGAGAAGAAGAGGGCGGATTCTGAGGAGAAGGTGGAGGATGTGGTGGAGGATATTGCGCAGAAGGTTGTTTTAGAGGCGGCTGCTACGTTGGAGGAGGAGGAGGGGAGGGTGTTTCATGGGGATGTGCCTGAGGAGCAGGGGTTTGTGGTTAAGGATGTCGATGTTGATGTTGGACGGGAGGAGTTGAGGAGGCGGAAAGCCTAGGTGTTTCTTAGGGCTAGAGTTGTGTTGAGGGAGTTTTGTTTAGGACTTAAAAAGGCGGAGTTGAATTGTGAGCTATTATTATGTATTTAGTTTCTGGTCATTGTTTTAGGTCGTTTTTGAAATGGCTGTCATGGACGTTAACATGGTCTTTATTTGCATTTCCTTGCATTACATTTAACTTGCCCTGTCTCAAGCATCTTGTTCTCATTGAAGTCACATCCGAACGCATACTGGATAAATGTAAAGGATACATAACACTCCCGAGCCAAACACCGCACAAGCGCCCCAACCAGCAAGTTCCTAAAATAGTCAAACATATTACGGGCCGTGCATCCGATCTCACCGCAGCATGGCCTCTGGCTTCGCGAGCATGTATCTCACGGCTTCGCGGGCCACCGGCGTATCCCACGCGCCGTCCGCGCCTCCGCGACGGAATTCCGGTCCAGTGCCGTCTTCGCCGCCACCGCGCGTAGCCTCGCCCAGGATGGTCTCAAGGTCCCTGCGTTGAGAGTTGACCCAGCGACGGACGAACGTGGCGGGGTCTTTGCTCAGCGCGGTGTAAAAGGAGTGCTTGGCACGCGAGTGTGTAAGTGCCTGGACGATAAGCGCAACCTGGTCGTCCAGGGTGGAAATCTGTCGCAGTCCAGCGGTGTACTGTGGGTTCTGGGTCAAGGCGAGCATCTTAGTGCGGAGAGGGTCTTCAACAGCCACTTGGATATCATAGACGGTAGGGGTGGGGTCTTTGTGGAATTCTTCATCAACACGGATGGTATATGGGAGCTTGATCGGGTCAAGGGAACTGGTGTGCGGACCAATGCTCTCCGGGATCTGGGGGAAGAACATCTGGTCTCGGCCGAAGATCTGTAAATGTTAGTACGACGGAACGGTCTGATACTCCACATGATAAAACATACAGATCGCAAGCGATGGTCACAGCGGACTAACCGCTTCTCCTCATCTTCTTGTAGACCCATAGCGCGAATATAATCCCAGATACCAAGGACAATCCCGCTGCGTGTTTCCTCTTCCACGTCGAGCACCTCCGCCAGCTCCTTGCTCAGCTTATACCGTTCGGGAGTCTCATCCCTGACCAGACTCAGGGTAACATTCAAGTTCTCCTGCGAAGCTCGAGAGAACTGCAGAGAGTCGAAATCGGCGGTTGGGGGCAATGTTACCGCGTTGGCCGGGAGTGGTGGCTTGGTCCAGTTGACAGTCTTGATCTCCTCGGGATTTGCCGTGGAAGTCTTGTCGAAGTCAACGGTGATTGATTTGACAAAGTGCGAAAAGCGCTGCTTCGATCGCTTCGAGCCGGACTTCTTGCCATCCTTTCCATCATGATCCATGGCTTCGCCATTCGCTTGCGTCGCGTCGCCCTCGTCATCGCTGTCCTCGGGAGCCGTAGGGTCGGTATTATCATCCAACAGTCGTCCTTCTATGCGCACCTTATAACGACCCGAGCCGGGGTTGGTCGCTGAACCATTCTGGCTAGTCGCATTCTGCCATGGTTGATTCTCAACCGTGTTCGTAATCCAAATGCGCATCGTCCGGTATTTCTTGACAGTTTTGCTGATTGAGTCCTGGATGTCCAATCTCTTGCGGACGATTGCGGCGTCCAATCTCTTCTCTAGCTCGCGCAAGTTGCGGTACTGCTGCACACCTTCCCCGATTACTATCTCTTCGATGCCGTCGGGGATATTCCTGTCGGTGGGCTTGCGGCTCCGGCGAAGAGCGACATCATTAGGATGTGCCATGTTGCGTTGAGGGGGGATATACTGAGCGGGAACGGGATGCTGTGATATGGCTACGGGCATTGCTGGGCCAGCTATGAAAAATGAGATTAGGGAAGGTATATGTACGAAATCAAGGGGGTGGAGACTACCTGGTCCTGGGGGTCCGCGACGAGGCGTGGCAGGCGAGCGTTGGGCGGCTTGTGGGAAGCCACGCCCGTAGTTGTGTGGCATTGGAGCATTCATGGCTAGTAGCGGCCTAAGCAAAAGAAGATGAGCCCGCAAGGGACCTACAATGGTTTGAAAGGGATCTGGGAAGATGAAACAAAGAATTCCCCGATGGCACAAGAAGTTGTCTCATTCGAATGGAGTTCTGAAAGTCGCGATTCTTTTGCCACGGTTGCGCTTTACCCGTTTGGGTCATGTCCTCCAGAACACCCAAAAGAACAGATCCTCAAGGTGTTTACATACTCTGATAATTCTCAATGTTATAGTAATATAGAGATTATACGTTCTATTCCAGTAATCATTTCATGTCTGTAATGCCATGTCATTTCCCAAACATCAAACTCAAAAAAGTATCCAGCAGGAGCGTTTACTCTAGCAAGGATGCCTGGTTAGTGTACAGCTCTTCCACCACGTTGCTTAACTTCTCAACAGTCTCTAGAGCAGCGTCATATGCCTGGTCGCGCTCCGTCTCGTCGTATACAATCAAGCATCCAGAACCCTGATCTAACACGCCGATGATCACCTTATCCAGGATCATCTGTGAGAGCTTCCGCTCCACCTGCTGTGTGTCGAGTCCAACCATCTTGGCAATATGGTCCAGCTCAACCCGGCTGAAGGGCTCAATGACCTTAATAAGGTTCTGCTCCAACATGGCGTCATACAGTCGGCGGAGGTGGTTCCGGATAAATACATCGCTGCCCAGCTCGAACCGGTAGTCCGACAGAGCCTTCTCATATTCTTCTAGCGACCGGTTGGCGTGGGCTCGGGCCACGGCCTTCATAGCCTCAAGACGCGGGCTGGCATACTTCTGGGCCTGCTTGGACCCAAGCAAACTCGTAACATCATCCACCAGGTTCAGCATAATCTTACAAAGTAGCATATACTGCAGAGCTGCCGTTGCCTTCTCGCTTTCGTCGAGCGAGCTATAACCTTCCAGAGCTTCAATAAAATACGAAAAGGCGGTGGTAAAGTCCTTGTCCTCCGCATGCAGCATACCGCTTTGCATATCCAAGCCGGCTTGCAAGTTCGGAGGTGTATAAACGGAGGCGGCTGATGTCCGAGAAGCTGTCAAGGCAGCGCGGCCCTTGGCCTGGTTGCCCAAAGCGTGATACACCCGAGACTCCAGCAACTGCACCTCCACCAGCATAAGTTTATCATCCAGGCGCTTGAGCTCGCGCAGAAGGGAGTTGATCAGGGTAAGAGCGTCATAGTAGGATTGCTTCTGCATGTAAATAGCCACGAGACGGGTCTGAAGGTTCTGGCGAAGGAAGGATCTCCGTTCTGCGATAGCCCAGTCGATGCAGGATTGGATGACGGCAATTTGAATATCGAGGGTATTAGGAATCTCACTGAACAAGTCCAAGAGTTGGCGGACTATTTGATACCAGTCAGCTCATTTGGTCTCCGTGACTAATATATTATCGCAATTCGCTCACCAAGCTTTGCCGTCTTAGCTTTCGCGAATGATGAAAACGAGTCCCGGCTAGTCTTAATAAGCTCGGCGATCTCGTTGGGCTTCTTCTCATCCCGGTAGAGCTCGCCCAATCCGACCAAAGCACTTTCATAGTCACGCGACGAAGTTTCCGTTGATCCGGGACCTTGAGAAAGAATGTCCTTGTAGATGGTCTCGGCTTTGGAGGAGTCCTTCTTCACGAGAGCCCGAGCTTCCTCTATCCGCTGGGCGGTTGTCGAGGAGGGCGCCATGGTAAAACGTCGTTTAATGTGGAAAGGAACGGTAAAACTGAGCTCTGCTATATAGAGTGCTTAATGGTAACAGATCCTTGAGAGAGTGGGAGAGAAGCGAAGGTCCAAAGACGGGAAAGATATGAGATGTGTATTGCTGATGAGGAAGAGGTCACCAGAGGCATCGTCACTGTTGGAGACTAAGCTACAGCCGCCCCTCACCGCCCGCGGGTTGGCGAACCAACCAGAACCAATATTACCCGCCCAAAAAAAAGTATCTAGAAATTTTGTGTTCGTCGCCAAAACATTTTTTGCTTCCTTCTCTCCTTTGCCGTATAACACAGTCAGAGCGTCATGGTGAGTTTAATATCTCCTATATACCAAGCGAATATGTCACTTATTCCACTATCAGAAAATCAAAGCTCTTTCTCGTCCCACTGCCTCGCAGCAGGCTCCGGGTTCAGCTGTTGTTCGACAGCCCCGAAACCTCGACCCGGCGCAGCATCCATTTGAACGTGCTCGAGAATACACACGAGCTCTCAATGCCACGAAGCTTGAACGTCTTTTTGCTGCGCCTTTCTTAGCTCAGATTGGTGATGGCCACGTAGACGGTGTATACGCCATGGCTAAGGATCCGGGCTCTTTGGAACGTTTCGCTAGTGGCAGTGGTGATGGAGTGGTCAAGGTCTGGGATTTGACGACTCAGGGTGAGGTCTGGGACACACAGGCCCATGAAAACATTGTCAAGGATGTGTGCTGGACTCCCGACCGAAAGTTACTTTCTTGCGCGGCGGACAAGACCGTCAAATTGTTCGATCCGTATAACACTTCGTCCGACGCTCCACCTCTCGCAACTTACCTGGGCCAAGGTGCTTTCACCAGTCTCTCCCATCATAGACATCTTCCCTCCTTTGCTGCGTCGTCGTCTTCTCAGATCCAAATTTACGATCTCTCTCGGCCTTCATCTACAGCCTCCCAGACCCTCAACTGGCCCACTAGTATCGACACCATCACATCGATTGCCTTCAATCAAACGGAGACGTCGATCTTGGCGTCTACCGGTATCGATCGTTCTGTCATTATGTATGATCTGCGCACCTCATCCCCGCTTCACAAGCTTGTTCTACGACTGGCTTCGAACGCCATCGCCTGGAATCCCATGGAAGCATTCAACTTCGCGGTTGCCAACGAAGATCACAATGCCTACATATTCGACATGAGGAAGATGGATCGTGCATTGAACGTACTCAAGGACCATGTTGCGGCGGTCATGGATGTTGAATTCAGCCCGACGGGTGAGGAGTTAGTGACGGCTTCGTACGACAGGACAATCCGCTTGTGGAACAGAGCGCAAGGTCACTCTCGTGATATTTACCACACCACTAGAATGCAACGGTATGTAATTTAACCCCAACTGATATGAATGATGTTGCTAACAGTGATACAGTGTTTTCTCCGCCAAGTTCACGCCCGACAACAAATACATCTTGTCCGGGTCGGACGACGGTAACATTCGACTCTGGCGTGCCAATGCCTCCGATCGTAGCGGAATCAAGAGCGCCCGTCAACGGGCCAAGCTGGAGTACGATCAGGCTTTGGTTCAGAGGTACTCGCACATGCCTCAGATCAGAAGAATCAAGCGCCAGCGCCACGTGCCCAAGCCGATCAAGAAGGCCGGCGAGATCAAGAGAGAGGAACTCTCGGCCATCAAGAGACGTCAAGAGAATATTCGGAAGCACACCAAGAAGGACCAGCTGAAGCCAAGACAGAGCGAGCGTCAGAAGATGATCTTGACCTCGGAACAGTAAGCACGTCACTTTCTCTGGAGAAGGGGATATACCACATCCATTCATATGTGGGATTGGCTTGGAGGACAACTTATATACATCATGCGGTCTGGTATTTGCATGGACGTCTGCATCTAGCACGTTTGCTCGTTACCTCATTCCACGTTCGCAGCTTTCGGCTCATCGTACGATTCTAGACTCGACGTTTGCGCTACGGCATGATCTATTCCGCTTAAAGACCGGGCAATGCGCTGCAGGCCTGCAGGCAGCACCGAGTACCAGTTAACCAGCGTGGCGTACGCCGGCAGGCGGATGACACCTCCCCTTCCTTCCTCTATCGCAGAAACAATTTTCTGGGCGACACGGACCGGTTCGAGAACCGGGGCGATGAACTTGTTTGGTGTTCTGATCGATGCGAATAGTGGTGTCGCCACCTGACCGGGCTCAACCAGGATCAATTTCACCTTTTCATCATCTCCCGATGCGCGAAGCTCCGCCTCCAATGTCCGATGGAGCGCACTTAGGCCGGCCTTACTCGTCGAATAATCTGCCAAACCGGCTGGACATAATTGGCCCAAGACCGAACTAACATTCACGATCGTGCCACCATTCGGAGCAGACAGCATCCGAGGGAGGAACACCTGGCAGGTATGAAACACAGCAAACAAGTTGGTCTGGATGGTTTTCTGGAACGCCTCGGCGGAGAGCGACAAAATCGGTTGACCGTTGATGCGCGCCGCAGCACAGTTTATGAGAACTGTGGGGGTGCCTAACTGTTTGGATATTAGCATCTTGTAAATAGAAAGAATACAACCAAAAAAAAAAAATTTTTTGATAAGCATATCAACCTCTAGAGAATAAGCAAGTAAAAAGAAAAAAGAGACACAAACCTGTTCCTCAATCCTCCCCAGCACAGATTCCAGCTCCTCCCTCTTCCCAACATCGCAACTATAATACTCCATCCCCTCGCATAGCTCCACCCCCTTCTCATCCTTCAAGTCCAACACAGCAACACCAACCCCCCGCATCGCATAGATCCTCGCAATCAACAACCCCAACCCACTCGCACCCCCCGTAATAACAACCACCTCATCACTTAACTCTACCGTCCTCGGTAACCCATCTGCAATCCGCATATTAACCACCTTCGCGACCGCGATCAGCGTGAGAAAGATCGCATACCCCGTCGCGAGGATGAACGCCGGATCCGTGATCGGCGTGACCTGGGCTCGAAGACTGAGGACAAGGATCCAGGCTGGCCAGGGGTGTAGGATTGTGCGACGCAGGACGCTGAGGACGAGATCAAGGGTTACTGCGGAGTACCATTTGGGGGATTGGATTGGGTTGAGCGGGGAGGGGGTGGTGAGGATGCGTTTGGGTTGCGGGGATTGGGGATTTGGTGGCATTTTGATATATTAGGACCGAAGTGCTAGTTCATTGAAGGCTGATCAGCATTGTTAAGGCCGTTATGGGTGCTGGAGAAGAGAAGGTGTTCGTTTTGCATCAGTTGATAATTAACTGCGATAAATTATTTTGGGTGCGCGCTAAGACTGTTTGGGGATTTTCAGGTACTGGTGCTATTTTGTCGTAGTTCAGCAATTCCTGGGCGCTAGGAGATATAAGAGAGTCGAGGAGCTTGTTTTGCTGCCTTGGGAGATATCTTTTTAGTTTAGTTGGTTTGGTTCTTCACATTGGGTCTTATGTTCTCTGTATACAGACCGGATAGCGCAATATATATAAAACCTCGGGATCTAATCTAGTGTAGAGGAGTTAATATTACTCCCAAGTTCAACAAGTGCTTATGGGAACCGTCCATCCTATTCAAGTTCGAAATAGCACTTGTTTTTTTCAGGTACTCGAATTGAACTAATTGTACGCAGGAGTTCACTGTCTTTCTCTTCAACTTATCACTCTATTAAATGCTCGTCCGCCTCTCCTGGTTTAGGGTTATAAAGTCCCAATCGTCCTGCATAGTGACTTATACTCCCTTTTAAAACAGTACAACTGCTATGCAGTAATCACTGCGACTGAAAAGGCTACTTGTCCTACAGAGGTTGTGAAACCCTCTCCTGTCTTCGGTGTAATCGTACTTGTGATTAGGTCTTACTTTCTACATACTTGGGACTTGCGCTCACGGTGGTTCGGCTTATGTCTAAGCCTAAGTCCTTTATTGGCCCTTTCATATACGTATACCATCATTGCCCTAAAAATAGGTATCCTAACAGGCACGACACAATACAGAGGGAAAAGTGGTCACAACCAAGTGAGATCCAACAATAGCTCTTATTGCTGTGATACCTCCAAATCGTGGTACAGGAGTCAAGCAGAGGTTTCTATTTGTGATAGAAATTTTATAATACAGTGTTATGAGATAGTTCAGATCTCGTACTGGAAAGATTGGAGGGCCCATGCAAGCTACTCCAGTTAATGTATTACTTACGAGACTTTCAAGAGAGATCTAGCTGAGGTTCTCAATATGCACTGGAAACTTATTGTCCGACGGAATTATTTAACCTGGAAGACTGCGATGTCTGCTTGAAACGACAAAATATTCTGTCCCACCGCAAGAAACACGGAAGTAGAGTGTATCCCATCGGAGCAATATAGCTGACACAAACTCGTACAAAGAACATCCGCGTCACACAGCATTTTCTATCTGATTCGAGACTAAAGGCACATACAGCAGTAGGCACATGACAAAAGCTGGCGATTCGCGACCTTGTACCTTGCTCTATCTAAGTATCCCCATTTTATGATATACAAATAGATATTAAGGCATGCAGATACATGCGAGAAAGTCCCTGCCTAAGTTGCATTAGAGGTACATGCTTATCTTCCCTCAAATATCTCAACTCCTTCATAGACATCGTGACGACTTCAGATCGGAGAAGTATCCGAACTCTCCCCAAGACAACCCTAACAAACCCCCATGCCTCCCAAAAAGCCCCAGATTCACAGCTCACTCTTACTTTCAGACTCAACCTTGCTCTCCTCCTCCGAATCAGGGCGCCTGCACCCGTCCTCCGATATACAAACCCTTTCACTGAAATCTAACGTCAAACCGCAGTACATCTCCTCATCAAATCCGTGTCGTGGGCCAACTTTCACCCACCCATCCCAACGGGTATCCACCCCCACACGCACACACTGCATATCACGCAAACCGGTCTCTTCAACATGTTTCCTGTAGTCCTCCAGGACCCTGGGGACAGGGTTACCAAATGACATGGACTCGCAACGTAGATGGGAAGCACGGTATTCCCATTTCAGGTCGTCATAAATGCCGCCCATTTTCACGAAATAACAAGCGTCTCGGCTGAGTCTACCCGGGGCCATGGATTGCATGAACGAGGCAAGATCGGAGGTCCAGCTTCCGAAGAAGGCGTTGTAAAGCTGGGGACCCACACTTATAGCTGTGAGAAGGAGGTTGATTTTGAGGCCCATTGTGGTTGGTTGGATAGAGGATAAATAGAGGTGGTCTAGAGGGTTTGGTCACTTTGTAGAGTTTTGCACTCGGGAAATATTTGATAGAAACGTGGAAGATATGATTAAATTATTCTGGTTTGATAATGGAATCGGTGTGCGGCTCTTCCCTTTTAACATACCCTTGATTTCTAGTATTGCTTCGCCTCACAAACTACTAGAGCCTAGTAGATGTGGATTGTCATGGTAGGGCACTGGGCACTCTTTTTATGTGGGCCGACCAGGTAGTATAGGACTCCACTTTCTCCATTAACAAAGCAATTTGTCCCTTCAACGTAGAATTTCGGCCCCTATGTGTACGCCATAGCCTTACACCACACCGTGAGATATTTGATCTCTATTCTATTTGGGCGATCCCCCCCTGTCCTATGTGTAGCTTCACTGCTGTTTGTGGCGAAGCTTATACCCTCTTACCTTGGCGTCGGTGACATTTTCGTGCCTCTGATCTTGTGGAGGTTGCTATATAGTATCTCTAAAGCAAAATGAACGACAATTCTACCAGAGAATTCTATTCTAAGGGCGATTTGTAACCTTGGATGATAACGAGTCCAAAGATAATATTCATAAGGTGACCAGAAAGAGAAAGAGAGAAAATATTAAATAAATTCAAGCTGTGGTGTCTCAAGTGCAACTCTCCTAAAGACCCATCAGTTCTCACTAAGGATGGGACCGGGTCGCGCTATATAAGACTGGCTTTTAGGGCGAACCAGGACTGACAACAAGTGCGATAGAGAAACATCCGGCGGATCCGTCATTTATCATAGATGTTGACATTGTATATCAACTCTAGGTTGGACTGCGTCATTTGCTCTAAATTATCACCTTTATCAGTGCTGGAATGGTGATGACAGATCGAGTTAGAGTTACTACATCATACGCCTATATTATTGTATTTTTTCTTGGCAGTCTTTCTAAATGTCTCAATGCTAAGAGGCTAGGAGAGCCCACCAGACATAATTCGGGAAGATTGATAGCAATATAGTACTGAATGGTCGAGATGGTAGAACTATCTCATGCCGAAGCGCCTCTTCGGACCCTAAAGAATGTCGGTAATAGATATCAGTCGGGCTTGTCTTTTTGATTGATTATCAACACAAAGCGTATAGGAACGACGAGCGATCTTTCTCATGCGGGCAGTCTATGCATTGTTTGCGAGTATTGGGGTTCAGAGCTGGAAGTACAATGTCGGCGCGTCTATTCCTATGCGAACGGCTATGATACTGGTATGTAGATGACACAATCCTGACTCCAATGCTTATGGAGCAGGCTCCTGGAGGGAAATATCAATATTGTTGTAGCTTCCAATGTGGCAGACACGCCCAAAGTCACACCTTCCTTCCAGTTTTGTCTCTTGCTCGATCATTCCAAGTGACCTTTCCGAGTCAATTGACTCTTTCAGTTGTTCATCATGTTCTTTGGAGAACACACAAAGTATTACTAAACTCTCATACATCTGCAATATCTTTAGTATTCATACCTTCTCGATAATCGAGTAGTTCGAGCCACAGCAGTACACAGCACCTCCTGCTCCTCTTCAGGCTAATTCGGTTCACTCCCTCCAAACAAACGACTCCTGTTCTGACGATTTTTGCAGATACGGGCCATTTCTAATGGCTGAAGCATTGATATTGCCCGAACATATTTCGCCAGAGGCTGCTTTTCAGGGATGGCGAAAATATGTACAGCAATATACCACGTGCGACCTGCTATCTGGACGGGACAAGCTCCCAGAGATATCCGACCTGGCTGCGGTCTTTCAGAAGCAGTTCCCAAGGGGCTCCCGTCCCACATACCTCGCCGGAATATGGCGAGAAGATATCAATCCCAGTCTCCTATGGCGTCGTGATAAGCGCCATGTAGCCCAAGAAAGACCGCGCGACGCGATGGTGCCTTCCTGGACTTGGGCCTTCTGGAATGGCCCGATCCTTTTTGAAGCTGAAGACATTTTAGCGGAGTCGAAGATAAAGGTGTGCGATGCATCAACTGAACTGGCGGAGAGGGACTATCCATTCGGCCGAGTCCTATGGGGCCACCTTAAGCTTGAGGGGATGGTGCTTCTATACGCTGCGCTCCTAACGGCCAAGCAAAGGCAGGATACTTTGCCAGCTCCAGAGATTCACCTTGACGATGACGGGTACTTCCCAGAAAATGGCTGTTTACTTCTGGTGAACGATCGAGCAGGATTACTTCTACAGTTCACCGGACCGGCCACTGCTCGCTGGTGTCGTCGATTTGGAATGTGTAAAGGCCCAAAAGATATTGACTTAGATTATTGGGACTTTTACGCGGCGTTGACCCGGATGACTCTCTCAATATCATAGCTCCCGACGAGAAGATAAGGAGGATGGAAAGGATTAGTCGACTTGCCTAGCGACCGGAGACCTCCGATGATATCCCCGGAGAATAAAATGTATAGTTAAGTTAATTTCATTCCTTCCCCGCAGTTTCACTGAAGTGCTTGAAATGTAGTCTACAAAGTAAATCTAGATCAACAACACCTTAACATGCCACCACCACAGCTCTCTCCAGCCATCCAAAGCATCTCTAATGTCCGGTTACACTCCAACAATCCAAAGACCACACCATCAACATACGGCCTCACCTTCTCAGACCAACAGACCCTCCAATCCCTCCTCCCAACTACATCTTCCAATAACTCCCCGCTCGCCCTCCCTGCCCTAACCCACCCTCACATCCACCTCGACAAGGCCTACATCCACAACTCCCCAAGCTACACCAACCACCACCCCAAAACCGGCTCCTTCCAAGAAGCCCTCACCCTCACCACCCAAGCCAAATCTATCTTCACCCTCCCCGACCTCCACGCCCGAGGCGAATGGCTCCTCTCCGAATCCCTCCTGAATGGCGTAACCGCCCTCCGCGCCTTCATCGAAATCGACCACACAGTCCACCACAAATGCCTCCACACTGCACTCACCCTTAAATCCCAATGGCGCACCCACTGCCACATCCAAGTCGTCGCCTTCGCCCAGGATCCGCTCTTCTCAGGCCCCTGGGCCGCTGAAAACCGCCACGAAATCCAATCCGCACTACAACACCACCCGGACAACATAGACGTTATTGGCTCCACGCCATACGTCGAGTCCGATCGCACCGCCGCGGAGCAGAATATCCGGTGGGCGATCACCACCGCCCTAGAGTGGGATAAGCATGTTGATTTTCACCTCGATTATAATCTTGATCCTGGCAAGGGGGCGCTGGTTTGGTTCGTGTTGGACTGTTTACGGGAATATGGGTGGGTGGAGCGGAGTCGGAAGAGGGTGATGTTGGGGCACTGTACGCGGTTTACGCTTTTTGGGCGCGATGAGTGGGACCGCCTCGCCCGTGAGGTTGAGGGTTTGCCTGTTAGTTTTGTCGGATTGCCTTCTAGTGATTTGTACATGGCTGCGCCTGTTGGTTCTTCTTGTTGTTCGGAGGAGGAGAGGGCTGGGGATCGGGATCGGGATCGGGTACGGGGCACGTTGAGGGTTCCCGAGTTGGTGAAGCGGTACGGGCTTGATGTTTGTTTGGGGGTTAACAATGTCGGGAATGCATTTACGCCTTGGGGGTCTGTTGATCCGCTTGCTTTGGCGTGTTTGGGGGTTGGGGTTTATCAGGCGGGGACTGCGCAGGATGCGGAGTTGTTGTATGAGTGTGTTTCTACGAGGGCTAGGGCTGCGATAGGTTTGGAAGGGGATGAGGGGTTATGGGTTAAGGAGGGGAGGGCGGATTTGGTGTTGTTTTTTGACGTGGATGAGACTGGGTGTGGGGTTGTGAGGCCTCGAGGGAGTGTTGCGGAGGTTGTTTGGGATCCTCCGGCGCGGGTGGCCAGGGCGGTGGTTGTTGGTGGGCGCTTGGTGCGTGGGAGGGCTGCTTTGTGGGATGATGAGGCGTTTCGGTTTGTGTAGCGGTTAAGAATGTAGATTCAGAACTGAGTATATCATGATCTTCACAAAGCAGTAAATGCTCGACATCTAGCGTAATATGACATCTAAAATGAAAGAAAATGGCCTCATAGGTAGAAAGATCCAGTAAAATACTCCGTATACATTACTCATAACCATACTCCAAAATCGCTAGTGTAACCAGACCAGCTCCTGCGCAAGGTAGCTCTGTAGACCTGGATGAAAACCGCAAATTTTCAATAATCACAACAATGTACACTCCCTGAGATCCATAATGGAGAGCTAAACGAGATAAGAAGGCCACGAGCCCCAGACAGGCGCAGCCTCATTTGCCTGCGCTCGAGCCTGGGCTGGTCCGTGCAATGCATGGCTGAATGTGCGACACGAGACATCTTCCTGCAGGATATCCAAATCACTGGCATTTTTCGACAGACGGAAGCCATTCCCGGCGCGCGGGTACAGACGATGCTCTTCGATTTCATACTCCGACTCTTCGGACGGATCGTCATGTTGCGTTGGCTGAGCGGAGGAAGGGGTGGGCAAGAATTCAGGAGTAAGACCCGTGTTTCGCAGAGCGACGTCTATGCCACTAGTTAAAGCATGGTTTAGGGAGTTGGCGATCATTGGGGTATTCGTGGATGTTGATGATGGAGTAGGAACCACCTTGGTTGGTTTGAATGAGAATCTTGACTGTAGTGTCTTTAGGTTCTGAGGAAACATGGGTATTGTCGGGTGCTGGTCTGATAGAGTAACCAGTAGCTCAACAAGAGTCGCATGCGATAAGCCCGACAAGAAGCCTCGTCGCTCATCTGCGGAATAACCTTCTCCTCCTACATCCATCTTGGGCATGGTTACCGGAGCATGTAAGGGAGGACCTATCAATGAGTCCGTGAGAGTAGGATTGTTCCTAAAGCCCATTGGCCGAATGATGGTAACCTGCATGGGCTTGCATTCCCGACAGATCCATTCCCTCTCTTTCACCGTGATGACCTGAGGGTCGATAGGTGGATCATGACAGAGCCGATGCCATGGCCCGTTGCACTCATCGCAGAAGACAATGGCGTTGCTCGGCGGACCGTGTCCCCTCTGGCAATGGATACAGGTGATATTCCCGTCCTTCGGCTTGCGATACACCCGCTTACGTTTCCGGGCAGCCGGTGGCTGGCGTTGAGTGTTATCCGATGTTTCCAGCGAGTTACTGCTGTCCTTTGCAACCGCCAGCGGTACGGATGAAGGCATATACAACGAGGGGCGATTGACCTGACGGCCGGATTTAGTCTGCGTTGCCGTCGGCGCCACATCAGATTCTTCTGAGCTCGAGTTACCAGCTCGGACTATATCTTCACCATCGCTATCATTACCACGTCGGCGCCTCCTGCGCTTAGTTCCATCGGTGGTACTTCTTCGTTGGCCAGGGCCAACCGCTGCTCTCTTGCGCAGGGCGGATGGGGGTGAATCTTTAGCCGCCTGGGCTACAGGCGATGGTTGTGATGGTAATGGATTCTGCGGTGGTGTTGGGACTTCTATTGAAGGATGTTCTGCAGGTTTGGGGGTAATATTAACAAGATCTGTGGACCGTCCATGGCTGCCCTGGGGAAATGTAGATGTATATGCATGTGTAGATGTAGACGTAGTAGTAGCTTGTCCGGCCACCACAGGAGTTGTCATATGATTCGAGCACACGAACGGAGCCGTCGGTAGCTCTATGATAGTGGAAGACGTCTTCATTGTGCCTGATGGTTGAGTACGCGGATAGTTCCAACCTGGATGGAGCGATGGTGGGTTCCACGTCATGAATTTAGTTCCATTCCTCTGCTGCTCCCCTTTCCTAAGACCAGTTACCCGAGCCACGAGCTCAGTGGTCGCCGGGGAGAGTTTTGGGATATGTACTTTACTCGAAATTGTGCTCGGGGGCCGGCTAGGTTTCGACGAGGGGAACAGTGAAGACGACTCCGGGACCCGCTTGACGGTGGGAGCCGATGTATGCAGGCCTGAAGTGGTGCTTGAGGTTCCGTGGGTTGGTGGCGCTGTCTCTATAGACGCCGGCGTGGGAGGAACCCCATGTTGCTGTGACATTAGCCCCCCTGCCCTAGCCAGTGGGACCCAGTTACACCGTGAGATTTATGGGGAAAGCATGGGACAATACAAAACATAGATATAGGCTGTCTTGTACAGCGCCGAGAACATTTTGCGACAGACCCAAAAGATTGACACTTATATATGGTCACGTGATGGCACACTCCCGCGCCCTGGAAAGTGAGAATGAGATTCATCCCTTGTGTTTGCTGCAAGTCATTTTGTGATATCAGGTTACTGGCTCTTTCATGCGGGGCATTGTGAACTTTATATATACAAACAGTGCTACCTGTATATAGGCCATTGCAAGTCTAAGCGCTGCAAAATGTTACTAATGCATACTACGGCCCTCCAACCCTTCTAGCCCGTTGTCTCCTTATGACACCACACCGTCTTGCTTCAAACGAGCGATGTCGTCCTTCTTATAATCGAGGATTTCTCCGAGGATCTCATCAGTGTGTTGGCCAAGAGTTGGGGGCGCCGTCCGCACACCAGGAGTGGCATGGGAATATTTAATCGGCGTGTTAACTAGCTTGATGGGACCGCATGCTGGGTGATCGATTTCTGTGACCATCCCGCGCGCTTGGACTACACCGTTTATTTTAGTAACAGCTTTGATGATCTACCATATGGAAGATAACTCACCGTGAGAATGATTGAGGGTCCCTTGAATATCATTAACGGCGGCATATGGCATCCCACTGCCTTCCAAGATTTCTAGCCACTCCTGCGTCGTTTTTTGCTTGACCTTCTCTTCAATCAGGCCATCGATTTCGTGTCGGTTCTTCACACGGTCACTGTTAGTGACAAACCGGGCGTCGGTCTTCCACTCGGGATGTCCTAAGCGGTCGCACAACACACCGAACAGTTTGTCGTTGCCGCCTCCAAAGAGAATATCTCCATCTAGCGTCTGGTAACTCCGGTAAGGAACAATAGAAGCTGAAGGGACGTTAGCACCCACTGCTTTCCACCAAAATCTGATACTCACGATGCGCAGTTCCCCATCTTCCCGTATCTTTCTCCCCGCTAATCAACGCAGAGCTCGCAATGTTCGCCAATGTCGCGACCTGGCAATCACTCAAGCACGCATCAATATGCTGCCCCTTGCCCGTCCTCACGCGAGCAAGCAATGCTGCCATAATCGCATTAGAGGTATACAACCCGGTCGTCAAATCCGTAACCGCTACTCCAACCTTCACTGGATCCCCATCCCTGGCCCCAGTGATATGCATTAAGCCCATCTCCGCCTCTACCATGACATCGTACCCAGCCCGGTTGCTGTACGGCCCCGTCTGCCCGTATCCGGTGATACTCGCGTAGATCAGCTTGGGGTTAATCTTTCGCAGCGTTTCGTAGTCCATGTTATATTTCTTGAGGCTGCCGGGAAGGTAGTTCTCGACGAGCACGTCGCACTCTTTCGCGAGTCGGTGCAGGATCTCTACTCCAGACTTATGTGCGAACGAGAGACCTAACGACCTTTTGTTACGGTTGACCTGTACTCCCATCTCACGTCAACTGTAGCTCGGGCTTGAGAGGTAGGTGATGTATCTTACGCCTAGATAGTATGCGCTCTCACCCGGCCCTTGTCGCGTCTCATCCTGGTATTTGGCGTACGGTGGACCCCAAGCGCGCGTATCGTCACCCCGAGTGGGATGTTCGATTTTAATAATATCTGCTCTGTCCGGACAATACAGTCAACTTTTCCTGCCTTCAATCCGGGCCGAGGTTCAAATGTCAAAAGGTGACATGCATACCCTAGATCTCCCAGAATCTGCGTACAGTATGGCTACACCGTGGACATTAATCAGCACGACGAATCATAATATAATAAAGTAAAACCAAAGTCAGATATACGCACACCAGCCAAAACCCTCGTCATATCGAGCACCCGAACGCCCTTCAAGGGCAACGTATCCTCCGCCGGTGTACTGGAATACAAGCGCCATTGCACGGCCGTGCGGAGAACCGGGCTCGACCAACGGAGAGCTGGCCGACGGGCAATAACTGTCTGGTGCAGCTTCAACGAGACATTCATTGTAGTTCAATTGCGCTGTACATGTAGGGGGAAATAACAGGGGGGAAAAAATCAAATTGGAACAAGGTCGGGGTCATCACACGCATCTATATCTTGAAAGATCGGAGTTCTATTAGCGACATCATTCGGAGACATCGCCGATAGCTTGATTTCATGCAACAAAAGCCGAGGTCAAATAAGCACTCTTTTCCGCCTTTAGCGCCGAGCGGGAATGGCCGCTGAGAGGAACACAGATTTGATTCTATTTTATACTCTATTATCTTATACTAAGGTCTAGATCTTATTTCGTTTTGGTTACGGGGTAGGTACTTAGTAAGAATGAGTCATCTCTTTTTCATAGTTCTTTTAGATAATAGTAGATAGCTTTGCCGGGCCCCGCAGGACACTGACAAGCGTAGGCGGAGCTAAGTGACATTTACTTCGAGCTCTCTTCTATATATCTTCCGCTCTCTTCCGCCTCAACTACCGCACGGAATACACTGACAACCATCACCTTCACCCATGTTCACCGGCCTCGTTGAAACGATCGGGAGTGAGCTCCCACCACCCCCAAATCCGCTATAGTGCGTACTCCCAACTAACAAAACCCCCAGCGGTCTCGTCCCTCGAGCCCCTCGACACCTCCGCAAGCGGGGGCGGGGGCACCTCCCTGACCATCACCGACTGCGCCGAGATCCTGACAGACGCACACCTGGGCGACAGCATCAGTGTAAACGGTACACAATATCCCCCGTATCCCAGCGATCCAAACCAAAATGCCGCATGCACACAACCCCCACCAACCCAAGCCCCGCTGACGCAAACAAATCGTTGAAAAACAGGAACCTGCCTAACAGTAACCGCCTTCGACAATACTTGGTTCAAGGTCGGTGTCGCGCCCGAAACACTCCGTCGCACGAACCTGGGCTCCCTAACTACCAATTCGCGCGTGAACCTCGAGCGCGCGGTCCTCAGTGAAACTCGTATGGGCGGGCATTTCGTCCAGGGCCATGTCGACACCATTGCTACTATTTTGTCGGTGACGCCCGATAGTAATGCCTTGGTGTTGCGGTTGCGGCCGAGGGATGCGGGCGTGTTGAGGTATATCGTTGAGAAGGGATATGTTACGCTTGATGGGGCCAGTTTGACGGTTACGAAGGTTGTGGATGGGGAGGAGGGGTACTTTGAGATTATGCTTATTGCGTATACGCAAGAGAAGATTGTGACTGCTTCGAAGAAGGAGGGCGAGGATGTAAATGTTGAGATTGATATTGTTGGGAAGTATGTTGAGAAGAGTGTGCAGAGTTATTTTGCGGGGGCTGTTGGTGGAGGGGATTTTGGGATTTTGGAGAAGATGGTTTCAAGGATTGTAGATGAGAAGTTGAAGAAGTGAGATTGGGGATTATTGATGAACTTACGATTGTGAAGAATGCGCAGATTGAACAGCCAGTTTGCTAGTATATTGCCAGGAAACACCAAACACTTTTATTGCATGCCATCAAAGGGTATAATCTGGTCACCTGAATGAAATACTACTTGCGACACCCCCCATAAAATCCCCAGAATCCCGACAAGGCACCCGAAGCCTTAGTAACTATACTTGCGCAGATATTCGGCTCAAGGCTATCGTCGTTAACCCAACAGAGTGGATATGGTTGCTGGCTTCGCTAACAGCTCCGCGTTATATGAACGACGCTGACAACGGCCAAGGCAGATCTGGGACACTTGTGTACTTTCTCGTGCTCGTTGGACAGGACTTGGTGCGAGATGCCGTTTTTCGCGAACAATTAAGGGAGCAAAAGTGATGAGTCCTCTATTCCTCCATGGATTCGTCGTCCTCCCCTTCTAGCTCCGCACCTTCGTCTTCATCAAAATCATCACTGAGCCAGTCATCCTCGTCATCATCCACATCCATTTCCTCGTCTTCGTCATCCTCAACTTGTTTGCCTTCAGCCCGGGCCTTCGCTTTCTCGGCCTTCTTCTTCTCAATATTTTCCTTCTGCAGCCTCTTCCGCTCTGCTTTCTCCTTGTTCTTCTTCTCCCAGTTCTTGTCTAGCTTCTTCCTATCTGCTTCGGACTTATGGATGTAGTCATGCCACATGACCTTGCCTTCGCACAACCCTTCCTCAACCTTAACCAGCCGGAGCTTCAGGCGGGGGCCCAGCTCGACCAGCTTAACCGCGCGCTTCTCCACTTCCGGCGTAGCGTTCAACTTCTTCTGAGCCTTTTCCTTCTCTCCAGCCTTCATGCGCTGTAATTCCCTCTTGTTCAAGACCCTCTTTGTCGTGTTCTCTGCGATCTCAACCTCATTATCTGTGTCTAATTCGGTTTCACTAGCAGATGTATAACCCGCGGCGGATGGATCCAACAGGTAATCCGCAGCATCTTCCAACTTTCCTAGATTAGGAACAGCAACACCTCTCTTTTCCCTATTGCGAACTTCCTTAGGATCCAGGCGGCGAATGCGCTTGGAGATACCCGTTTTCCTGGTCGTAATAGCGTAGTGTCGCAGATTTAAGATGTAAGAATCATCTTCTTTGCTATCGGAGTTAAGTTCCCGGTTCAAGAGCATCACACGGCGGATAGATGAGAGAGGAGTAGCTTGCGGGTTGATTGGGGGGAAGAGTGATTGGAAGATAGTGGTCGTGAGAGTCTCGAGTCGCTTCGGCACTTTAGAGTCCTCGGTGGCGTTCGGGGAATTGAAGTTATTCATCACCAGCAAGGGTGGTGTCTTGTGGTCCTGGCCGCCGCCTCTCGGACGCTTCAACGCCTTCTCTACGTCTCGGCACAAAGAGTAATTCTCGACTTTGAAGTGAAGTGTCGGACCGCGTGGGGTGAGCGCCATACGCATGTTTGTGTTACCTGTAGCGGACTTCGAGAAAAGCATAAGATGCGTGACACCAAGAGGTCCCGTCATGACGGTGTAATCTCTCAGTCTGTTTGATTTACGTTCCTATATCATGTTCCCGTTAGCTTCTCTATGGTAGGCGCATTGATTTCGGACAGCTTACCTTCAATCGCACAGCTGTGTCTGGCTCCATCATCAAACGAACATCCTTGACCAATTGACTGACACTAGAACCGACTTGAGAACCACCGACACGGATAACCATCGACTTCGGAGTTTTGCTCGTGTGCGAGGCGCTGCTGCCTTTAGCGGCGGCGGCAGAAGCATTTTGGGCGCGAAGGTGAGTGCGCTTCTTCGTACGTGCCTTCGCCATGATGAGTCTGGAAAGGAAAGAAAATTATGATAGGGGAGTGGTTCAAAGGAAATGTTATCCAATGTCTACCAAAGAGACGGACTTTTTTTTTCCTTGGCCGAAAAAGTAGATCGGCGGAAACAAGGCCGCGGAGTGAATCCGGACCATCTATTCACCCGGGACCCACACTGATTTTTTGATATCGAACTATCAAATAAAAAAAAGATTCCATTCAATCAAATCAGTCCACCAAGTGAAAATCTTTTTTGGTGACAGACATTGATTCAAAATGCCCGCGGTTAAGAAGCGCAAGGTTGCCCGTGAGGCGCCGCCATCGAAGGTCGAAGATCAGAGCGACTCCCACAGCTCTGCCTCTGAAGATGAAGCCTCCAATCAAGAGGCTCCCAACACGGCCGAGCAAGAGATTTCCGAAGAGGTCAAGCAGGCTCCCAAGTCATTTAAAGAACTAGGGCTTATTGAACAATTATCCGATGCTTGCGATGCGATGGGATACAAAGCTCCCACCGCAATCCAAGCGGAGGCTATTCCTCTCGCTCTCCAAGGCCGCGATTTGATCGGTCTGGCTGGTATGGCATGCAGATTGCCTCATATTCTTACATTTTACTTACAATTTCTGTAGAGACTGGTAGCGGTAAGACCGCAGCCTTTGCACTGCCCATCCTCCAAGCCCTGATGGAGAAACCGTCGAGCTTTTTCGGTCTCGTCCTGGCGCCTACTCGTGAACTGGCATATCAGATCTCCCAAGCCTTTGAAGGTCTCGGTTCCACAATCTCCGTTAGGTGCGTTACCATAGTCGGTGGAATGGACATGGTATCCCAATCAATCGCACTAGGAAAGAAGGTAAACCCAGCACATCCTGACCCCAGTTAGGATCAAAACGAAGTCTAACAAATCAGCCACACATCATTGTCGCAACTCCTGGACGTCTGTTGGACCACCTGGAAAACACTAAAGGCTTCTCCCTCCGCAATCTCAAATACCTCGTCATGGACGAAGCCGATCGTCTCCTTGACATGGACTTCGGGCCCCTCCTCGACAAGATCCTGAAAGTCCTCCCCCGCGAGCGCCACACCTACCTTTTCTCCGCAACCATGAGCTCAAAGGTCGAGTCCCTCCAACGCGCCTCTCTCCAAAACCCTCTCCGCGTCTCCGTCTCCTCAAGCAAATACCAAACCGTCTCCACCCTCCAACAATCCTACATCTTCATCCCCTACAAACACAAGGACCTGTACCTGGTCTACCTGCTCAACGAATTCGCCGGCCAATCGTGCATCATCTTCTGTCGCACCGTGCACGAGACCCAGCGTCTCAGCTTCTTCCTGCGAACACTCGGATTCGGCGCTATCCCGCTCCATGGACAACTTTCGCAGTCTTCTCGTTTGGGCGCTCTTGGCAAGTTCCGTTCGCGGAGTAGAGATATTCTTGTGGCGACAGATGTTGCTGCACGTGGTCTTGATATTCCCTCTGTTGATGTGGTGTTGAATTTTGATTTGCCGGGTGATTCGTAAGTTCTTATTCCCGTCCTGCTTTTCTTTATCTTTAACCTAGGAGACCCTGGGTTATGATGGGATTTTCACTGCTAGAAGCTAATTTTTACTAGGAAAACCTTCATTCACAGAATCGGCCGTACAGCCCGTGCCGGTAAGGCAGGTGTCGCTATTAGCTTTACTACACAGTACGACATTGAAGCATGGCTTAGGATCGAGGGAGCCCTGGGAAAGAAGCTCCCTGAGTACTCTGCTGAGAAAGACGAGGTCATGGTGCTCGCGGCGCGTGTCAGCGAAGCGCAACGGCAGGCGATCATGGAGATGAAGAATTACGACGAGAAGAGAGGCAGTAGGGGCAAAAAGTTTGCCAAAGGAAAGCGGGGTCGCGAAGATATGGATCAGGAAGAGGGCTAGTGGAGACAATATTAGAGTGTAGTTATTTCTTATTGCTGACGAATACCCAAACGAAGTTCTTTATCCTCGAGACTGAGTTTGATGTAAGCATTTACATATTTTTAGTGACCGTAGACCGGTGTTAATGTTAACTACTAGACCCTCGTAGATATAGTCAGTTTTTCATGCTAGAAGGAATGGCTAAATCGAGTAATATTTGCTTTGCAATGATATCAAAAGAAAACTCATCAGGTCGTTCATAATAGTTCCCATTACCTCTATTTTGCGACGACATTGTGAAGACTGGGGCAACGTCGTTTATCCCTGCAATTGTGATTCGTGACAGTAATGACCCGAAGTTCCATGGATACATATGTAAGGTAGGATAGCCTCCGATCATACATGCCAAGAAAATACCAAAATGTCGCCAGGGCACTAAATAATCAATAGCTTAAGATTGCAGGATCTCCTTAGCAGCGCCGGCATCACGAACAGCATTGGCAACACGAGTTGCGAGATCGTCGGCTTCAGAGCGGCTGGCAGCCTCAGCATAGACACGTACCGCATCTTCGGTACCGCTTGCGCGCGCAAAGCTTCTTCCCTTGTTGTAGCGAGACTGCAGCGACTCGATCTTGAGCTGGAGGCCAGCAGGTGACTCGAGCTTACGCTCAGCATCGTAGGCCTTGAAGATCCCACGGTCAGCGACCTCCACACGGACGAGGCGGGAGGGAAGATCTGTGTAAGTGCTAAGCCACTCCTTAGGGGTCCAGCCCTTGTGGGCAAGGATTACCTCAACGAGAAGCATGTCAGAGAGGGCATCGCCAACGGCTTGGTTGATCAGATCGGTGAGGCCCTGGAGGCACTCGAGAGCACGTTGCTGAGCTGGAGACTGAGGTTCAGTGCTCTTGATTATCTTGAGAGCATTTTCGGAGAAAGTGATGGTACCGTGGCCGTTAGCCTCGAAGTAGACACCAACATCATAACGCAATGCGGCGTGATGAAGGTGCTTCACGCCAGTGTTGGTGCAGACAGAGGGAAGCTTGAGCACTTTCTCGATGTAATCCGTACTGGCCCCGTTGGCATACGCGGTCTGAATGATACCAATCTTAAGCTTCTGTGCGATGCCGGCATTTTTAGTAAGGTCACCAAGGAAGGAAGCAGCAAGAGTGGCGATGCGGTCGCCATCAAGCAGACGGAAAACGTTGCTCTCATCGACGAAATAGTAGACGAGACGGTCAGCATCTCCATCCAAGGAGGCACAACGGTCAAGGATAGCCGCCTTAGACGAAGGAGGAGCGCGCTGCTTGGTCTTGACATAATCGGCACCGCACTAACAAAGGGATTTAGCATAGATGCTATTGATTAGACCAATAGAGAGAGTACATACCTCAAAGTTCAAGCTGTCCGGATTGATCACATCATCGTTGACAACCTTGATATCAATGCCACCCTCCTCAGGGCTAGGGAAATACTTGAGGAGTTCCCTCAGCTTAGGCCCACCGACACCGTTTGCGCAATCGACGGTCAAGGAGCCCTTAACCTTAAGACCCCTCATGACTCGCTTGAAAGCCTCGGCAAGCTTTTCATAATATCCTTGTTCTGTGGGCTCTCCGTACTCGTACTGTGTTCCCAGCGTGTTCTTGCAGCGAACAACATAGTGGAGCTGGGGGGTGGTCATGAATTTCTGATCGAGGAACTCGACCTCAGTAGCGGTGAGCGCAGCATTGAGAACGCCGGCAAGGCGAGAACCAGAGGCACGAGTATCCCGAGCAAAGACAACGCGGGCCGGGTTTTCCATGCTGATATCGATCTCTTGGATGAGCTCTTCGTACACATCTGCGATCTTGTCTAGAGGAGCGTTGGCGAGTTTTGTGGCATAGGTTTCCCATTCCGCCTATTCAAAAGGTAAGCTAATCAACAGACATATCAACCCGACTGTGGGCGCGCTCTATCGAATCTTACCTCGAGCATTTCGCCCTAATTAAGTATGTCAGTCAGCACTACTTCATATGGGGTTATATGTCGTGCCGTAACTCACCATGGGGTCAACCAACTTGACACCGTTGTCCTCTGCGGGGTTGTGACTGGCAGTAATCATGACACCAATCCATTGTCCACTGAGCTTCTTGGAACGAAGACCAGCGAGTAAACCCACAGCAAAGACGACTGTGTTGAGGACGTCACTGATCAAGGTGTAAACAAATGGCGATCGCGGGGTATGTGGAGGCGGGGCTGATCCTTCCAAGTGCCTGGAAAACAAAAATGACTATGGGAAACTTACGCCTTCATACGGAACTGAAAGGCAAGAGGATTTTGGTCAGTCTTGATTGCAAAAGTGAAACAACGTTTGAGCAACTCACCCCCGCAGTGCCATACTGGAAGACCTTTCCCTCCGGCTTGACATACTGAGCTGCGGCCTCAGTGATAGCTTTCTTGATAGCGGGGGACGCCATTGTGGCGCGATTTTGGGTGGAGAGAGTGGTGGGAGTAGATTGTTACTTGACAGGAGTCAATTGACAAGTGATGCCAGAGATGAAGAGGAGGAGGAGCAGAAGGGAGAAATATAAAAAGCTGGGGGGTAAAAAAAGGGAAAAAAAAGCAGCACAGCCCGTGACACGAGATGTGAGACAACACGCTTTGGGTCTTGCTTTACTGCCTGCCCGCCGAGCGGTGAGTGGGACCCCGTGCGGTACCTTTTTTTAATTAATTAATGGGTGGACACCTAACCAAAGAATGGAAATGAAGAACCAGAGCATAGAAAAATATAAATAGTTAAAATACATTATGTTTTATACTTCGAATACATGGATTCTCTGCGCAGTTTTGGCATGTTCCCTGCATCTTATACTCCATAGATCGTCGGTCACCTGGACCTACTATACAGCAACTGACTTTCCTATACCAGGGTCAGAAGCAGAGCACCCTCAGCTGAGAATCCTGCTTTTTTTAACATGACTTCGATCAGCTTGCTCTAGGCTTTGAATCTCTTCCCACGCACATCGTCTTCGATGTCTTTTTCAAGGAACCTATCGGGCGCAGTCACGTTAGCCTTGCGGTAAGCCGAGGGTCCAGAGAGGCGCAGACTTACATATACCACAGTGCAGTGGGGACAACCGTTCCCAGATGCCAGAGGCTATGAGCATCGATAAGCGCATGCCACGGAGGAAAGTCCAGCAACTCAAGGCTCATGGCTAACATGATCCAAACCACACATATAGCCGGCAAGAGCGTCCATGTTTTGCCGGTGCTCCGGTATCTGAAAATGCTGAATGCCACCCACAACAAGTTCTGAGTCATTCCGACTACGATGTTCGCGATCATATTGTAGGTATAATCCCAGGACCAGAAGCTAAGATAGGACACATGCAAGGTGTACAGGAAGATACAGACCGCAGTCCAGAGACGTCGCAATGTCGGCTTAGTTCGTGGCTCTTCCTTGTCCAAACGGAATATCCTAATGATCGCCAGGTACAAGCCGTACATGACATTTGCGCCCGCGCCAAAATAATCCAGCTTCTCCGTCAGAGGGAAATCCCTGGCATGGAAAAGACTGCTGAACGTCCAGCATGCGAGGCCGCAGTATCCGAAGGCAAGATAGTAAGCCCGTAGAGTCGTATGCCACGTCGACATGGTCTCACGAACCCGGGATAAGCCCTGCCAGTGGGCGAAAAAGTTGAGAAGGGAGAAGAGGACCGAGAAAGGCTCCTGCATGCCCATAATCCTGCGAAATGGCCATTTCCCATGGAATTGAACTACTGGATTGAGCATCGGGGGGTCACGAGCGACCCGACGATCTGTCACAACATGTTGGCAAGTATAATCGCATTCGGCAGGACAGGTCCACCACATAAGGCGGTGATGGAGCGCTAGGAAAGAATAAGTTAACCAGGGGAAAAGATACGCCAGCCACATGTGCGAATTTAAAACGTACGGATTGCAGAACTTCCATCTTGACAGTTCTCAGCTTGACAGACCTGTCCGCGGATTAGCCGGCCAACCCGAAGCTCTCCAAGGCTCTGTATACCTTAACACATTCTTTGAAATCGGGGAGATGGTCACCCAAGGAGGCATTCGACTTCCCAATAAAAGTAGCGAAAATAAGGAAGGATGTGCAGAGGAAAACTTTCCTCCTGGCTGAGTTCCAATACATTGTTGCTCTGGCCCGGTGTACCTGAAATTACCACCAAAGACCATGTGCTAACTTCCAGGAGAGAGCAAGCGCGCGCGTACCGGTAGTGGAAGGCGGAGTTGAGCAACGGCGATCTTGGCAGTAGAGAGGAAATGAGACAGCATAGCATGTATAGATGATGCTGCGCGCGGCGGTTATAAGGTTGTCTCAGTGGCGCAATTGGTTAGCGCGTCTGACTGTTAATCAGGAGGTTGAAAGTTCGAGCCTTTCCTGGGACGATATTTTAATTTTTTCTTCCTGGAAGAAATCATAGGTCAAATGAATGACCACCCTGAAGATAAGGGCGAATCTGGAGGTTAACCCTAATCTACATATCTTGTAAGCTTTTCGAGCTTCACGTGATATCCCTCGACATAGGATAGCGTGATCCCCCGGGGAGCTAGTCTGCATTGGAGATTAGCGTTTGCTTGGTAGTTCCGGGTCGGAGGAGATTTTTCAATGGGAGGTCGGATTAAAGAAAAAAAAAAGTGAAGGGATCTGAGGCGCTTAATTTCTCTCCCTTCCCAAGCTAGTTCCTTTCTTCTTATCTTTTTATCTACAGATTTTTTTTTAGATCTTTCTCTTGTTATTTTCTTCCTTTCTCATCTTTCTCCCATTTACTAGAAAGACTCGACATTATTTTTTGAATATGGAGGGAACAGATCAGGCTGGTATCATAACCAGCAGTGCAGACCGCATGGTGGGCATGGATCATGCTGAAGTGCGTTATTTCACAAGGTACGCGCTGAGATTCGCTCTTCCATTTTATCGATTTGGCTAACAGAAGTGATAGTTACGATCATCACGGTAAATACAATCAATAACCTGGTTGATATACACTGGCTAATCCTGAACCCCACTTAGGCATTCATGAGGAGATGCTTGTAAGTACCACGCTATCTGCCAGCCCCATGTTATCAACTAGCTAACACCGGTGTGCTCGACCACAGAAAGATGATGTCCGGACTAGATCATACCGCGACGCTATCTACCAAAACCGCCATATCTTCAAGGACAAGGTTGTTCTCGATGTCGGATGTGGAACCGGTATCCTAAGCATGTATGTGGCCAGCTTTAGAGAGTAATCCCGTCCTATACTCTGACAGCATGGTTCTACAGGTTCGCTGCTAAGGCTGGTGCCAAGCATGTTATTGGCGTGGACATGTCCTCAATCATCGAGAAGGCCAAGCAAATTGTCGCTTGCAACGGCCTGTCGGAGAAGATCACTCTTCTCCAAGGAAAGATGGAGGAGGTTGTTCTTCCTTTCCCTAAGGTTGATATCATCATCTCCGAGTGGATGGGTTACTTCCTCCTTTACGAGAGCATGCTGGACACAGTTCTCTATGCTCGCGACCGGTACCTTGTTCCCGGTGGCAAGATCTTCCCCGACAAGGCTACTATGTACTTGGCTGCCATTGAAGATGGCGAGTACAAGGACGACAAGATTGGATGTAAGTGCCTTTGTGTTGTCTAAGGATCATAATTCTCGCCCGAAATACTGATGGTCCACAGTCTGGGATAATGTGTATGGTTTTGACTACACCCCCATGAAGGAGATTGCCCTGACCGAGCCTCTCGTGGATACCGTTGAGCTGAAGGCGCTCGTCACCGACCCTTGCCCCATCATTACCCTTGATCTCTACACCGTCACCCCGGCCGATCTCGCTTTCAAGGTTCCCTTTTCTCTCCCTGCCAAACGCAGCGACTTCATCCACGCTGTGATTGCTTGGTTCGACATCGAGTTCGGTGCCTGCCACAAGCCAATCACCTTCTCTACTGGTCCTCACGCCAAGTACACACACTGGAAGCAAACTGTCTTCTACTTGCGCGATGTCCTGACTGTCGAGGAGGATGAGGTAGTTTCTGGAGTGCTGGAGAACAAGCCCAATGATAAGAACAAGCGTGACCTCGACATCTCCATCTCCTACAAGTTTGAAACCTCGGATAATCTCCGCTACTCCGAGGGTAGCTGTTTCTACAAGATGTAAGTGCCGCCGCTACCTCGCTAGCTGGCGACTATGCGCTGACTGTGATAGGTGCTAAATGGACTTGGATTACGGCACATACGGTTATCCCAATGCTCTCTTCTGAGTCAACAATGTTATGTCGGTAAAATGCATTTCGATTGTGGGCAGCATAGCATCGATGGAAGTTCAATTGTCTAGATATTTGGGTCGTTGAATGGTCTGATTCAGCTCTTTTTCTCTTTTCTTATTCATCCGGCGTTGTGTTTTTGGAAGGCAGGGGAACGGCATTATTGTTCGGCGCGATACGGAGAGATGTTTTCCACCAGAGACGATTATGAAGCTCCTCGAATTACCCCCAAGTAGATACCCCGAGTCGATGCTCAGTCCTAATTTCTCCGACGTTCTCCTAGTTGAGTTTATCTATCTTCAAATAATCATGTTGTGCATAGAGGCATTCGATTTTCATCGGAGAATACCTTTCTTCCCAACTGCTAAAAGGCTTCTTTCGATTTACTTCTGACCGAGTTAGCCGACTTGCCGGGTCGGATCTGTAATCAAAGACCCAATCAATCTTGCCTCGGCTTTTCCCCGCACCCACCCTAGCTTAGTAGGTTTAAGTATATATCTCCGTCGTCCCTATTCTCATATCACCTTTTACTTTGTAGAGGAGTATCTACTAATTAATTCAAACAAATTAAGCGTTCCTAATGTCGGCCCCCGGTGTTGGTTTTGAATATCCTCCCCAGGAGGTCTCCTGGCTCAAGCGTGATGTTTTACTGTTTGCCAACAGCATTGGTGCCAAGAACGACGAGCTTCACTTCCTCTATGTGGGCTATTCTTTACCACCGTTATCCTATCTTGTACTTTGCTGATTATTGGGTTCAGGAGCTGCATCCAAACTTCGCCGTTTTCCCGACTTACTCTGTGGTCCTCCGTATGGGTGTTCGGCCCTTGATGTTGTATAACGCGCTAACGGTGACGGTTTTGTCTAGCATTCAAGCACACCGATCAGGAAACAATTGATTTCTATGCCCGCTCTCAAGCGATACCCATTCCCGGTGTTCCAAAATTCGACTCCCGTCGTGCCGTAGATGGCCAGCGCAAGCTCACTGTTTTGAAGCCTTTACCGCCCACAAGTGCGGGTAAGAAGTTCGAGTTGCGCAATAAGGTCATTGGAATCTACGATAAAGGTAAAGCTGGCACGGTTATTGAGTCAGAGCAGTCTATCGTAGATAAAGAGAGCGGCGAAGTATACACAAAGACCGTGAGCAGCGGTTTCATGGTCGGGCAGGGCAACTGGGGTGGACCGAAGGGTACGCATCTATTGTATATTGCTGCATTGTCGCCCTGCTAATAACACCTTGATAGGACCGAGCACCGTCAATTATCCTCCTCCTCAAGGCAAGAAGCCAGATGCAGTCCACGTGGTTCAGACGACCGCAGAAACTCCTTTACTCTACCGGTGAGGCATTTCCCCCTACGTGGCAGCCTATCAATTGCACATGGTGTACTAATGCTCCATTCCTCGCTAGTCTAAATGGGGACTATAATCCTCTTCATGCTACCCCCGAGCCCGGTCAGAAGATGGGATTTGGGGGTGTCATTATCCACGGCCTCTTTAGCTGGAACACTGCTGCTCACGGCATTTTGAGAGAACTTGGGGGTAGCGATCCAAAGAACCTGAAAGAATTCCAGGCACGCTTTGCTTCGCCAGTACTGCCAGGTGATAAACTCACCACTGAGATTTGGAGGACAGGAAACATCGAAGACGGATTCGAGGAAGTCCGATTCTTAACTTCAAATAACAGAGGCAAGGTTGTGCTAAGCAACGGCCGTTGTCTGCTGAAGGTTACCGGTCCGACGAGCAAGCTGTGATAGGTTGAGCTTTTAGGCGTTGTGCTTTGACTGGTGTTTTCTTAGTTTATGTTATGATAGTTTCGATGCACTTCTGCTGGCCTTGCATGTTATCCATATCCTACCTCGGTAATATTTGAAGCTTAACCATCCAGGCCAACGAAGGATATTTGAATTAAAACTTGCCAGAGGGCATCCTTCCCGCCTCAATTACCCTTGAGTAAACTGAATTAGTCAAATAAAATTGCAGCCTAATGCAGTAATGGGTACTGTTATCGGGCTTATATATGGTAGTGACCAGGCACGTGACAGGCGATAACTATAATTGCGGAGAAACTGGGGTTGGCTGATCGAGGCAAATTCGACACCTCTTTGTAAGCCCCGTTGATTGAACATAGTGTTAAAAATGAATAGACTCCCTGCATTTAGACCATCTGCACTTACCAGGTAATAACATACTCCAACATACAGGATTGTTTGGTCATCCAAAATACTAATTTATCGCCCAGTGCATATCCGCCTTGCATTCCCAAGCTTACCCGACTTGTGAGTTATGCAACCTTTATAGGAAAAAGGATAACAGAAATAATCCATGCATTTTGGCACAATCTGATTTTTCCTAGGCCGCAACCAGGAACCTCTCAAACGGACTCCGACCTTCACTCCCTGTCGTGTCTCCCACGGTGGCAAGGGCGCAGTCATCGCAGCCAGAGTCATGGAAATTTACACCTCGACAATTGAATTACCCATTCGATTCTGCAGGATATTCAAATGAAACAGTTGCATTGAAGGTCTCATCTACGGACTCTGCTGATTTGTAAGCTAATGCCTGTTAAAGGTGAGATCGCCACCTGCTAATGTCTCGTTTCAGTGCACCATTTTGGCTTCGGTATGTACCAGCATGTTCAGAGACTAGCCCAAAATGCTTACCCATCTCTTTCCGACACCAGAGACAATTGCCAGTGCTCCAAGTGTATTCATCCAGACACGCGACAACGCAGCGTAAACACTTTCTCCGTATGTAACTCGTCCGTTGCCCTGAGAGATCAATGGGGTTTAACAGTTCATCTTACTCATCGTTTAGATACCTACAAACGTGACCGCCAAGCATGTTGAGTACGATGGAGAAGTCGCTAAAGTACAATGTATGGTCTCACCATATCTTATTCTTGGGTATCAAGTCTAATCCCATATAAGGGTCTGATGGCCATGACGGTATCTATCCATGGGCTTGGCTAAGGGCTCATACGATGATAAGACATTCCGCCCAAAAGCAATTGCCAGTCAAATCGTTTAGGTGAGCATACCATGTATGTAATAAAACTACTTTGTACTGACCCTCTTACCTAGACATTTTTTGCCCTACAATCCTGGGAAATCAGCTTACCCGACGGTCTTGTATGATAAGGTGATGTCTAGTGACGAAGGTGTGCTTGATTGGCTCCAAAACATTGTGAGTTCTGCCCATTACTTTCGTCCCTGACCCCTATCTAATAGGTATGAAGTATCTGTTTGGTTTTTCCTTCGTCAAGGGTGTTCCCATTGACCCGGAGTCAACTAAGACCCTGTTGGAGAGAATCGCTTTCATCAGACACACTCACTATGGTAATACCCTGTTATCTGAAATGAACTACACTTCCGAGTTCTCATATTAATTATCTCCAAAGGTGGATTCTGGGATTTCACGGCCGACTTGACATTCAAAGATACCGCCTATACTACCGAGTTCCTTGGTGCCCACACAGATAACACGTACTTCACCGACCCGGCCAGGCTTCAACTATTCCATCTTCTATCGCATACCGACGGTGACGGAGGAGCGAGCCTGCTTGTTGATGGCTTTAAGGCTGCCAGCGTCCTGAAAAAAGAAAACCCAGTTAATTACGCAACCCTAGTAAATACTTTCCAGCCGTACCACGCAAGTGGAAATGATGGCACCTGCATCCAGCCGGCAGAACAAGCCCCTGTGTTCAAGAATCACCCGAGTTTTCGCACCCTGTATCAAATCCGCTGGAACAATTATGATCGGGCAGCCAAAAGAGATTGGAGCACGGAAGAGCAGAACCGATGGTACAACGCAGCCCGGCACTTTGACAATATTATCACTCGCAAAAGCATGCAATTATGGACGCAGCTGGAACCTGGAACCGCACTTAGTAAGTTATTCACTAGGGCAAAGAGTTTATGGGGGAAGCAAAGGACTTGGCTGATCTTGTTAGTTTTCGACAACTGGAGAATGCTTCACGGTCGCTCTGAATTCACTGGGAAGCGGAGGATGTGTGGTGGATACGGTATGTATACCTTTTCTCTTTATACGTTTATGGGGCTTTCTTGCTTTCAGGATCCCTATAGTTTCACCACCCTGCTTTAGAGGACATACTAATCTCGACCAGTAAACAACGACGATTTCATCTCACGCTACCGCCTTCTCAGGTTCGGTAGGGATAAAGTTTTAGACAATCTTGGTAATTATGCAGCGACTGCGTCTAACCCAAACTTCTTCATCTAAGGGGGTCAGCCTCAAGAAGTCCCTAGAAACTTCCTTCTTTCGAGGCATGTGTACATAGAGACGGGTAGTTGTATGTTTCTTGCAGTGAACGCAGTATATATGAAGAAAAGTGTAAATACAAGAGAAACAGCGGAACAAATCTAGACAGCCTTCTAGAGATGAGTACGATTGATTATGATAGTAATGGAGAACCATCCTCAGGCATAAGCTGGTTGGCCGGGCATTTGTCATACATCACGTGATAGGCACCGGGCAGCTGACGTTGTTTGGTCCGGAGCTCAACAGCTCTCACTCTCTTCCCGCAAGATCTATCTCGTAGCGCATCACCGCCGTCTCTCCCTCTCGTTTCCTCCTAGAATTCCTCATCTATCTCCCATCTTCATCTTACATACCTAACCGCCCCTAGTTTTCACCATGTCAACTTTGGAGGATCTCGACGACCTTGACCGGGAAGAGAGAGAGAAGAAGCAAGATGGCGACGGCAACGGCAGAAAGCCCTCCGGAGACGGAGACGCTGATATGAAAGACGCCGAAAAGAAGGACGACGAAGAGGACCTCTTGGATGAGGAGATTCTGAACTCGAGCACAGCGGATATCGTCAAGCGACGACGGATGCTAGAGAACGAACTGCGTATAATGAAGAGTGAATATCAACGGTTGACGCATGAGCAGAGTACGATGAGGGAAAAAGTCAAAGATAATCAAGAGAAGATTGAAAATAACAGGTATGGGGTTTTGAGAAATGCCATGGTTCCCATTCCCTTCTTCCGAATCACTGCGTCGCATATACCCACTGTGGCGAGAGGAGGGGGAGGCTTTGGGTTGTCGCGGCATATGTCTACGTCGGTACATCTCTTATTGACTTGCTTCTTTATAGACAACTACCATATCTTGTCGGAAATGTGGTTGAATTGTTGGATCTAGATGTTGAGGCTGAGGCCGTCGAGGAGGGCGCTAACATTGACCTTGACGCTACCCGAGTCGGCAAGTCTGCTGTCATCAAAACTTCAACCCGTCAAACCATCTATCTCCCTCTCATTGGACTCGTAGATCATGAGAAGCTTAAGCCCGGTGATCTCATCGGTGTGAACAAGGATTCATATCTTGTCCTGGACACGTTACCCGCCGAATATGATAACCGAGTGAAAGCTATGGAGGTCGACGAGAAACCCACGGAGAAGTACACGGATATCGGAGGTCTGGATAAGCAAATTGAAGAAATTGTCGAAGCTATAGTATGGCCGATGAAGGAGGCCGACCGGTTCAAGAAGCTCGGCATTAAAGCGCCGAAAGGTAACCAAGACTCTTATCCGACAACCCACCCGGGAAATATACTAACGCTTATACACTCTAGGTGCTCTAATGTACGGTCCTCCCGGTACCGGAAAGACCCTCCTCGCTCGAGCCTGCGCGGCAGAGACAAACGCAACCTTCCTCAAACTCGCCGGTCCCCAACTGGTGCAGATGTTCATCGGTGACGGTGCTAAGCTCGTCCGTGACTGCTTCGCCCTCGCCAAAGAGAAGGCGCCCTCGATCATCTTCATCGACGAACTCGACGCCGTCGGTACAAAGCGCTTCGACTCCGAAAAGTCCGGTGACCGTGAAGTACAACGGACCATGTTGGAACTTCTCAATCAGCTAGACGGTTTTGCCTCCGACGATCGAATCAAGGTTCTTGCCGCCACCAACCGTGTCGACGTCCTGGACCCCGCTCTCCTCCGATCCGGCCGACTGGACCGCAAAATCGAATTCCCCCTCCCCAACGAGGAAGCCCGTGCCAACATCCTGCAGATCCACTCCCGCAAGATGGCCGTGGACGACAGCATCAACTGGGCCGAACTGGCCCGCAGCACGGACGAATTTGGCGGGGCCCAGCTCAAGGCCGTCTGCGTTGAAGCAGGTATGATCGCTCTCCGGAAGGGCATGAGCAAGGTCGGACACGAAAACTACGTCGATGCTATCGCGGAAGTACAAGCCAAGAAGAAGGATACCAATATGGGCATTTACGTCTAATGTAACTATTATGTTAGACTTAAAGATTTCTTTTCCTGTTACGATCAATACTATCAATCATCGTTGTTGGTTTTTTTCTATCAGTCCTCTCTCGTGTATCATGCCTTAAGTATTATATTACTCTTATGCTATATATGTGTCCCGGGACTCGAAAGAAAGTCAGCATTTGTCATGAGTAGGTTTGGATCGAGTTTTTCTTGCCTGGCCGGGCCATTGGTTATAGATGATAAAGTGTAATGATATCGGTTACTCACGATCGTCAGACAGACTGATAAAAGGTATTATGAGAACCCTTCCTACAGTATTTCTTTACGTATATATTTTGTAGTCGCGAGCATGGATCAATTTGATATCACTCGTAAGAATAATAAGCATTAGAGCCAGTAGACTCGTAGTCTGACCAATGTACATACAGATGCAATGTACAGCTCCTCATCGAGTAATCAGATCAGGATCAAGGAGAAGAAAAGAAAGAAATACAAGGTATAGACAAAAAGATACAACCGAAACCACCCAATTAGATAGCCGTCCCAAATTATTTCCGTCCTTATCCGTTAGATGCGCCTTATATCAGAGAAAGGAAAAGATATGTGCAGTTTGACCGAGGTAACCCTCGCGTCTGGATGTATGTGCTCATGTTAAAGAAAGAGTGACCAATTGCACTCTTGATGAATGCAATCAGGTTCAGGTGCGAGAGTGAAGAGAAGTGAGACCTTTTCAAGGTATCCAAAAATAATGAAAACAAAATCCATCCGTTGTCCACCCAGAACGCCATCTCGCGCAACTTCAATTGCATGGGCCCTGCCAGCTTGCTAGTTTGAAAGAGGGAACGGTTTGAAAACATAGAAGGGGCGTAAGACGAGTGATATAAATCGTGAGAATGTTCAAATCTGAGCGAGAATCGTTAACTGGTTAGAAAAGCCGTTTAACATCAATGGTCTTAACATTCCCCGGGCGTTCACGCTCCACATGGGACCACCAGTCTCGGCCATTTTTATGGCTGTAATTCCAGGAACCGGTGCATGTGTCCTTGTCCCAGGGAAGTGCAGCTGGGGATGAGAGGCTCATCGGCGTCAACGGTGTGATGGGAGTGTTCGGACTAGTCCCAAATGTTGAACTCCTGGTAATGCTTCCAAATCCAAATCGGCTGACTGTAGTCGATGCGGGAGACGGGGGCTCCTCCGGGAGCGGACTGCTGCTGTTTTTATTTCCAAAACAGTGCACTCCAACCCCAGCGGCGTACGTTAATGACTGATTTGATGCCAGTATGTGCCTCCAGCCAACCAGACCACCGTCGGCTTCCTGTCCCTGTATGTCGGGACGCAGGATAAACCGTGGGATGGATACGTCTCTGTCCTTCTCCCTGCTGCCAATTCGACCCATATAAGCCGGCATCCTGAAGTCGCACACAATCAGAGGCCCGTCGCGGTTCTCAGGTGACCTATCATCCCGCTGTTGATCGGATGTATCCCACTCTCCAGAGTCGTCCAAGTCCATATCCAATTCATCATCCGACAAGTCTTCTAATGCACTGTCCGGCACATAGCCGTCTGAATGGTCAGTGACAATTACCCGCATTCCTGTTTCTGTGTCCTTCGCAGCCATGTCAATGAAGGTCTGCGCCCGTATTCGAGCAGATGTGAGGTTGTTCCCTGCAGGCAGGGCCATTGGTCGTGTGTTAACAGAACCGTGGGAGCTGCGAGGGAGGCTATATCGATCGGGTTGAAGAAGGGCCTGACCCCTGGGAATAGGCTGACAGACAGCCTGAAGAACACCAGGAGGCTCTATATCAGATGGCGCACGAAGCGCCTCTAGGCGGGGAAACCCGTCAGAGATAATGCTTTGAGCGAGATGAGAATTCGGCGTGTTCATATGTCTAGGAGGTTTCACAAAAGGAGCATAATCTAGCCTTGTGAGTGCAGTGTTAGGATTCGGACAAGCAATATCCCAGTGAAGATATTTCAGGCTGGACGAAGCGAATAACGGTTGGAAGACGATGCCATCACTATTCAGGGTGGGGCATTTGTTATTTTGAACGATCTTAAACCGTTCCAATTGTGGCAAGGATGCCAAAATCTTGGAGATCACAAGTAATGATTCAATATTTTGTTCAATTAGGGCCAATACTTTGAGTGAGTGTGATTCAGCGCGTGAAGTGTACTGCGATAAGCCCGTATCGGTAACACCAGGGAGGTTCTCCAGTCGCAACGATTCCAGAGCTGGGAGGCACAGCAAAGTGCTATCCGCGAAGGCTTCTGCGTCGAAGTTTGCGATGCACAAATTTCGCAACGATGGCAAGAGGCTCAACATGCGTAGAAAGATGCTCGGTTCGAGAGCATTATTCTCGCTCAGCCCGTGCAACATCAGAGTTTCCAGATTTGTCCACGAGACGTGATAGTCCAGAAACTCGAACATCTGTGAGGGACCCAGGCTTCCAGGGCAAGAGGTGCTGCGAGGCGATCCCTCCGATACATCCATTGCCTCACCCAAGAGCCATGTGTGCTCCTTCAACTTCCGTCGTGTGGATAATGCATGGGTCAAACGATCGAATTGGTGGTTATACGGAATACTCAAGCCCAACAACCGTTCCAGGTTTGGGCAAACCATGACGACCGATGCCACTAAGTCTCGGTACTCTTCCCATTGGGTGCTCTGCCTCCCTTGCGTAAACAAAAGGTCCATCTGGGGGACACGAAGTTCAAGGACAAGGTTGGCGAGCAATTTTCTTTCTCGGAGAGTGCGCCGTAGAAGTTTCAACCGGCTTCCGCGCTTCATCCGATATTTCTTCAACTGGGCTGGGGAATCATTGCCGATAATATGGATCCGATTGTAACTAAATTGCAGTGTAACCTGGTCAGCGTCTGATGCCAAGCTTGATGACTACGGCTGATTAGAAAGTATATTGCACTCACAGCTTTGGCCTAACCGCCTTTTCCCAGGTCCGGCAGGTTAGAGACAGAGCGTACAAGTCGCGTTGGTAGCATGTTAGACACCCTTGTTGGTTTGGGCCCGTATGCAAGGATTCCAGTTGATTCAAGATATTGTCGAGCACGTCCAGAGGCAGTCGCTTAATCTTAGACTCCAAAATTTTATCCAAAGACGCAGCCGAATCGCAGAGATGATATGAGGAGCTAGGCGAGATCGGGGAGTACGCCGTTGGGGCTGTTGACACACTATAATTGGACTTAAAGGAGGATATGGATGACGTGCGGGATGAGACCGGCTGCACCGACACTGTATAGGGATCCTTGTAACCACGGCCTTGGTGAGGAATTGGCGAATAGGGTACAGCGGCGCTGTCAGGTCTACTGGCGACAACACTCATTCTGAATGTTTATGTTGTTGCATTTGACAGGCATTAAACCCAGTCAAATAGAATATAGTAGATGAGAGGAAGTCCGTGAGACAAGACGACCGTGTAAAAAAGGAAAGGGGCCAAAAAAAAAAAGCGGTCGAGTGGGGAATGAATGGGCCACGGGAAAGCACGCCGTGCGTCAGGGATGTAAAGATCGATACGCAGTGTCCTGATCTATGGGAGCGATGGAAAGACACGAGAGTGCGTTGTATGAAAGGGGAAATCCCCACGAGAAAGGAACGAATGCTGAAAGAAGAAAAGAGTAAAAAGAAAAAAGAAAACGAAACGACTATTCTGGGAATGAGGGAGTCTTGTGCATTATGATCGAAGAGATGGCAGGCAACGAGTAGTATCGTTGACTAGGGCAATCAGTTAGTAACCCAAGTACGTAGTTCAGGACCGGGCGCATCAATGGGAAACTTAGCCTTTGGAGCACATACCATGGACACGCCACTTCTTCGTTTAGTTTAGAGTGGCAGGAACTAGGGGATATGGCACGGCAGTCGGGGGCCGATCGTCCCCACAAGGGGAATGAGGATCTTGTGTTCCCGACTAAAGATGCCTGTAACTCGTGCTAAGAAAATATGACCGCGAGGCTGTGGAGGGAAGCGGAGAAATTCGTGTCATCCACAACCAACGACAAGGGGGATTGAATGGACAAAAGCAAATTCCCAGGGCGTGGAATTGCCTCCAGGTAAACTGCAGCAGGAGCCAAAAAGGGAGGAGGGCCCGTGAACTAGGTTGTTCGGGGTGGAGAGTTTAGGTTCTCTGGACGAAGAGGATTGGCAAAGTCAAGCCCAAACAAGTAATGATGCGAGGTTCTCCAAATGTTCGTTTAGGGGGGATTAGCCTGACGAGATGGAGGACGGGACTCTAGTGCAGCTAATTAGCCCGTTGGAAGTGGGAATCAAATTGAATTGAATTGAAATTGATGGAAAAGCTATCTTACCATCGGACATCCGCATCCATGGTTAGCCGGCCGATGACGACGTTTTTCTCGATAGTCATTAGGGGGTTGGAATTGAGAGGAAATAGAGTGGAGTGGAGTGGAGGAGAGAAAGAAAAGTCCATGCATGACTTTAGTCTACAACTCTGTACCGTATGGATTGGTTGCATTTCAGACTAATCTCGATTCAAGTCTAGTCAAGGGGAGTTTAGCGTCAGGAACACGGGACGCTATACCATTTTGGAGCGGTTCGCAGTTCTCGGCTTAGTGTGTCGTACAAGGATGTACATCCAGTACGAGTAAATAAGTAGTATTATATAGGTCAACCCCTTTCTTTTCTTTTCTCTGTATCATGTCACTTGATTATTACTTAAGATCTAATCTACTTTGAAGAAAGATGACGGAATGGAAATATGAAAGTAAATTAAAATTATGTACAACTTTCCTCTCCCTCCCCTAATCGATACTACTAGGCATCATTGAACTCATGTACCGTACCAGCCATCGGTTCGCCATTGAATAATTCGACGAAATTGGCTGGTTGTGGATTACTCACGTTCCGTTGTATCCATTTATTGCTTGGCCAATAATATTCCCTCGTACATATCAATCCCAAACAGCTATAAATATCGCCTGGAAATGTCTTACAGACGGATCCATCTGTCACGCGCTGAAACTTCCACGTTATAGATAGAGATGGGATCGAAATTGAAAACGGCTACTCGGGATACAATCGATAGATATCATGCTATCCTATGTAATCAGAATCAATTAATCAATCCGATTGACTCCAAGAGGAACAGTCAAACACCCACAGTCACTCTTGCCGCTTCTACCGCCGATTATCACCGATACCAACCGATTGCCCTAAGAACAATGTATTTGAATTTTGAATTCGGATCGCCCTCAGGAGCAAGTGGGGCAGCAGCAGTTTCTCGTCCCGAGTGTGATAATGATCCCGCACATAAAACAGCAAAAGAGTGAATGTTCGTTTCACCTGAAATAAATAGAAAATGAAATCGAATAAAAAGTATTTGCTGTCCGGATAAAAGTGGATTTTATCCTGAGTCCGAGTGAGGTGGGTCAATATAATGATGATAAAAGAAAGCAAAACTGCCTGCATGTACTAGGGATCTAGTGTTTATCCTGTTATCGGGTTAGGGGGCCACTATCATATCACCAGATTTCGAGCCGTATCTTCGTAATCTCGAGGTCCGGTCCGGACAGACACCGCTCCTTCATCGTAGAATTGCACCATGCACATCAATTGGACTCTATCCATGGTTGGACCGACCCTGATCGACCCCTTCCAGGTGTGCAGAACATAACGTGCCTCCGGTAGGTAGCGAGCTGTAGATCAACCTAGAAGATCGGTTCGTCAATACTGCCTTATCAGTCCTCAATGGAATTTTTTCCAGAGACATAAATCTCGTCCCGGTAAACCCCCCGACCCTCAGAGGTCGGTGGTTGGAATAGAAATGGTGACACAGAATCAGTCTTAAATCCACTTCAAGGTCCCAAAAATAGGATACGAGTAGTAGAAAGCAAAACAAAATGAACCCACCGTTGAAACATTGACGATGACCTCATTCGCGCTGGGAATATTATAATAGTCGAAAGACTACTTTCTTAACCTACCAATCACTATCCCCATCCCCCTCACTACAGGTTGCTAGTGTATCCTAGAAAATTGAAAATCTTGGGCGGTATGTTCCCTAGGTTACCCTCAGCCTTATCATTAGTAGTTTTCTTATTTTTCGAAGCTCCTTTCTAAGCTCCCAGTGTTTTTTATACTTACTGTAGTTATACCATGCACAATTGCTTGCTCGTTTACTGAGTGATCTGTGGAAGAAACCGGTGGAGATTCATTGGAACCTAGTTTCACTCCAAAAAAAGTAAGAACGTGCCCGGCAAAAATATGCGACACTGAGCACTCCATCTGTTGGTTGGCTCCCTTGATATAGGTGGGATCGGTCTGGATAATTTACATCACTGAGACCCAACAAATCTTAGGAGAGAATCCTTATCAGATGAAGAGTAGAGTCCGCATAGGTGGTTAAAAAAAATAACAGACAGGTAGTAGTAAGGTTCCTTATGTATTGCAACTGGTCAGGGCCACGTCTAACTCACTACACGGGAATAAGTAGAATCGTCTACCGTACGCAACCAAGGTGAATACCAGGTTGGATCAAGGTATCAGGCTTCATAATTCATTTATCTAGGCATCTTGGCCCAATACAACAACTCCACCGAGGTTACCTCCCTGCGCCATGCTGCCTGCGAAACGCCGCTACATCGACCCCTCGGATACCATATCCCCCGGCGTCCTGTATCAGACAAGAGTCGGCCCCCTCCTCCCTTATCAAGATACGTTTGGGCAGCTGAAAGAGCGCCAAGTCGGTCATCAACAGAAAAGAAAAATGATAACTGTGGATATTCGCAGGTTGAAGAAAGACAACGAAACAGATGGTATAAGCCAAAGACCCCTGAGAACAAAGGAGAAAACACAGGGGGCTACAAGATGTCAATCGAAAACAATATCCAGTTCCATCTACCCGGATGGTGGGGAAGTGAACAAGAAAGAAAAAGGGACACAAAGTTATGATGGTAGAAAAGAGAACCAGGACCTCCTCCCTCGCATCCACAAACATCCAAGTACCAACAGCGAAGCCACGGTCACTTGTAGCAAGTAAAAGAGCAAACCATGTTTTGGCCCTAATCCAAAGGCATGTACAAGTAGGGAAAGTTATATGCAGGAAATCACAACTCCATTATCATGCATCGCAAAATAATCACATGTCGAAATTGTCATCAACGTTAAAGATTCCGGCCTCTCCGCCTTCGTGGGACTTCTGCACACCAGTCATGCGGTGATCTTCAAAGCCCCCATGCCGGTGAGACCGTGACCACATGTCCGGGTCCTCGTCCATATGATCTGTAGGCTCATGTTTAAGATGGTGATCGATTGAGCTCTCATTGACAAATGTGAAGCCCTTGAAGTTAGCCTGCAAGCCCGGCGACAGCGGGGTGGATGCTGTCATGAAACCATTGGCCACTGCGGCCGCACGGTCGTTCAACTTGGCGTTGGCATCTAGCGCATTCGTGAACTCGGGATCAAAGTTAGAAGTGTCTGTATCCGACTTGAGTTTCGGTTTGAACGGAGGGATGACCTGCTTCCGGGACAAGGCTTCCCAGTCCACATCGTGGAAGAAGGGATGTTCCTTGAGCTCCTTAGCGTCGCCTTTAGCTCCTAACCGATGCTTCGGATTCCGGTTGAGCAAGCCTTTCACGAAGTTCCTTCCCTCGGTGCTCAAGGCGTCCCGTGGGAACCTAACCTTACCGAAAGCGATGTTCTTATACATCTGCTGGGTATCCTCAGCATAGAACGGACTCCAGCCGCAGCACATCTCGAAAACGAGAACACCCAGAGACCAGAAGTCAACCATCTTCGTGTACCCTTGCTCATCAAGGAGAACCTCAGGTGCTAGATACTCGGTTGTGCCGCAAAATGTATTGGTGGTGTCGTTTTGGGCGAGATTTGCTTTAGACAGACCGAAGTCACATAGCGCGATGTGGCCGTTGGCGTCGAGCAGGATGTTCTCTGGTTTCAAGTCTCGATAAACGATGTCGTGCTCGTGGAGATGCTGAAGAGCCAGGATAAGCTCAGCGATGTAAAACTTGGCGCGGGCCTCCTGGAACCGTCCTTCCTTTTGCAGATGCCAAAACAGTTCGCCTCCTGACATATAGTCCGTAACAAGGTAGAGGTCGGTTGGAGTCTGGAAAGAAAATTTGAGGCCGACAATGAACGGAGAGGCAGCCATAGCTGTCCGAACCAGGATGTTCCGCTCACCCAAAGTATGGGCAACTTCCTTCTTCTGTATGATCACCTTCTTCGACAAGACTTTCATGGCGTAAATCCGGCGCGTATCTTTCTTCTTCACCTGATAGACCTGGCCGAATGTACCTTTGCCGATAAGCTTCAGAACCTGAAAATCGTCCGGTCCCACCTGCTTCTTCTCCATATGCTCAAAATGCATTTCCATGTAGATTTCGCCGGAAACCGGGGCGTCGCCTGGACCGCGAGCAGACAAGGGGAACCACCCTTCTAGGCGGCTGTTGTCTTCCTTGAGGTTGACACATAGTCGCACGTGACCTAAGAATGCCTCTTGATTTTTGCGATCATACACGGAAACATCGATCTCGGATTGATCGCCAAAAACATCACTGGAGATACGTCGTCAATGAAAAGATCCGGCATGATTGAAAAGGCAACTTACAAGGTGGCTTCATGGTTCCAATGGGGATCGGTTACCGGTGCCCTTCCCCGATTATCGAGGCCATCGAAGGAGCTATTGTTGCTGCTTTGCCGACTCTTCATGGGAATTGCCATCGGCCGCCCAGCTTCGCGATCGGACTGTTCCTGCTCCTTTTGCCGTCGCTCAAAAGACGCTTCTTCCTCATCCTGAGCACTCTTGGAAATCCATTCGTTCCACTCGAATACAGAGACCACATAGGGGTCGAATCCTGGCTTAAGCCCGCGGCCTTCTGAAATTTTAACATACAAGTTGCCCTTGATAGGAGCAACCGGTGGGTTTGGTTGGGGTGTTTCGGCGGGGGAGGGAAACGCTTCCTCAAGTTTCCCGGCAATTTCATCTGTTGACTTATCCATCTCATCGGACTGCTGCGTTAGCTCTGTCGACTGAGGTGAAGAAGTAGCTGGTGGCCTATCGGTCTGCGACCCCTCGTTGGACATGGCACGTGGGGTAAGCGGTGGAGTATTCTTTATACGAGCGAGATCAGACACATTCCCAGTTAGCTTCGCAAGGTTCTCAGAAGATAAAGAAATGTGTGGCTTCTCATGCTCGAGGAGGGGGACTTCCGGAAAAGACATCGGATCACAGGTATGAGGGAGACAAGGATTTGAGAAGTGAGTGGCAAGGACTGGGTCGTCAGAGACACTGGACACTGGATGAGAGGTATGACGGCGACATGGAGGTTCAGGAGAAACGCTTGCAGGTGGAGACAGAATGTTCTTCAGCGCGGTGAAGATAGAGCCTACTCCCTTCTCTGGGGCCGATGACCCTAGCTCAGCCGCATCCGACTCTTTCTGTAACAAGGAAGATGCGGAGGAGTAAGGGGGTGTGGGTAAACTTGTAGGAGCTAGAGGCTCCGGTGTGATTTCCTTTGCTTCAACTTTCGAAGATTCCATGCCCGGCACCTCATCACGCTCCATCATGACAAAAGACCCCGAGGATGAGGAATGGTGACCAATGCTTCGGTCATCCCGTGTCCCTGTGACGTACGCGCTTGACTGAACCAGGTGCGCGGAAGTAGGAGTCTCAGAAGGGAAGAGCTGTGATTTGGGAGGGTGCAGCGGACCATGGGGAGCACCAACCTGGAAGAAATTGTGCATTATGGAAGGCTGACGCTTATCCGAGAGCTCAGGCTGTGGAGTAGCCATCCCAGACGGGCTTGGACTATTCGAACCGATCTGATCCTGATTTTCGTCATCCTGTAGACCATTGCTAATGGATCGGTTAGCCATAGGTGATAGTCGCAAGTGTGAGTTAAACCGGCCGACGAGACACAAAAATAGTGACATGATGATAACAATAGGACATGGGAGATTCAGCCAGAAGAGATCGCATGGCCGTAATCCAGTATGGAGATGAGAAGCAGCAGAACCAGTTTGGAAAAAAAGCTAACGCTGCATAAACCTGCAGGTCTCTTCCAGAAGCCAACCATAAGGCTGACACGAATGCGCGGGTGCCTTCACTCAGCACGGCACAACCCATGGACAACAAAGCACATCAGTCAACCTGCAATGATGCCAGGAATGAGGGCCTTCAGGTAGAAAAGTCTAACCCTTTTTTTCTGGCACCTGACCTGAAACAAACAAAACAAAGAGACCCCAATTTTCTTTATTTCAATGACCTTGATAAAAATAAAAAAAAAATAAAAATAAAAAAAATAAAAAAAGACACAATCTAGACCAGTGGAATTGAGTTGACTCACTTCTGAGATTTCAGCAAGCCTGCATCTCCATGCAACTCGGATCCGTTCTGAGTAGCAGCCATGGTTTATGTTCCATTCGACACCGAAAAAATCCTCCGCTTTGCACACGTCGATGATGAGATGATAGCGCGACTGGTCACGTCAAGACTGTGAAAAGCGGATGGTGTGGGTGACCGGTCAAAGTGCGGAAGTCGAGAAGAAGGGAAGAGAAAAAAAAGAAAAGGAAAAAGACTATTAACACCAGCGGACAAATGTCGAGCTAAGGAAGTTTGCGGATGGATGGATCCGACCGGGTTCGGATCGTACCAAGTAGTGGTGGAGGATGATGGAGGGGTTAGGGCGGGATGACCGTCGACTGTTGTGGTTTTGTGTTAGAATCGATTCCGCCAGTTGATCAAAGATGGCGAGAGGGAATGGGACTGATAAAGTGAAAAGAGAGAGGTGAAAAAAAGCCAAGGAAGTATGATTCACAGGGGCAAAAGGAAGAAAACGGAAGCGATGAGTGGCAGTATTACTCAGGCGAATCCCAAGGACCGGGGCAACGTGAAGAAAAAGCCAATGCAGTTACAGTACCTTTAAGTTAAGGGTAAAGTAATTGGGGATCTCAGTCGTTGTGTGGATGAAGTGAACCTTGGTTTTAGTGTCAAACTCTGGGTCCATTGATTTAAACTGGGTGAACGGCGGACTGCGGGATTTCCCCAGAAATATCTGTCCAGAAGGGCAAAAAAGGATAGAAAGAATAATTAAATCAGTGCAGTCCTATTGATTGGTAACAATAGGGGGGGAAAGAATATCAATATAATAATCAGTAAATACGTTGGCTGAATGGGTGGCGTTTTAAGGCCATAAGCTGAACAGCACCGACATAAGCTGCCGCTGATGCCGCTGGGTCGAATTGATGGCGGACTGTGAAGAGCGCGGTACTTAGCACTAAGTTAGGCAGCCTACTAGCACAAAGGTACCAGTTAAGCAACCAACACAAGGCCTCACTAATCGGAAGATAGAAATCAGAATCTTGTAGTGAGGGGGAGGGGGGAAATCAGAAGAGGAGACAACGATAATAATAAATAATGATAATAGATTGAACAAGAAAATAGAAAAACAAATCAATAATTTAAAATAAAATATTCAACAAATTAATAAAATCTCTCGCTTTCTTTCTTTCTAGTTCCTCCCCCCCCCCTTTTTTTTTTTTTTTTTAATTTTTTTGGTGGTTCGAGTATTTCTTGGGTAATACTAGAAACTCCTCTTTCCCATAAAAAATGAAAATAAAATAAAATGAACAAAATAAAAGTGAAGCTCACCGTCGATTCTGGATGGTGACCGTGAAACGCTTCGGTCTACTATTGGTGCGATGTCCACATATAGTGCTCTCTGTTTGGTTCCTTGGGCATTAGGTAAGGTCCAAAATGCGAGATACTATTTCATTAAAAAAAAAATTCAATCAAATAAATAAAAAATACCTCGAAAAGAAAGAAGCCTTACACCGAGTGGAGATGAATGGTGGTGCTGGACAAATAGAGAAGGACGTTATGGAACCACGGCGTGTGTTCAAGTCATCTCGGAACCACATTTCTCTGGAGACAAATTCTTGAGGAAAGAGATAATCATGACTACCAGGACCGGTAATCCAGTATTATATGTTAACGAACGACGAATTCTGGTCAGCGAGCAGACAGCTGCTGGATATAAAGCCGAAAGGGGTTTAGGGATGAGAAGGGAGAAGGGAATGATGACAGCAGGAGAAGGTCGGATGATGAGCAGATGGGGTAGCAGTAACCGCCATCTTTTGCCTCTTGGAGATTCGTGATCCGCCGTTCGGTTTGGAAACCGGGAAATCTTCGAAAGCCTCAGGTTGAAAGTCTGCACGGGTGCGCACTATCCCCGATGGGGCAGTTAACCAGTCGGTCACTGACAAGTGGGAATCGCAACTTAATGTCCTTGAAGTGTTCCTTATTTTCCCCTTCTCTCGACCCGTAATTCGATTGATCTGACGGGCTTGAAATTATGGAATCCTGAAACTGTAACTTTTCGTACCTGTTGGAAATGCCCAATTTTTCAATATTCTGGAAAAAAGTCAAACCCCCTGGCATCCTGGGTTCTGTAACGTTCATCGATAAGCTGATGGATAGTTTCAGAATGGCGTCTTATCTCCAACACGGAGTACTCTGCTCCTCCCACACTAATCTCAATATCTCTCATAGTTGCAGGAAATCGTTCCCAAAGATGTGAACTCGATCTCCGCCACCTCCTCTTTCTAACCAAACCCCATTCCTAACTGTCGGTCTACGGAGTGGAAAAGGTGGGGTTATACTCCGGCCCTCCAACCGAAAATGTCATTTGTCGCCAATTTGATGGTCGATCATCGATGGATTACCGCGTTTAATGCATTGATTATCGATCGCGGAAATGACTCGTTGTATGAACTCATCCTCTACAGTGGCAACAACTCTTCGCGTTTCAAGTGTCAGCGGATTTTTGGGGTCAGCGATGCGGTCTCAGTTGACAATCGGTCTTACGGCCCCATTGCCAGCCTTAATTCCCCTAGAATGCAGTGACTACATCTTCCCTTGAGATAACCCCCTCCCCCCTTACCGCTTCCCTCCTAGGCCCTAACTTGCTTGACTCATCTCTCTCAGCTTGCTTTCTAGAATGGTCTAGGTACTCCAGATCTCCCAACTGGACGGGGATTGACTCCAAAACAATGTGCAGCCTTGTTGGCGGCTCGCAGCGAATCGCTCACGCTTACAGCCGCATCCTCACGTTGCACTGAAAGGGAGACAAACATATAGTTGCTTGATGATTCACCAGCTTCTTGTTTTTTTCTCTGTCAGGAGGTATGACTAGAGTCGTACTGTAGTAGGGTAAGATTAGCCCTAACGCCCATAGGGCATACACCGCCCATTCGTATTAAAGATAGTAATCCCGGAAGCCCAACGGACATAACCGAAACGTATTCTCTTTTTTTTTTTTTCTTTTTTTGTTACTCATCATTCAATTCATTAGTAGCAGCAAGGTTACACCAGCTCACTGCGGGTGCTCGCTTCAGGTGCGGTGGTGAAAGTTATGGCGGCATCGTTTGACTGAGCTCCGGTTAGACGGTCAGATCAGCCGGCCACCCATTCTCCTCCTGCCACATTCAGTGTGGCTTAAAAGGTGCACGTTCGAAAAACCTGTCTTCGAGTCGGAAATATTCTCTAAGTGGGCACTGACGATAGCAAGAATTTTCCGATCCTCCAAAAATGTCAAGTACTATTATTAATAAGAAAATGTAAATTATAATAATAGTAGTAATAATATTAATGTATGTAAATAATGTTTACCCCCTCTGGTCAATAAAGTTATGGCTATCGACCAGGAATTATGGGAAAAGATCTCCACGAACGGTGCCTGGGTCAAGAAAAAGCCAGCTCTCCTTTCACCCGCAATGACCCGTCAATCACATCTCATATCTTCCCGGTCGGCTCAGGGAGGATCGTGCATCTGAGGCTACTTGGACGCGGTCAGTAGGTAGGTCACCTGCAAGCTGCAGCGTGGTGTCAGCGATCTACAACATGCAGCGGTTTATTGTCGCCAGAAGAGCTCCGAGGTCTTCCAAGGGTCCACCTCATTGATGGTTTCCCCCAGCCTCTGGAATGGAGGGCTGACGATAAACGGAAACTCTACTTCGAAGAGCAGCAGCTTTTGTAGGGTTACCATTGCACAGTGCAAGTTCCCCCCTCCATCGAGTTGCATTTGATGAGCGAATGCGGAGCACTCCTACCATCCTAAGGCATACCGGTGGAGAGGAGGGCATTCAGAATTTCCCTTCGACCGTCAATCCTGACATGTGAACTGCGAATAGAAGCAAGTCATAGACATTTGGGACGTCAGAAACAATGTCCGTGCATCCCCTTATCGTGATTGTGAATCATCAGGCATGTTGCCTGGAGGCTTGATGAGAATGTTCCGATCCAACCCAACACGCAATGCTCCCTACATAGACTGGTTTTCAATGGCGAATGACCTGCCTTGAACTGATTTTTCCCTTCAGCGTGTAGAAGAGTAGACCAACCCCATTATCGAGGAGAAAACTGCAAATCAAAAGATGACGTTTCACAAAGGGAGAGAGGGACAATGACATCACCCGGCAGGCACTTAAGCCACCTTTCCCAAATAATGCCAAGAGAGAAAGTCTCTCAGTTAGGGGCACTATCTCGAAGGAGTAATTGGTTTTCCCCACGTGGCGGTCATTTTAAATATAAAATGCCTCAGGCACTCACGGTAATTATCCACGTGACTTGATCATTCGGGGGCGGAGAAACCGAGACGCCGCCCATCTCTGGCGCGCTCGCAGAAGGCACGTCCAAGGGTAATCCTCATCCCGTACATTCTGTTTTTGGCCGTTGTTCCCCACTCCGAACAGCTGCTGTCGCTATGGCGAGGAAGCTTAGAGCGGCTGCACAGGCAGCACAACAGTCGCTGAGTATGTTAATTGAACCTCACTGGTGTTTTCTTTCTTCGATCCCCCATCCTCACCAAGAACACACAGGCGCGTACAACTAACAGCTCCGCAGGGAACGCTCCTCCTCCGCTTCCAGATGCCTCCGATGAGGAAATGGCTGAGGCACCCCCATCGCGCGGGTCTTCCCCCGCAATAGAAGACCCAGGAGATGCTTCCGACAAGGATCCCGATGTTGTCCCCGAACCCGACCCGCCCCAGGAAGATGTGCCTGCCGCTGTCACCAATCCCCCTTCGCGCGGTGACACTCCGAGCCGCGGCCGTGTGTCCGCAATTCCGCGAAAGCGACGCATAGGTCGCCCCCCGAAGAACCGTCCTCCAGACTGGGATACACCGGATGACGGTTCTGCGCCGCCAATCCACGTTAGCACACCCGTTAAGAGGAAACGTGGGCGCCCTGCAGCGAGCGGCGGACGATGGGCTCGGAACCGGGGGCCGTCGCATGTAACCCAAGTACCTATTGACAAAGAAGGAAATATGATGGATGTCGTAGATGATGAGGTGGTACTTCCAGACGACCCCGAAGGTGAGACCAAGGTCGACAAGAACGGCATTTTGAAGGGTGATCGAGAGTATCGAGTTCGTACGTTTACAATCCTCAACCGTGGTGAAAAGCAGTACATGTTGTCGACAGAGCCAGCTCGATGCATCGGGTTCAGGGATTCGTATTTGTTCTTTCAGAAACATAAGCGCCTCTACAAAATTATCATTGATGACGACGCCAAGCGTGATCTCATCGAGAGAGAGATCATCCCTCACTCATACAAGGGTCGAGCCATCGGTGTGGTAACCGCTCGGTCCGTCTTCAGGGAGTTTGGCGCGAAAATCATCGTGGGTGGCAGAAAGGTCGTTGATGATTACAACGTCCAGGAAGCCAAGGAGCGGGGGGATGTGGAGGGCGAACTGGCTGTGCCGGAGGATAAGCTGCCTGGTCCGGGAGAACCATATAACAAGAATCAATATGTGGCGTGGCACGGAGCTAGCAGCGTCTATCACACTCAAGCACCGTCAGTTCCTCTGCCTACGGGCAAGGCCGTCGATTCGAAGAAGCGAAAGGTGACAGTTACTGGTGATAACTGGATGCTTGAGCATGCCCGGGAAGCTAGGTAAGCAAGACCCTGAAAATAACAAGGCCTCTCGGACCTAGGAGCGTGCTAATCACCTCATAGCCATTATAATTCGATACTTTCGAACGTACGTCGAGAGAATTTAGAAGGTGTATACGACATCCATACGAATGCTATACAATACCCCAAAGTTATGCAGCCTTCACATGCTCGCTGGGAGCGTCTACCACCCGCGGATCCTCGAGTAGCAACCAAGTTGACGAAGGAGATGTCAACCCTAAGTCTAACTAATGGAACCGAAGAAGATGAACCGACCACTGAAAGCGACGTGCAAGATGAGGAGGCCGGTGAGGAAACTAGCAACAACACCATCTTCTCATCGATCCCATCTGCATTTTCCCGTCGTTTCGCCATCCATGATGTACACTTTGAAACTCCACCGTATTCCAATATGGGCATTCCCGGACCTGACGGTGACGTGCATGATCTCGGCACTAATGGCCTCATCAGCAATACAAATTTATCGTACCCTGAATTTGTCAGCCCCGAGATCCTAGCAGAGCTGCCCGCGGATTGCAAGGATGCTCTTGTTGAGGCCGCTACGCGCGAATGGGAATGGAAATCAAAGTGGCACAGTGAGGTGGGCGACGGCGCTCGCACCACTCCGCTTAAGAGCTATGCTTGGTTTCCTTGACCTGATGTTGTTTTCTCAGACTGTCAACCAAGTTTGTGAAAGAAAGTCTTGTGACTCTCTTCGTTAATATCTTTCTATGTATGACACATTGTGCTTGATTTGGGCCGGTTTTTATGGGTGGCATGAGAAAAATGGGAGTTTTCTGCGTTTAATTCGGGGGTGTATTTTGTTACAATGTTTTCTACAGCTAATGTCTCCTAACTGATACCTCAAGAGACAAGAAACGACAGGTAGGTTTGCCTTTATATTGTGTCCCATCGGTGGCAGATTAGACAATTCAATCCATCTTTTAAATGGTGTCTCATCGTCTCTTATTGCTCTCAGTATAAGGCTGGTGTTTAGTCCAATACTATGGCATTACACCATACTATTAGAGTCACCTTAATAGCAATACACTATTTACCTGACATTTGCATAGTGTATGTGCGTATGGACCGATGAGTTATAGTTGTGTTATGCTAGGTTTATGCTCATTCTTGACACTGCTATATTCAGAAGAGGTTCTTCGATCTATTGATATTCTTTGACTTAGGGGCAATTATTGATCATAATAAACTTCGTAATTCAATTAACCGGCGCTGAATGATTGTATCGAAATAGAATGGGCTAACGAGGAAGGAAAGAAAGAAAGAGGGGAAATAAGGGAGATGAAAGGGGCGAATGTATCATCCCATGGCCATCTCCGCACGCAGCTTCTCCAATTCTGCCTCCTCGTCTTCTTCCTCTTGTACCTTGGATTTGCCTTTGGCTGTAATTCAACAATTAGATCGTATATTGGAATATGTGGTGGTGCCAAGAAATATTTAAACTCACGTTCTCCATTGGCCGCGGCCGGTAACCGGTTGAGTTGATCTGCAACCGGTACCGTCCCTGTGTGAAGCATTCGTTCGTCCATAGCCTCCTGTTCCAAACCCTCGAGCTCGGCTTCCAGCTCGGTCTCGTCCGCCTGTTCGCCGATCTGGGTGTTTGTGATAGCCTGTGCGATTTCCTCACTGAGTTGATGTTGCTCGCGGAGTTGATCCCTGAGTCCCCGTAAGTGGCGTTCATCCCTAAAACACAGAACAAATATAGCCAATCCAAAACCACGTACATTGTCTCATCAACCTTATCAATAGTCAAGTTACCATGAATCTGCGTCATGGCCGCACCAGCCTGCTTCATCGCATTCAGAGTCTCCTGGTTAATGTTCGCCGCCTCGATCGAGTATATCTGCTGCTCTAACTGAATGATCTGCGCCGTCGTCTGTTCGAGGTTCTTCTCGTGGACCTTCTTGCGCCGCAGGGCAGACTTAGCCGCTACATATCATCAGCCCCATTCACCCCTAGAAGAAAAGAAAATTTGCAAAATCAACCAAGACCCATACCGTTCTTATTCGTCGTCACGTTCTTCCTGGCCACGGCATCCTGCTCCTCCATCAGATTCTCCAAATGCTTCTCACGCTTCTGCAGCATATCAAGCTGCTCTCGAAGCTTGAGGATCGCATCCTTCGGCGCATCCTTCCGCTTCTGGGCTGCTGAGCCACCGAACCATGACCACATCTTGATAAGGGTTGTGACAGATTATGCTCCCGTATTTCCTCCGTGTCCAATCCTTTAAATGCAAATAAAAGATACTAGCTCCCTATCCAAGTCGTAATTCTCCCAATACTCGAGACCTGTGATGCCTAGAAGTCGGTAGAAAGTGGTGGAGTCAGGCGGGAAAGATAATAGGCAGAGAGAGAGGGGCGGCGGTCGAATCGGGCGGTGTCGTAAGCTGTCGCAGAATAGTGGAATGGGCGACCGACTTCCAATAGGCAACGAATCAGTCTAAGCCAGGGAGTATTAGTTCGGTAGGAAGAATGTGCAAGGCAACACTATTGAGGAGGGAATTCGTGATGGCGGCCGGGATGAGATCCGTTTTCCCCCTCCGTTTGGTATGACATACGCGCTAGGCCTATCGTAGATGGCTAGTCACGTGGTATTTGTAGCCTATTCGCTCTTCTGCTTTGGGTTTAGTAGGTTTCTTCAGAAGTAGACTTCTGGTGCCTTGTTGTTTTGTTATATTGGATTGGGACTATGCGTGTTGCATTCCCACTGGTTGAGGGATGAATGGCCCTCCTCCTTCGGCGAGAGCTTTTCTCTCCAGTATTCCTTCACTTCCTGTTGGTGTGAAGGTCCGGTTTCTTGGTTGGTGCGTAGATTCTCTTTATTCGCTCTTGCGGTTTATACATATCATTTGGGATGCATATCCTCGAAGTGCAGGCTAATCACATAGAGAATGCAGCGTAAAAACCTACAACGTCTCCTCGGGCCATCTAGTCCTAGAGCACAACTATCCCCGTTGCAAACCAACCCAGGAACCGCCAAGTATCTCTGTTGATATCAACGCTGTTCTAGAAACGGTGGCGGCGGACGAACTACGGGTTGGTGCGTGGGTGAACGTGCTCGGATATGTGAGGAGAGAAGGGCCTTCGGTTTACGTGGAAGCCGTGATGATGTTCCCAGCTGGGGCGATTGCAGTGGGAGAGTATGAGAGGATTCTGCACAATTCGCTGGAAGTGGATCGAAGGGTGCAGAGGCCTAAATGATGGACTCGTTCAAATTGAAAAAGCATGCGAAGCAAACGAATGGTGGCCTCTGACAAAATAATCATTTATTTCCCTATATCAGATAAGTAAATCTGCAATATTCATTACAATTATCTTGATCATATATGCTTCGTTGCCGTGAACATGCGATAGCGTGTATACGCCTCTAAGAATGACATGACCCAGACGCCAAACATTGGAATAAATTTTGAGAAGACTGGCGGACGTAAAGTATATCGGTTCGGCTTTTTTCTTTCTTTCTTTCTTTCTTATTTAGTTGCCTCTTCCTGTTCGCCGGCTGTGATGTTGGTGCTGGTTCTTTTAAACCTCCATATTCTCCTTCTCGTTTGTCTCTATATTTGCTTTCGCCTCTTCCCGCTGCTGGCGTCGTAGTCGCTTCCCTTCCAACTTTTTCTTATCCTCTTGCATCTGCGAAATCAAAGCACTCTTTCTTCGGATCTTGTAGCCATATTTATAGAAGACAAACGGGATCGGTATAATAGCTACCTCGAGCAAGCCTAGCAGGGTACCAGACCAGTTTGGTCCGATCCCGGCATAAAGATACGTACCCACCAAGGGCAAAACTCCACCCAGGATACTGCGAATCACGGAGTTACCCGCCATCGCAGATGCGGCGTAAACCCCATAGCTGTATGACAGGTAGTTCGATGCATAGATAAAAACGCCTGTGTTTCCTGCCCCGAACAGTACCCCCGCAAGGATGGGGACAATCCAATGTATCGAAGCCGGTGCGCAAGTCCATGCGAACCAGAGTTCACCGACTGGGATCAGAATGGCGGATACGCATACGATCGAAACCATGGCTTCTGGGGGGACTTTCCCGGTCTCTGGATCTATCGGGTGGCTGTTGATCATGCGGCGGATTAGCGGTTCGCAGGATATGGTTGTGAGACAGCCGATGCCGATGCCGAGGAAGGCGAGTCCTGAGAGGCCGAGTGACCAGCCGCGAATGTCACGGAAGACGATTGGATAGGCGGTGAAACAAAGATATAGAATACCATAGACGATCGCGATATAGATGTTCCAAAATATGCTGAAGTGGACTATTAATTTCAAATGCCCGCGAGTAATGGCAAGGGAGGGATTATTACCAAATAGGCTCAGTGACAGCCATGACGAAAGGGCGTCCCAGGTTCACTTTCAAGATCTGAATTAGACTGGCCTTTTGGTCGTATCGGCTCCAGTAGGGATCACGGGTCTCTTTTCGCAGGCGGGCAGCCTTTTTCTGCAGAATAATGGGGCCGTATGTCTCCTTCATGATCATGGAGAATACTAAAGCGACGCCTGACAAGATTAAGGCAATCCAATCCATCCATCGCCAGCCGAGATATTGCGTGACAAATCCTCCAATAATGGGACCCAAGACTAGGCTCCCGTTAGCTATGGAGAAGTACACGCGAGATAGAATACGAACCTGGGCCATTCACTGGGCCAATACTCCAGATAGACATTGCAAGGGCTCGCTCTTCGTCATTGACTAGATCTGACACCATTCCTGGCGCGGTTGAGATCATAACACTACCGAAGAAAGCCCCTATGAATCGCACCACAATAAGAGTGACTACAGACTCTGCACGAGCGCAAGGTATAATTAATACCATGAAGATAAACAAGCACGCCACAGATACAGGCTTCCGGCCGTACATCTCACTCAAGGGGGCCATGAACATAGAGCCAACCGCAAGGCCGATCAGGTATAAGGTAAGCCCTAAGGTAACAATGGTGCTGGAAGTTCCAAATTCCGCTGCAATATCTGCAACACCAGAGGTATATGATGTAGAGTATAAAACGCTGGTTGAGGGTTATCGTTAGGCAGGTTTACTTCTCACGAAGAGCAGAGTATATGAGTGGTAGACTTACACAACCAGTGTATTCCAAGAGAGGAAGGCGATTCCCATTCCTTTGTATGCGAGGGACCAGTTCTTGGGATTCGTCTGGTCCTGGCCGTCCTCAAAGTCAACTTCATAAGCCAGATCCGACGTACCATTCGTGCGAATAGACGTAATTTTTCTACTCAGGCTAGGTTGCGACTGCCGTGAAGCTCGTGTATAAATTTGGTCTTGCTCTACGGTATCCTCCGACGTGGTAGACCCGGCAAGAGAATTGGTATCCGCTGGTGAGGATTCCTTCTGGATATGTTGGGGCCATTTTTCGCTATTTGAAGGATGCTGTGAGGATGACATTCTTCTTGGGAATATCCACAACGGAAAGCTAAACACTCTGCAATGGCTTGTTGTTTGGTTGAGTATCTCAAGAAGGTTCTTGATCTATATGGGTTCCCGTCGAGGAATGAAGATGGAAGATGTTATGCAGTGGGCTCGATGAGGTACATTGAATCTTTATAATTATATGAGATCATGGATAAATGGCATGAAGAAAAATATACAGAAAAAAAAAGAACGATTTCCTTAGCAGTGACCTGAGAATGAGCACCTGTTTCCAAGTTGATGTTCGGCAGAATAAGATGGTTTCAGATGGCTAGGATTGAGCAACCCCGGAACTAAAGTAAATGGGAGTAAGAAGCAATACGTCGTCAGGAATTGAAAACCAAAAAATCCCGACAGGGAATGGTTGACATTTTATTTCCATTGTACGCCGTAATCTCAAATTAGCGCCTTTGTTTCTTAATAATGGACTAAGTAGGTGTGGGGCTCAGAGAGAAGTGCAGTTAGTAGTATACGATGATAAGGCCTCAGCATGGCACGAGGGACGGAGTACCTAAAATGTGATCTATGCTAAATGTGGTAGGTCATACCAAGTCTTACAGTACACAAACGTTTTTAATCCTAGTTGCTAAGGGGAAACTCGTACATCTTCATGTTGTGGGCTCGGGCATCCCAATCCCATGCCGGCCAGAGTCCGAGGTCAAGAGATCGCCTCCACATGGCCAAGATATAACCGTTGGGGAGAAATGACAGATCTCTTGCCGCTGGATACTGATCTACCTAAGAAAACAAGGCATTGCTCGTCATGGTAACATTATGCCCAGGGAGGTGTTGGCAACCTTGACTGATTCTGTATGAAGTAGAGTGGAACAAAGCCCGGCTCACATTCAAGGAGCAAATTTAGTTCCGAGATCATTCCGAGTCATAAATACTTAGCGCCGGCTGGAAGGTAGATAGATATAGATACCTCAAGTCCACTGCTTGTGTGGTCCATTTGAGGCGTTCCTCGAACATTCAACTTAAGCTCATTTACCCCCCATATCCCCCAGACGGGGCGAGGAGTCAATACAGCCCCAGTCAGTGGACAGTAAGGAAATGAATCAATCAATCAGTACTCCGTACCACAGTGGTGAATGGCAAGGTCCCTCATCACTAAATTGCCAAGATTAAACTGGCTCCACCAGGACTTTAGCCGAAGAGTGAGTGACTCATCAACATGATGCCTTTCATACACTCGTCAAACGCACTTCAAATCCACCGTGACGAAGAATTTTCGTCCTGTGAAGTTGGAGATGTAAGCTCCGGTTTACCGCCCGTGCCGGTTTGCCGATCACAGGGTTGGAAGCAAGAGGTGAAACGTCACTAAAAGGGAAAGGAATGGAGACGATCGTGGTCAGAGTGAAGGTCTGAATGCAGGCCGATTATCATTGGGTACCCATGCGGGACATGGGGGCCTCCGGTTACTAGTTCCGGAGAGACGAGGGCACAATAGCCCTGATGAATCACCACGAGAGAAGTTGACAGGTACTGTACTGCTAGGGTAGTCCCCAGCACTTTAAATAAACTCCGGAGTAATCTTCGCCAAAGGGAATAGAGTTCTCTGGATGGCTATTGAGCACTGTGGACGGTCAAAATGCCCGGCCAAATCTTCAGTCTCACAGTGAATGGAATCCTTGAGGTGCCCGAGTAAGCCAGGGGTAGAGAGAGACCGAAGTAATTATCGCCCATGTACCGAAGACAACTATATGATTGTTCTGGGAGCAGAAGTTCAAATAAAGTACAAGGTAGTTAATGTCAGTTTTTGATTATTGATCAAACATGACTCGTCTGGTATCACGTGGAGGGGACCATTAAAGCGGCAGTATCCGAATTGCAGAAAAGAATCCATTCATACATATACATACTACCTAGCCAGAGTTCCTAGGGTAGGATACGTACTCAATTAGATTACAGTGTATTACTGAAATTAAACGGTAGAACCACAGTGCCAACATGCTTAATTTTTATTAGATTTTGTGATTCTACTATTCCTGTACTTAATTCCCTTGGATTTTTAGAATACATATATACCCGGAAAGTAATTATCGAACCATGGTATAAGTATAGTAGATTTAAGATAGTAATCACTGGATGATTTCAAAAGTATATATTCTGTATAGACTATAGATAGTAGATTTTTTAGGCATAAAATTAAAAAGAAATTTTAACACGCCTTTAGGGCCTAATCTAGGCACCCTGCCGGCACTGTGGATCCTCCATTTCTTTGACCCCAAGGAACTTCGGCTGGACAAGCAGCGTGAACCTGTCACTTTTTAAACATGCCAGGAATATTACATCATTGACATACATGCTCTCTATTGTTTAAGCCTGGAGATCCACTTAGATCATTAAAATGATGAACTTACGAGCTTCCAAGGCCTGTGACCACTGCCGTGTATCCAAAAAGCGATGTCGCCCACCATTGCCGTGTCAGAACTGTGTAGCCGCTGGGGTGCGATGTATAGTTCGGGAGAAGGCAAGGTACAGTCTCACCCTGCACATGATCCCTTCCTTTCCACGTATCTCCGAAATCACTTAGTGGGCATTATTATTATGTTCTATTTGCATTAGGCATCTCTGATTTTAGTACATAGACCGTCACGGAGACGTAAGCCGCGGGCTACGGACGAGGTGTGGCCCGACAGCTACACAGAGACCCGAGCTACTTTCGTTGGTGAAAAGGCCAGTAGTAGTAGGGAGCTGACTCCAATATCAAAAACTGACCCTGCAGATTATGTCAAGGAATTGGTCTTTAATTATATCTACTCAACATATGGTCGGTCTCTAAACTCTGCACCTACTGGAGATCAATGATTAACGAACTAGCTATCCAGATGTCGTCCTGAAATGCACCCTTGCAGAGCCAACTGTTGCCCTAGACGATGGCCAACGTAGCGTGTGCTTCAATTCTCCAGAGTCTGTTTATATTGACGCTTCGACCATACGCCAACTCCTTTCGGTATCGGCAGCGGACTTCATCGCACGACTGTCTCCCGTAAAAGTATCTCACATAGAAACACTCGCAAACGATATACTATCGCAAGTCCCCTGCCATAAGAGTTACATATCTGTCCAGGACCTTGTCGCACTGGATATAGCCCTCGATCGGCTTGGTCTTCTTCTCGCTGCATTAGCGCTTTGTTGCCTCTATCCTAAACCGATTGATAACAATGCTTCTTCATATTTCTCGGGTTCTCACTATCTTCTCAAAAATTATGCCGTGAGGCCTTCCCTTGACCTTTGCACAGCATTCTATTTGCAGCATCTTTATCTACTAAAAACAGGGCCTGATAATCGGGACACGACAGCCCTTACTATGGCCATTCGCACAGCTCACGACCTGAAAATTAATGTGACGGAGTCTGCTGATCGTGATACGCTACCCGCTAAATTATATCTGTTTTTGTATTTCCACGATCAGTGCGTACCTTGCCATTTACCCATATATCTCAATCGAGGTCAAACCCATAACTGTCAACAGATGCTGTGCCATGAGCAACAACACCCCCCCGCTTATCAAAACAAGCGATTATAAGGCCAACGTCTTCGACCACGTTCTGGAAGAAGAAACAGATCTTCGCCCCATATTCGACATCCTAGTAGCTAACGGCCAAGTCCTCGAAGCATTATACGGAAAGATTTGCGACTACAGCAACATATACCACCTCGAGGAACTCCTCGGATGCGTTTCTAAATCAGCACGAAAACCAATGCAACCGTTCTTAGGCCTAGATGGATTCAATATGAACTACGAAGCACCAGTCCAGATTCACATGTTCTGGTACGCTCATGAAAGCTTACTTCCAGTGCCCTGTCTTTTCCACTCTATGCTATCAACCGATCCCATCACTAACAAGAAGTATTTCAGGGCCCGAATAACCCTCCGTGTCCACCGTCTCACCCTAACGCAAGACTGGATCCCCTCGATGAGTATCTGCGTCCGCTCCTCCCAAATGATCCTCCTCCTCTACTTCCAGACGTACAACCCCACAATACACCCCGGGTCCCAGGACCCCCACACTATACAACACAAACTATCCGCAGGCCTCCCTATCCTCTCCATGGAGGGCCGGATGCCCCTTACCTGGCGCCAGGTCAAACGCATCATGGCCTCTGCCTTCATCCTCATCTATGCGTACTGGCATGGCGAGGTTACCTTCGAAGAAGTCTGCCGCAGCACCGCGATGGCCTTGGTATTGCACGAGTGTCAGCGGGTCAGATGGGGGAAGGAATTAGATGGGGCTATGACTGTTTTACGGAAAATTGCGGGGATTTGTGGGATGACTATCTTGCCGAATTTGTCGAGCTTGTTGCCCGATGTTGATTTGGCCGTTCTTGAGGCTATCTCTGGGCCATCTTTTTAGGAGAGGATCGAGGTAATTTGGCTGGTATGGAAGGCCTTTAGGTGCTAGAAGATGCCTGGTAGTAGTACGCAATTATGGTAGATGAATATCCAGAAATGTTTGTCAATTGGCTAACCAATCTAAATTATGCATCGACGACACAAAATAAACAGCCTCCAAAAATAAAAAGCTCAATCGCCAAGAGGTGATAACAGATTTTGACAGCCAGCGCCACGGGAAGTAAAAAGAACTAAGCAAAAACATCGGTAGTATATCTCTCCTTGGCCTTCATATCATCAAAGAACTTCTTCACGGCCGTCTCCTCATCATCATCCGAAACAGCCTCACCTCTCTCCTTTGCCAGACGACGAATCTCATCCCGCCGCTCAAGGAAAATACTCTTAACCGTATCGCGAACCGCATTGCCTACTCCGGGCTGACCGCAGACGTAAATTCTCGCCCCGCTCTCGAACAGGTCAACAAGCTCCTTCCGATCTTCCAGCATCAGATCCTGCACACGTGTGCCCTTCGATCCATCGCTGGGTCGACTGTATGCTCGTCTTACTTCGACGGCGCCTAATTTTTCCCACTCGGCCAATTCATCCGCGCAGATGTCGTCCTTGCCCTTAGTACGGCAGCCGGCGTAGAGGATTGCTCTGGCTGGTTCTTGATCTTCGGGCAACTTGGAGCCGGAGCTGCGGCGGCCGCGGATCTTCTCGGCGCGGTCCATGATGAAACCACGGAAGGGCGCGAGACCGCTTCCAGCGCAGGCCATGATCATAGGGGTGGTGAGTTCGGTAGGGGGTTTGAAGCCGGTGTGCGAGGGGCGGACAGAGATGTGGACGCGTTCTCCGGAGCGGAGCTCGGAGAGATATGTTGAGGCTACGCCCAGGTATTCTTCTTCTTCGGGGTTGGTTGAGGCGAGGGATGGGGCTTTCAGGACAGAGAAGGTGATGGCGCATTCGGTGGGGTCGACTAAGGGGGAGGAGGAGATGGAGTACTGGCGGACTCGCATGGGAGGGAGCATGGCGACGAAATCGCCAATCGGAAGGTTGATCGAGGGGTATTGCATGAGTAGGTCTAGGGCGCTGATGCGCTTCTGAGAGATCTCGGCGAATCGGGCTGGGTCGGAGGCGATTGCCTGTAACTCGGCTTGGGTGTCGGGGTCGGTGGCCGCTGCGTCAGCTAAGGCGGCTAGGTCACGCTTCGAGGCTGGTTGGGAGAGCTCGACGTACGTGGCGAACAGATCGTAGGCGGAGAGTTGGGTGTCCAAGGGGATGGAGATATGTTTCGAGGACGAGGAAGATGCTTTCTCGATGCGGAGCACGGCATCCCAAGGGAGGTCAAAACGGCTCATAACTTTGCGGACCACGGTGCTGGGGTTAACAGGGAGGACAGCGAGATAGTCACCGCACTTGTAGTGCATGTCAGTGGGGAGTTTGAAGCGAATCGTCCGCTTGGCAGGCATGTCAGGCTGGGTGAGAAGGGCATTCTCCAAAACAAGACCTTCTTTCAGTTGGAGACCGAGAGTGGTTGCCCGGTGACCCGAGCTGACCTCTACATGGAAGCTGGATGACTTCTGTGAGCCCTGAGCGTTGGAGCTGCCGAACTTAGCCGTAACAGCCGGCCAGAAAAGGGCTTCACCCCAGGTATCGAAATCCGTGACGATGTCAGCGTTGGCCGTGTCGGTCAGTCCGATCTCACAGAGCCTGTTTGCACCATTCTCACCAATGAGACGGTTAACCTCCTTGGGAATGCGGTAGAAGGTTGACTGCCAATCATCTAATTTCATGCTCTGTTAGAAGGTTTGGTTTGCATGTAGACCGGAGGATAGATTGCACTTACGGTGACCACAACCGAACACAGCATAATTAACGCCTTCCAGGGGGTTATCGCCCTTCAAGGCACTGAGCCATTCGAAGAAATGGGCTGCGTTATCTGGGGGCTGTCCTTCATAAGAAGCGGTGATAAAAACGACAGGCCCATTCTTGGGGATGTGATCCCTGGCCGAATCCAACGAATCAACTTCGGCTGAGTAGCCAAAGCCAGTAGCGTCATCGGCTAGGCGTCTTGCGAATGACTCACAAGTTCCAGTATTGCTGCCATAGTAGACATACATCGGCTTCAAATCAGCGGATTTTTTAGCGGCGCTTGACTTGCCGTGGCTGGCGGCTTCCACCTGTTCGGCACTGGTGGCGCTCAGTGACGATCCTAGGTGCGTAGCATCCAAGCCCTCACGGAGAGTAGCTCTCATATAGAAATTGTTAGGCTTGATCGTGAGGGTCTGCTTAAGCTGGATATTGTACGATGGGTCATCCAGCTGGAAGTTGAAATTTTGCAATAACATCGCAATGACAAGGAGTGCTTCCTGCCAGGCAAACGGCCGTCCAATACATGCTCTCGATCCGTTTCCGAAGGGTTTCCATGCGTGCTTAGGCAATTTATTGAAGTGCTCATCCAGCATCCGCTCAGGCTTAAATTCCTCCGCATCAGGACCGTATACCTTTGGATCGCGCTGAATCTTGCCCAGCAGGAGAGCGACCGGCTCATCCTTGCCAATGACATACTTTCCATTACCTAGGGTGACGGGGTCTTCGTGGTTCTTAGTAGGGTGAGGGCCTACTGCAATGGCTGGTGCAGTGGGGGTGAGACGTAAGGTTTCACGCATGACAGCAGTGATGTAGGGTAGCTTTTGCAAGTCTTCCACAACAATCTTGCGGCGTCCAATTGCTCTGTCCACTTCCTCCTGCGCTTTTTGATATGCCTGAGGATTCTTGAGCAAGTTGTAGAAGGCGAATGAGAGCAAACCAGAAGTGGTTTCATGTCCTATCTGTTGTTAGAGAGATAGGTTAAATCCTTCACCAAAAAAACAACTCACCGGCAATCAGGAAAGTGATCATATTATCAATAATCGAGTCAAATGACATGCCCTTGCCGGTCTTCGGGTCCCGGCCATTGATGAGAGCATTGAGCAAGTCTTTCTTTTCCACGGGATTTTCTTTGCGGCTATCTACTAGTTCCTTGGAAAGATTGCGCAGATACTCGATATCTTCATAGTACTTGTTGTTTTCTGAAGTAGGCAGGTTGTTGACCAAGGCTGGGCGGCGAGATCGATCGCCTGCCGTTTTCAACATGCCAACCATGGCGTCCACAAAGGGGTGCATTTCTTCGCTGTAGAAGGAGTTGAATCGTGTTCCCATAGCGCAGAGGGCGATGGTATCCAATGTGAGGCGAGTGAAATCATCTGTCACCATGATTTTTTGCTTGGGGCCTTGTCGCGCCCACTTCATCACCAGCTGCGTCGCAATGTCATGCATTTCTGTATATCAGATCAGTCCATCTGATACCGGTCTACACTAGCAAGACAGAGTATACCGTCAAACATATTTTGAATGGAAAGTGGTCCGAAAGCGGGCATCAAAATGCGGTGCGCAATCTCCCAGTTCTCCTCGCCCAGATGGGCCGTGAATAAACCATCATGGATACCGTGACGAAGTTCACTCAGACCAGCTGTGATTTTTTTGGTGAACCGTTCCTCATCGAAAACTTCAGCTGCGAGCTCGTGGGAGCTAACTAGGCATCGTGAGAATCCGAAGGTTGTTAATCGATAGATGGGTCCTGCTTAATATTAACGTTTTATTCCTCACGACAGTCGCAATCAAATATACCGTAAGTATCTGCCATCATTTCTAAGCTCCTGAGAGGGATTTCACTCTCAATATCGAGGATATTTCCCACCAGAGGTACACCCCGTGGCCCTGGGATGGGCACATGTTCCGTCTTAGGTGTGCTCATTGTATAAAGACTGACTGTGAGGGGGGGGGGGGGGGGGGGG